AAGAAAAAGTATGAACTCGGTGACAAGTGGCAGGTTTGGTGTAAAGTAGCAGAGAGAAGATACAAGGATAAATAGATGGCTTATGCACCTAGCTTGGGCGAGACAAGAACACTGACCTCATTCGGAATTATGGTAATTGATGAGAGTTGTAAACCTTGACCTCACGCGCTTACCGACACGGTACTAGATGATGACAGTGACTCGCAGTTCTACTGGAAACGAAACTGACCATAACCAAGAAACACAAAAATAAGGCAATGCTTTCAATCAACAGTGGAATAAAATCAATAGGACAGTTAGTATAGAACACACAGAAAACCAGAAATAATAAAGGGTTAGATTGATCACACATCATAGCAATTATACGAAAGATTTCAGCTGCCGTTCCTAAAATGGATTCCATTCAATGCCATTTTCCCCATTTGTCATGCTCTGAAAGATGCAACATTCGTTTGTCAGTTCGCATAACGATGTTAATCTGAAGGCAAACTGTAAAGAAAAAAAAAATGATCGTTTCTTCTTGCCTCATTAGTCCCATTTATGGCTAGCACTATGGACTATATTGACTTTTGGAAATACGGTTTTCAGTGAATGAAGTCTAAATACCACAACGTGACATGAAAACACGACATGTAATTACTGCAGATTGTCAAGACTTTGCAACTGTTTGTTGTCTTAATGTTTTTAGCCCGTCTCACTAAAACTCCGTCTTAGCATGGTTGAGATTGGTTCATCCTTCAGAACGGCAAAACTTCAAACTGTTTTTGTCCTGTCGCTTTGGCTGCATTTATCTTTCGTGCAGCGACATTTTAATTGATACACATTGGCAAGTTAATATTAATTATGTCTGTTTTTCTTGTTCTTCCTTCTTGGATTTTTCTTTTTTCTTATTTGATATATGATCGAGACAGGCGATAATGCCGCCAGCATTGGCGGGGGGAAAGGGGGGGGGGGGTGTGACATAATAACGCAGTATGTTTTATACCGGTAGTCGCCGTGGCAGAGCGGCTAGAGGCTCGCCTGCGGATCGGACGGCCGTGGGTTCGCTCCCTGGCGGAGCCGGTTTTCTTTTAAAAAATGACCTTGGCTTGCAGGTAGACCCAGCCTTGAGTGGGTTGCAGTCCCGGGGAGTAAAGGCGGCCGGCGTGATGCTGACCAAATTCTATCTTGTGTCGATTGATCTATAAAAAATATAGGTCTAGCCCTATATGTCCTAAACGCCTAAAGGTGTGGAAAAGGGTCCTTTACTTTACCTTTTATATTTTATACCAAGGTCAGCGTATGTGGCTTAGGCTTTGTGAACGCACTTCGTAATGCTGAGGTATCGGATTCGATCTCAGCTGCAGGCGATTTGACAGCAGACCGCCTTGCTTTGGTTTCGACCGTGGTGTCGAGAGCCGATTGTGCATGAACAGACTGATAAACTACTGGACGTAAAATTACCTAATGAAATCATAAACAAACAAACTCAGCTCGGGTTGGTTTTGTAAAGGGTCACAGTTTACTTATTATCCACGTGGTGGCTAATATGGTGAGCATCACGCCGACTGCCTTTACTTCCCATGACCTAACTTGCTTTCTGTGTAAGGCTAGGTTGACCTAGGAGCCAAGATTAGTTAAAAAAAAAAAAAAAGGTCCAGCACCGTTATGGTTTCAAATCATGACCTTCGGTTCCGCATTTGAATGTTTAGCCGCTACATTACGGCGGCTTTATACAGTGAAGCTAGGCCTCTAACATTAGCAGTGATCACGCCGTATACTACCTATGCGTATCCTAGATCCTGGACGGGTTAAGGATAGCGTATGATGATAGTTTCAACTCACATTAGGGACGGCGAACCGCGGCGGTGTAGTGGCTAGATTCTTACCTGCTGGCCCGAAGATCTTGGTTTCGAAACAAATCGTATTTTCCCCCCTTCAGATATGACCTTGAATCTCGTTGACCTTGACTCCCGTTGACCTTGACTTCGAAGTCCGTTTTACAGATCTGGCTTATTTGTTTACAGATTATTGATTCTTTGCCTGTCAGACTGATGCATACCGACTTCGAAGGAAGTCGCCACTCAGTCAACTCCTACGATATGCTTGTTGGGGAGGCAGTGGGTCTGTTCTATTCCCCCCTCCCTCCCCGAATGGGGCTCCAGAACCCACACGGAAAAAAAACCACGTTACAGATTCTCTGGGTACCAGAAGAAATTAAAGCAGATGGTTCAGGAGGCCCTAACTACAAAGTAAAAAACGTGAACCTATGATTTCCAAAGAGTCAAATACGCAGTGCTGCATGTTAAAATGTCGGACTAAATGTACCTATCGTTTGCGGATCAAATCTTAAACATTCAATAACGAACACTGCGTTGCTTTTTTTTTATTGCGTTGTTTGGGACAGAAAGGTTTCAGTGATTTCCTGTCTCCAGATTACCCGACGGATTTACCTTCCTGTCCAACCTGACACATCTGCATTTGAACGACACATTTTTGGACTATCTACCTGGCAGCATTGGAAGGTAAGCATTTAACTTTTGTTTCGTTATTGAAGTTATTCCTTCATCCTTTTTGTTTTATTATTTGTGATTGTTGTTTGATAGGATTGGTGGGACGGAGATCATAGAAGGAAGCTACTTCACGGGGAAAAGTAAGAGAGCATAGACACACTGCCCCACCGTCCCCACCATCCCCACAGTAAACAAGTATGTCAGAAAAGGTAACAGTGCTTTATTAATATCCTACCCCAAACAGGCAAAATCCACAGGTCACGGAAGAGTCTAATATTTCAGGGGGTGGAAGATAGGCTGCATGCAGTCGTGGGACCTAGGCTGCACTCTCTCGTGGGACGTAGATGTGTTAGTGTTAGGGCCAGTTCTAGATGTTTTGGGGTCGTTAAAAGCATAAGAAAGTCTTACCACCCTCTAAAATGTTGGACTGTCCTGTGACATCATCTGGGGTAGGATATTAATCAAAAACCAAGGTAAAGGTAAAGTCGGGAGATGTGAACCAGTGTCATTGCAGACGGTTAAAAACCATAAGTGTTCTGCCACCAGTACGGACAGCTGATAAGAATTGTCCGCCTGTGTCACAATTCGCACTTAACTCTGTAGCTACAGCGACTTTCCTCCATTTAACTCCGAAGTCTCACTCTGGTACCCATTTCCTGTAGGCTAGGTGAACCCCGAGAACCGCCCGGTTTCAAACACAAGACCGTAGCTGCAGCGAGTGGCAGCTGGATTTGAAAGCGAGCCTCTTATCGACTACGCTAACGCGGCCCCAAGGTAACAAATTAGGGGTGTTTCCTTTAAAGTTCTAAGACATCTGAGAGACAATGAACTAACAGTCCGGAAGTGAATGAACAACCAGGAACCAGTACTCTTCGCCAGAGTCTACAGCCGGTGATCATGAACTCTTTCGCCCATTTGCTCGCCAGTAGACGGCTTCGTCTCGCAGGTAATGACAGTATTTGGGCCTGTCTCCTTTGATCGCATCAACACTGCAAGGGTCCTTTTTTTAAAGGGCTATTTGGTGGCGAGCGAAGCTAAGCTATTTTATATGGCGCAAATAACCTAGTCACAATCATATCCTAAATGAAATCTCGACTCACATCGGACTGCAGGTTACAGATGGCTGGTGGCTAATTTGCTGCCCCAGATATAACCTCGAAGGTTGAACAAGGCATCCAGACTTTGCCTAGCCTACTTTCCATCCAGGTTGAGAATTTTGTAATCTCAGGATGATCAGACCATTAGATAGCAGCCCAGAGGGGGGAAAGGAAGGAAGGAAAAATGCAGCGGGGAGGAAGACATCTGCAAGACATTCCACGTGAAGATAGTTTGACACTGAGTCGAGAGTCGAGTCTGTAACAACTTCTTTCTGACAGAGACAAGCCCTTTTAGGGTGCAAATGATTAGTGATTAGAAAGGATTATCATCACAGCACTCCGGACAGATTCATAGGTGCTCCGATCTCCTCCCCAAAAGCTCCACAGGTGTAAAATGACTGATGATGCCTGTTCTGTGTTGGTTAATAAAACCTCTTGTCCTCTTAGTGAAATGTTCATTTCCCGCAACTCCAGGCTGCACCCCTATGTCCATCAGTCTAGACAGGGATACGGAGTCATGTCCTTTGGCATGCTCCTAGGTACGTAAGTGCAGCGCATGGCATTTATAACATCACTTCTGTCTAGTACTGGGCCAGCCATAGCAACTGAGGTGTCAGCAAGATAGTCTGCACGCTCGTTTCATTGAGTGCAAATGATCTGAACTTTAATGCATTGGATTAAACAGTTGGAACTCAAGAAAATAAATAAACTAGCCAACCATATATACCAAACCACCCAATATCTCCTGTGTGTCTATGAAAGACAAAAGAAATCCCCACAAGAAACGTCCAGTTTTAAAAGCAGTAGCTACTGGTACTATTGGTATGGGAACTTTGTGCTGGCTGCTGAAGATGGGGACAGAGCGCTTATGGGAATGCCCCAAGGGCTGTGATGTCGGTTCTTGAATCAGCTCAACTTAGCTAATTTGTGATGAAATAGTGTGCTTATAAAACTGTGAACTTAAGACTCAGAAACCATTTATATAATGAAGTAAGCATATATTTTGTGAAATAGTTTTTTTGTTTTTGTTTTTGCCATATGAACTCCAGCCCTCATCATCATCATCATCAACACATAGGGCTTGCATTCTGTTATATTCTGTGGAATCCACTGGATATCATGGATGGAAGTCTAGCCTTTTTAGTTTCTGTCATCAACATTCATTTTATCTGAACTTGAATGTTCATTCAGCCACCTTGTGGAGCTGGAGACACATAACCAGATTGTGACCTGTATTGGATCTCTGCACTGGCTGCTGACTATGAGGACGGAGCACACAGTGGAATGCGCCGAGTGCTTTGATGTCAATTCTTGACTCCACTCATCTCAACACAGCTCATTCATTGTAGGATTTCTCCTGGATTCCAGATCTCACACATTGAAATTCAAACATGACATACTTTTTCCCCAGAATGGTGAAGCTGAAGGTTTTGGAACTGAGAGAGAACCACATCAGTTCACTGCCTCGTTCATTCAGCCGTCTCGTGGAGCTGGAGAGACTTGACATTGGAAACAACGAGCTCACAGAATTGGTACTTTAGAGTTTTCTTAGAATCAATTAAACAGCAGTGGTGATTTTAGGTAAAAAAAGTGACTCCATTACACCAGGTTTTATCCCTTCTGGCTCAGTCTCCCTCCTCTGAATGGCTGCTTCCTGTTGAGGTTGAAGATTTTAGTTGAGGGGGTCGACTTTACTGAAATGGGTTTTATACCTTCTTGCCTGGTCTCTCCCCATCTGACCTGGTCTCTCTCCATCTGGCCTGGTCTCTCTCCATCTGGCCTGGTCTCTCCCCATCTGGCCCTGTTCCTATCTGGCCTGGTCTCTCTCCATCTGGCCTGGTCTCTCTCCATCTGGCCTGGTCTCTCCCCATCTGGCCTGGTCTCTCCCCATCTGGCCTGGTCTCTCCCCATCTGGCCTGGTCTCTTCCTATCTGGCCCGGTCTGTTCCTATCTGGCCTGGTCTCTCTCCATCTGGCCCGGTCTGTCTCCATCTGACATGGTCTCTCTCCATCTGGCCTGGTCTCTCCCCATCTGGCCTGGTCTCTCTCCATATGGCCTGGTCTCTCCCCATTTGGCCTGGTCTCTCTCCATCTGGCCCAGTCTGTCTCTATCTGACCTGGTCTCTCTCCATCTGGCCCGGTCTGTCTCTATCTGGCCTGGTCTCTCTCCATCTGGCCCGGTCTGTCTCCATCTGGCCTGGTCTCTCCCTATCTGGCCCGGTCTGTCCCTATCTGGCCCGGTCTGTTCCTATCTGGCCTGGTCTCTCTCCATCTGGCCTGGTCTCTCCCCATTTGGCCTGGTCTCTCCCCATCTGGCCCGGTCTGTCCCTATCTGGCCTGGTCTCTCTCCATCTGGCCCGGTCTGTCTCTATCTGACCTGGTCTCTCTCCACATGATAGCTGGCTTACTGCTGAGAGCTACATAGAAAGCACAAACACTTTAGCTCCAGCGAAGATCCTCAAGGGTCTCCGTACAAAATTCAATGCACTTGTGAAACAGACAATGCATCAATGCAGCCATGAAATTAACCCACGTCACAGAGAGCACAACCTTTACAGTTCTAGTGAAGACCAAAAGAAAACAGAAAAAATTAGCACTTATGAAAAGAATGATGCAATGCAAAAATGACCACAGCATGTGAGGCTAATTTTTCCTCCCAAGTAGGCGCTTCTTCTTTTTCCCTCAGGTTCGCCCGTTGTTCTTGTTTTTTTCATCCACCTCTAGACCTGTTTTATTCCAGAACCTGAGTGTTGCATGCCCGTCTGTTTTACAGGTGATATATTTGAATATAGACTGTTAGTTCTTTGCCTTTTAGGCAGATGCATTCTGATTTCAAAGGAAACCCCAGTTAATCGACTCTTATGAGATGCTTGTTGCGGAGGCAGTGGATCTGTTCTTGTTTTCCCGACAATGGGGTCCCAGAATCCACATGGGATCAAAGTAGGAGTGCATCTGCCTGAGGAAACCCCAGTTAATCGACTCCTATGAGATGCTTGTTGGGGAGGCAGTGGGTCTGTTCTTGTTTTCCCGACAATGGGGTCCCAGAATCCACATGGGATCAAAGTAGGAGTGCATCTGCCTGAGTGGCCAGGAACCAGCAGCCTGCATGGAGGTAAGCCAGATCTCTAATACAGATGTGCACACAAAACTCAAGTACCGGAACAAGACTAAAGTCCAGAATATTGAATATTGAATTAAGAATCAACATCACAGCACTTGGAACACTCTCATAAGTGCTCCGTCCCCATCTTCAACAGCAAGTGAAGAGTTAAAATTCTGATGGTACCAGTAACTGTCTGATTGTATATCCATCTCACCCTGTTTCTGAGTGTCGAGCGTCGGCCAGATCCCCTTGTAACTCCTCGCAGTGCCATTCTCCTCAGACCATAATGATCTGTCTGTTCCTCGGCACTGTTCACTCGCTCCCAAAAGGCTCTCACAACATCCAGCTTGTCATACATCAGTTCGCCACCAAGTCTTGCAGAACCGGCCAGTCTATCCGTCTGCTCATTTCCCAACACACCGGCATCACCTGGAGAAAATATCCAGAAAAGTAGATAAGTAACCAGAACTTTACACTCCAGTTTACAGTTAGTGAACGCCAGGATGAAAAAGAAAATGTATTAAAAATTCTGTAAGTGTTGAGCTTAGCTACAAAACAATTTGTCAGTGATTCAAATGACAACAGTTGTCATAAAAGCTGTCTTAGTGTTAGGAAGAAGAAAATTATAGACTATCTCTTGTTAGTTATTTATTCATGAAAAAATTAATTGTTTCATTTATAAAATAGTGTTTTTGTCCTTTAAGTCTGATGTGATTGGAGGGTTGAGAAATCTCCTGGAGCTATGGTGTGACAATAATCAGATAGCCACAATCACACGAGTAAGTATTGTCATAGCCATCCCTGTTATCAGTATCACTGTCACCATCATCCTTCTCCTCACTACCACCATCATCCTTCTTCTCACTATCATCATCATCCTTCTTCTCACTATCATCATCATCCTTCTTCTCACTATCATCATCATCCTTCTTCTCACTATCATCATCATCCTTCTTCTCACTACCATCATTATCTTCATCATCCTTCTTCTCACTATCATCATTATCTTCATCATCCTTCTTTTCACTATCATCATTATCATCATCATCCTTCTTCTCACTATCATCATCATCCTTCTTCTCACTATCATCATCATCCTTCTTCTCACTATCATCATCATCCTTCTTCTCACTATCATCATCATCCTTCTTCTCACTATCATCATCATCCTTCTTCTCACTACCATCCTAATCTTCATCATCCTTCTTCTCACTATCATCATCATCCTTCTTCTCACTACCATCATAATCTTCATCATCCTTCTTCTCACTATCATCATCATCCTTCTTCTCACTGTCATCATCATCCTTCTTCTCACTATCATCATCATTTTCTTCTTCATCACCATCATTATCATCATCCTTCTTTTCACCACCATCATCATCATCCTTCTTGCCATTATCATCATCCTTCTTCTCACTATCATCATCATCCTTCTTCTCACTATCATCATCATCCTTCTTCTCACTATCATCATCATCCTTCTTCTCACTATCATCATCATCCTTCTTCTCACTATCATCATCATCCTTCTTCTCACTATCATCATCATCCTTCTTCTCAATGTCATCATCATCCTTCTTCTCACTATCATCATCATCCTTCTTCTCACTATCATCATCATCCTTCTTCTCACTATCATCATCATTCTTCTTCTCACTTTCATCATCATCCTTCTCCTCATCACCACCATCATCATTATCATCATTCTTCTTCTCACTATCATTATCATCATCCTTCTTCTCACTATCATCATCATCCTTCTTCTCACTATCATCATCATCCTTCTTCTCACTATCATCATCATCCTTCTTCTCACTTTCATCATCATCCTTCTCCTCATCACCACCATCATCATTATCATCATCATCATCCTTCTTCTCACTATCATCATCATCCTTCTTCTCACTATCATCATCATCCTTCTTCTCTCTATCATCATCATCCTTCTCCTCATCACCACCACCATCATCATCATCATCCTTCTTCTCACTATCATCATCATTTTCTTCTTCATCACCATCATTATCATCATCCTTCTTTTCACCACCATCATCATCATCCTTCTTGCCATCATCATCATCCTTCTTCTCACCATTATCACCATTTTCTTCTTATCATCCACATTATCAGTATCATCACCATTTTTCTCCTCCTCACTACCATTATAAACAGCTACTTCCATTTTGGGGAGGAACACTTTTGGTCCAGTATCCAATGAGTAGCTTTGGCTATTATCAATCCATGTGAATGTGTAGTATCTTTTGTGTCACCAATCCTCCTTCCCATTGGGCATCCTTTTATTGTCACATCAGATATTTTTAGTTGTAGTGCCTGTGTTAGTAGTTGTTGTGGCTGCATTCTAATGGGATGACCAAACCATTCGATCACCTGCTTCTGATTGGATTTGGTGCAAGGAGTTATTTCCACAGTATGTCTGATAGTATCTATTCTCTTTCAGTCTGACTGTCACTTGGTTGGTTCAGTTGGCGGCTTTCCTCAGGCATTTCTTTTCACAGATGTTAATTTTACATGAGTAAGTGTGGCATGGGAGCTGTGGTAGCGTAGCTAATGATGTTAATTTTACATGAGTAAGTGTGGCATGGGAGCTGTGGTAGTGGAGCTAATGATGTTAATCTTACATGAGTAGGTGTGGCATAGGAGCTGTGGTAGTGGAGCTAATGATGTTAATTTTACATGAGTAGGTGTGGCATGGGAGCTGTGGTAGCATAGCTAATGATGTTAATTTTACATGAGTAAGTGTGGCATGGGAGCTGTGGTAGTGTAGCTAATGATGTTAATTTTACATGAGTAAGTGTGGCATGGGAGCTGTGGTAGCGTAGCTAATGATGTTAATTTTACATGAGTAGGTGTGGCATGGGAGCTGTGGTAGTGGAGCTAATGATGTTAATTTTACATGAGTAGGTGTGGCATGGGAGCTGTGGTAGTGGAGCTAATGATGTTAATTTTACATGAGTAAGTGTGGCATGGGAGCTGTGGTAGTGGAGCTAATGATGTTAATTTTACATGAGTAAGTGTGGCATGGGAGCTGTGGTAGTGGAGCTAATGATGTTAATTTTACATGAGTAGGTGTGGCATGGGAGCTGTGGTAGTGGAGCTAATGATGTTAATTTTACATGAGTAGGTGTGGCATGGGAGCTGTGGTAGCGTGGCTAATGATGTTAATTTTACATGAGTAAGTGTGGCATGGGAGCTGTGGTAGTGTAGCTAATGATGTTAATTTTACATGAGTAAGTGTGGCATGGGAGCTGTGGTAGTGTAGCTAATGATGTTAATTTTACATGAGTAAGTGTGGCATGGGAGCTGTGGTAGTGGAGCAGCTAGGATGTTTGCCTGTTGCCCCAAGGGTCTTGGGTTCATGTCTACCTGAGGGCAGGTTTTAAAAAAATACAGTTGACCTTTCACCCTGTTTTTTTTCTTCTTATTCTTAGTATTCACCTGCTGTAAACTCTGATATTATATGAAATGAAACTCTTAAAAATATAATTCAGTAAAGTTTAAATACAATTTTTATTTTTTATTTTTGGCCTGTGCAGATTTTATTAAACTGAGGGTGGGTGGGGGACTTGTGTGTGAGTGCGTGCGTGCGTGTGCGTGCTAAGGATTCCCAGGATTATAGGTTTCGTCTGCTAAGAATTCCCAGTATTAATATGTAAAAGTCTACACCATCATGATCTTAATTCAAAGCAACAGTTGCATATTTTATAAAATCTTGATTAGGGAATTTGTTTCATATTGCTAAACTGAAGATGTTTACCTTGAAAAGTGCTTTTCTGGCGTTGGGAGTATGTTGTTTATTCTTCACTTCTTTGTCAGAGCATTGGCAAACTGAAACATTTGATGTATCTGGATGCAAGCAACAATCAGCTACAGGAGCTGCCTAGAGAGATTGAAGGATGCACCTCCTTAGCTGACCTTCACCTCTCATCTAATGACCTTGTGGAGCTTCCAGACTCCATTGGTAAGCAGATACATAAAATGGACCTAATACTCATTTGGATACATATCATGAACTTGCCCACATGTCACCGGTGCGCGAGCATTGAAGAGATTTCCTCTTCACCCCCATTGATGTGGTGGCCATTCCTACAGGCTGGTCTATGTTCTAGGGGTGTTTGCATTATCGGTCATTCCTCTGTTTTTCCCCTAGCCTGTGCGGTCCTTCGCCAGTTTTCCCCTGTTTTGCCATGCGTGCATGTTTTTGTAGTTTTTTTTGCGCAGCCAAGTGTTCAACTAAGTTTTTGTTTCTCTGTGAACTACATATCTTGTGCAGCCATCAGTGGTTTTTGAAAATTTGTGACACTTTGGAGAAAAACCCATCTGGGGAGGGGGGGGGGGGATTTTAAAAAGAAATTCATCTCAAATTACAGATCACCAAGTAAGGCCGTTGTGACAGCGATAAAGGCCGACGCAGATTGCTGTAACATGTAACACACACAGTCCCGACTGGTGGCTCACAACATGGAAAATAGAATATGCTGGCCCCTCAAAGTATGTAATATAGACTGCTTACAGTGTTGAAAATTGCAAAACATGAATGAAAACTCTGGCAGCTCACTGGATGGAATAAATAACGCTTATAGTGTTGAAAATAACGAAACATAAATGAAAATAAAATGACACCCCTAGATCATAGTATGTGATTTGTACCGACATTTGTTGTATAGTAAACAAAATAAATATACTCTCTGGCAATTAAATATTGAGACTGATTTTGTTATGGCCAAGACAAGAAATGCATCCTTGAAGTAAAAAAGCATCACATCCAATCAAGTACCATTCATGCATGACTTGACCACATTGTCATGCTTGCTGTACAGACGGCAAGTAACATGGGTTTTTCATAACTAATGAGGATTGTGGGAGTCGCCATAGCCGAGCGGCTAGACGCACGCCGCAGATCGGAAGGTCGTGGGTTCGCTCCCTGGCAGAGCCGGACTATTTTAAAAAATGACCTTGGCTCCCAGGTCGACCCAGCCTTGAGTGGGTACTGGATGCAGTCCCTAGAAGTAAAGGTGGCTGGCGTGATGCTGACCACATCACCCATCTTGTGCAGATTGGTCTATAAAATATAGGTCTAGCCCTATAACCCATTTACGACTAAAGGCGTGAAAAAGGGTCGTTCACTTTTGATTAAATGAGGATTGTGTGGTTATTATATAGCTTTGAGCAAAGAGCGAACATTAAATTCTGTTTCACAATTGGTAAAGTACAGTTGAGACACTTGTCGTCATTGTCATCAATCATCATCATGCTCTTTATCATCATCATCATCATCATCTACCATGGTGAATGACGCATACATCTGTTTTCTGAGTTCTTTAATATTTTTAACCTCTGATCGTCTACATTGCTACTCTGCCAACACATGCACTGTTCTGTATCTCTCTCTCTTTCTCTGTCTCTCTCTTTCTCTCTTCTTCCCCTGTCTCTCTCTCTCTCTCTCTCTGTATATATATATTGGTCCTGTCGACTCATAGCATGACTAAAAAGGATGATTCATCATCATCATCATCATCCCCAATATCATCCTGTTGTTCTATTATATGTCCTATAGGACTCATGGTCTACTCCTCTATTTGGTTCTGTCTCATGTATTCCTGTCAGTTTCATGGATGGAATCCGGTCCGTTTGTCATAGGGTTTCTATTGGGCATTCTTATTTCCTGAGTCTATTTGTTTCCCATTTCCATGATAGTCTGATGATTATCTATCAGTTCCTCATGATAAAGTGATGACTGTCTTGTTTTAATTTCTTCTGATCATCAGTCTAAAGGAATTTACTTCTGGCATCTTTGAGTATTTAGGCCTGGGTAGCAGTCATTATTAAAAGTGCGACTAGCACCAAATGCTTTTTTGGTTTGGAAATGGATCTTTCACTTATCTAGTAAATAGGACATTTCAGTAGTTCTCACTACCAGGGCTAAAGTGATATCTCAGGGCTAAAGTGATATCTCAGGGCTAAAGTGATATCTCAGGGCTAAAGTGATATCTCAGGGCTAAAGTGATATCTCAGGGCTAAAGTGATATCTCAGAGCTAAAGTGATATAACAGAGCTTAAGTGATATCTCAGGGCTAAAGTAATATCTCAAAGCTAAAGTGATATATAAGGGCTAAAGTGATATCTCAGGGCTAAAGTGATATCTAGGGCTAAAGTGATGTCTCATTACTAAAGTGATGTCTCAAGGCTAAAGTGGTATATGGGTGCTAAAGTGATATCTCAAGGCTAAATTGATATCTCAAGGCTAAAGTGATGTCTCAGAACTAAAGTGAAATCTCAGAGCTAAAGTGATATCTCAGGGTTAAGTGATATCTCAAAGCTAAAGTGATGTCTCAGGGTTAAGTGATATATCAAAGCTAAAGTGATATCTCAGGTCTAAAGTGATATCTCAGTTTCTGCTATAAAATCTTGGGGTCAATGGGTCTGTTATTTTCTTTCTGAAACTGGGGCTCATAACCCCACATGGGGACTAATGATGATGAATGATGTTATCATTCACAAATGCACCATAGCGAGGCACACACACTATTTGGAGGTGACAGGTTCGACTCCCGGCACAGAAACAATAGCTTTAGATTTTTATGTTGTTTAGTGTGTCCTTCTATCTTTCTACTTCTTTCTTTGAGTGCCGGTCAGTACATGGTCTCTTTATTAATTACATATCATTCACAAAGGAGATGCCTCTTATTTGATGATTTTTAATTAGTGTGATCTTTTTCATGGAACAGTGGCAAATCATCACTTTATTTCTTAAAGTAAATTGTAATTTTTCAGGCAACCTAAAAAACTTGATAACCTTGAAAGTTGATGACAACCAGTTGGCTTTTTTACCTAGGACTCTAGGAGGGTGAGTGATTTAGTAACTGGGTCAAAGTAACTGGGTCGAAGTAACTGGGTCAAAGTAACTGGCTCAAAGTAACTGGCTCAAAGAATCTGAACCCTGTCACTCCATAAATGCTTGTGGGTTTTATTTTAATGACATGATGTCTTTTGGCAGTTGTTTTTTTGGCCTTTATAACGGCTTTGGTGCTGGTTACAAATGTATGAAGTGTAGACGAGTCAGTGGTGTTCAACCCTTCAAAGAGTGCATAATGATGTTTGTTAAACATCCGGTGTCACAAAGTGCTACCATTCAGAGGAGAATCATATGGGTGCAACACCCAGAAATGCCTTTCAACCCATAGGTTGTACGGGTAACTTTTGATAGCTGGTAGATGGGCGGGAGGCCTCTGAAATAACAAACAAATTGCATTTCACATTGGGACAGAAGTATGGTCATCGTGGGTATGATTTCATGTACTCCACCCCACAGTTAAAAAATAAAAAAACACACCATTATTTGGGGTGTTAAAAAAAACAGCTTTTAACAAATTGTGACCATGACATCCCCACAATATCATATAACTTCAAAATTGCATCATATTTTTCTTTGTGGAAAAGTGACATCCAAGCTCTCAGAGACGAGAAAGACGCATCCAAAACCCAACGAGATGAAGACAGAGATGAAATAACAGGCCTGAGAGCTATAATGCAGGCGACTCTTGACACCCAGAAACGGATGACAGCAGAGATGACGAAATTCAAGGAGGACATCATGAATGCACTGGCCACTATCCAGACACAAAAGGAACAACCAACTAAGGCAAGGGAAGACGAGGTGGTCATCAATGATCTGCGGGATAACCAACAACTTCTCGCGAAAGAAGTCGCAATGATCAAGAAGGCACTGGCTGAAACAGAGGAAAAGTTACGAAGAGCATACGAAGAAAACAACAGACTCAACAAGGAACTGCAAGCAACCAACAGAGTGATGGAAGAAAGAGAGAAAGCACGGAAAGAGGCAACAAGAAGGCAGCAAATACAGGGAGCCGAGACCCAGAAAAAGCCGCATCAAAACACCAGATAAGAAAACTCAGGCATCGCTGATGAAACAGTTTCCGTTGGCAACAGTTGACCAAATTAACCAACGCATCATGGAGATGGAGGACCCGAACTTCTATAACTCAGAACTGCCAGGATGATGATGTTTTTTGGTCATCACCAGAGGAACCACATCGACAGCCAAAATTTGAAGTCAAACGAGGTCGACACCGTTACCCCAAACACTAATACCAGATACGACACAACCAAGGCCAAATTACCGAAACCCTATGTAGGAGCAGTACTTTACAACAAGGATACGAGAAAATCACCAAATAATACCAGACCTCAGCAGTATAGCCATCAGTACCTGCCCAAGTCAATCGACCGCCGGTCCTTATTAGGATAGGCAATCTACTTTCCCCGGAAACAACAAACAGCCCAAGGAATACCACAATAAATCGATCCAACATCCAATCATCTTGAGCGCAGCACAGGGCCAGCCAGATTACAAAAACAACAGCAAGAGCGGAAACCACAACAAACAGAAAGTGACAATATTGAACACAATCCAGAATCAAATAAGATCGCGACCAGAAAACGTCACCACAAATATAGCTGAAAGGAAAGTGAGCAGAAATGTGAACGGACCTAGCTGAAAGTGGTCAAAGAAAGAGAATTTGAATTTGAATTCTTTGTGGAAAAGTGGCTAAAAACTGCTTTTAGATGGTTAAAAGGAAGAAAATCAGTATATATTCGCTCTGTATTTAGTATTACCTCCCTTCATGTCGAAATATTCATATTTAGACATTAGTGATAAGATCATGTTTGTTATTTTATTAGTAAGGTGATGTCATCAGATAAGCACAGGACTGCATGCATGCCTGTCAGCTCCGTAGACTAGGGATCTAATTCCTTTGATATTTATAAAAACTGCCCAAAACTCCACATTTCTTCTGCTGCTTCGTCTTCTTTTCTTCAAGTTTCTTAGTGTAGAGCTTCAAGAATTGTATGGATGCATTTTGATAAGTAATTATTTTTTTTTTTTTAATTTTATGATTCCTACAGGGGAAAGGGTTAAGGTGATGCATTCTCAAAACAGGTTGCTAGGATTTAGGTACCTGATGTGCTCACTATTGAAGGTTAAGAAATTGCCACAGGGACACACACTGAAGCAGAATGATAAAAATATTTAAATGCCAATTCTACAGGTGGAATAACAGGCAGAGACAATGTATAAGAAAATGGCATAGCAAACAGGTCATCCCATAGTGGCTCCGTTCCTGTGTCCCAAAAAAATAATTGACACAGGCTGCAAGTTTGGCAAAGCCAGTAGCATACCTACACGTTAAATGCATACTGCAACTATCAAAAGTGCTAAAACGAATTGTCTGGCACTAAAACTGAAGTTCGTCACCAGAGAAGTGTAATCGTCACCAGAGAAGTGTAATAAGCAGCAGAGACAATAAAGATAGGAACTATCCGCCCAACTCATAATACTGTGGCCAAGATTATATGAATGTTGCGCACAAGTTTTTTACCTCACACTTCAGTGTTTATTTTGTAATTATTGCAGCGTGGGCCACAGCTTAATGGCAGTACCTGTCATGGGACTACCTTCAATAAGCAAGAGTCTCTGTCCTCACAATCCAGTACTGTCTGCATACTCAGTTTTTCTACCACATGCTCAAATAATTATAAGAATGTTGAATGTTGAATTAAGAATTTACATCACAGCACTCGGGACACTCCCATAAGCACTCGGTCCCCATCTTCAGCAGCAAGTGAAGAGTTCTAATTCTGATGGTACCAGTAAACATCTGATTGTATACCTGTCTCATCCCTACCCTGACTATTGATCCTCAGGTAATTCCTCGCAGCGTCATTCTCCTTAGACCGTAATGATCTCTCTGCACCTTCGCACTGTTCATTCGCTTCCAAAGTCAATGGTTATAAATAATATGCTTACTGTATTTAATAGATTTATTTCATCGTCAGATAATTCCTTTGTCTCTTTTTCAATAATTAAGTTGAAAACCATTTTTTTAATATGTATAGCTGTTCTGGAAATTTGTTTTCATATAAAAATGCAAAGAATATCATGGACAGTCAAATATTCATATGAGACAATTGGACCCTCACAAACAGTTAGGAGGATACAGAAACTTAAAAATTCTAAAATTCGATGGTGAAAAAAGACACACAGATAAATATTCAGAAGGCATAAGTTGGAAATAAATGACCTCTGACCTGGGACCGGTCATTGTGTAAGATGATCATGCATGCCTGCCCATGGGTAGTTGAAATGCACATGATAATGATTAGCTTTATTGATCAACAAGTTTGAAACTAGTAACTTATAAAATATCAGGATCACCTTTTTGTTTCATTTAATTTTCCAGATTGTCATTGCTGTCAGAACTGAACATGAGTGTAAATGATCTGGAAGAATTGCCGGCAAGCATTGGACTTTTGAGAAACTTGAGAACTCTTTATGCAGATGAGAATCTGCTTCGGTTTTTACCAGCAGAGGTAAGCACATCTTTTCAGCTTTGATGTTCGTTGTTGGTGCTTGCCTGTTTTTATAAATATTCTGTATTATTATTATAACGGTTTAGTGGTTAGCTTTTCAGCCTCAGAAAATATTGCACTAAGGATAACAGCCACTGTAAAAAAGGCAAGAACCCCTTCTGGGTTCTGGGGTCCATTCTGAGAACAAAAATAATAGATTTACTGCACCACTAACAAGATGTCATAGAAGGCAACCAAAAAAGTATGTTTCCTTTGAAGATGGAATGCATCTGCCCGAGGGGCGGTTGACTAACAGTCTGCAAACAAGCCAGATCTTTAAAATGGATGTGCACGCAAAACTAAAGTTCTGGAAGAAGATTAAAGTCCAGAAGTGGATGAACCAAAAGAGCTTTCTGCCGGAGTTTACGGCCAGTGAACTTGAAGAAAAATAACCAAGAAAAGGCAAGAGTGTCTCTTTCAAAGCAGAAATATATCATGTGCTGCTTGTTAAATTATCTAGACAGAGTTTAGACAAATAATAAAAGATAACATACCAGATGATAACACATCATTTGTTGTTTGGGTCACACAGACAAGATCTGATCCTACCTTGTGAGTTTCTTGGATTGGAAATTTTTCAGCCTCATAAAGAATGTATGGCACAATAACAACAAACAAACCAAAGTGAACATTTTTAGGACATATATTTTTCCTGTTCCAGTACCTCATGGACAATTTCATAAGCTCCTCATGTGGGTTCTGGGACTCATTTTGGAGACCAAAGAATAGACCCCCCCCCCCCTCCCCCAACAGGCAGGTCCATAGGAGACAACCAAATAGGTTGTTTACTTCAGAGTTGGATTGCAACTGCCTGAGAGGTAGGGAACCAAGAATCATCATACTAATAAGCCAGATCTGTGAAGTGGATGTGCATGTAAAACTCAAGTTCTAGATTGAGACCAAAGTCCAGGAGTGGATGAACAACTAGAACTTTCCGCCAGAGTTTACAGCCGGTGAGTGCTAAGAAAAAGAAGATTTTATAAACACTTTGAAAGAGAATTCAGGCTCCCTTTCTTTTATTTTTTTCCACCATGGGCTGCTTCCGGAAGGTTTGAACCACCCTGAGATTACTATATTCTCAGTCTGGATATCATTCCAAAGGAGCAAATAACAAAATGCCCCATTCAGCCTCCAAAGTCATGAACAGTTACACCAGCCTGGTAGGTAACCTGCAGTCCTAGGCCTGTAGGTAGGTAGGTAGGTAGGTAGGTAAACAATGATTCCCCTTTCAGGATTGCTGTTTGTAGGATTAAACCCCTCAAGAATGGGAAACATTTTCTTTAGGATTAATACCTTAAGAAAGGAAAAAAATAATCTTGCACCTGTGAGTGACTTTCTACCCCACTAGGACATCACACAAGCGATAAACACTCGATGACGCAAAGTGCCACCATGCGGATGAGGATCGCCGTGGAGAGGTCCCAGAAACCGCGTTCAGACATCTGGCCATATTTATGGCCTGCCTATATTGCGGCCCCTGGCAAAAGCCAGGGTGGGGCTTCAAATAACAAAAAATTTCGTCTTTAGAAGGATGAAATAGAAGATAACCTTGCACCTGTAAGGATGTATTTGATATAAGTTAGGCTTGTCGAAATTAAATGTTGCAGACAAATTCTTAGAATACCATGGATCAGTAAGATAAAACAAAATAATGATGAAACAATTTTGGTAACACAAACTGTATGCAATATTTACATCATCACAGATTGGCAGCTGCAATGGAATTACAGTGCTGTCCTTGCGAAACAATAAGCTGACTTACATTCCTGATGAACTGGGTCGCATCCCACGTCTTAGAGTTCTGAACCTGAGTGACAACCTTCTGCAGTACCTCCCTTTCTCAATCATCAAACTGAAGGAATTACAGGCTTTATGGTTGACAGAGAATCAGGTTATATTTTTATTTTCATAATATCTTCTTCCTTTTCTCCTCGTCCACTGCTTCTTCTTTTTACTTCCACTGATTCGTAGACCATCAGATGTCTGTCTGAATATACTGAAAGAAAGCAGCAGTCAGTTCTGGCAGCAGTCAGTTTCAGCAGCAGTCAAACCAGTACAGATGCATTTCAGTTCTCAGGGTCATCAAGGCGTCTTTTTCGACATGGAGGTTAAGGTCATCAAGTCTAGCCACTTTAGTGACAGTGTCCTTAAGTTTCTTGAAAACTGCCTTATCCATCTAATGGGCTGTACCTCTCATAAGGTACTTAATATGCAATACAAACTTATCTGTTATTTTAGAGTTACAGCCCTTGCATGTCTAGTATTCATTTCCAGTATTCACACATGTCTCAGAGTTTCAACTGGAGAGACAAAAGTGGATTTTTAGCCAATGCTTCTTCATGTTTGCATTAGTGGATTACTTGCCAATATATCAGCCTATTCATTACCAATTACTCTGGCATATCAAATGTGTGTAGATCTAGGTGATGAAAGTTAAGTGTCCCAAGGAAGCCACTCTATGATCATTTATTCTCCATGTCCGTACATGAATATGTGATCAAATCTTTCACATTTAGTCAGCACATAATAAAGAAATCTGGCTATCTATACTAACATGCAGTTCGCTGTATTGTATACAGGGATATGTGTTCATTCTCTGATACTAAAGGTTTTTTTGTTTTTCTGTTTTTAATTGGGTGTCTGCCCCGAGATCTTGTGAAAGAGTTAAGGTAATTCACAGTACAAGATGTGTAGAACAAAAATGTGTTCTAAACACCTTTTACCAGTGTTTTGACCAAAATTTTTATAAATGAATTTTCAGACACGTCCACTAATTCCACTTCAGTCTGAGTATGAACCTGAGACAGGTAGGAAAATTCTTACCTGCTACCTGCTGCCTCAAGGTGAACTAGCAGGTAAAGGTAAGTAATAATTTTTAGTAAAAGTTCTAGCAGCATTTCTTAAATTGTAGGTTCTGGTCAGTTTATCATTTTAAAAAGTAAAGGTAAAGTTGGGAGATGTGAACCAGGGTCATTGCACATGATTATAAAACATAAGTGCTCTGCCACCAGTAGGGTAGGTCGGGGCAAAGACCCGCGTGGGGCAAAAACACGCAGTCCATTTAGATGTTCCGGTTGTTGTTTTTTGTGGCCGGCTTTAGCTTGGCCGACACTGGCTAGACGGTATCACGTGGGTTGCCAAAATTCAACCAAGTCCTGCTGTCACCAGCCAAGAAAATGAGGTCAGTTGCTTTTTTCAACTTTTAATGTAATACTGTGACTCTTGTCAGTGCACGTTCACACAAAAAGTTTGCAATAAAGCTGTTACTTATCTTATTCATCAAAAAGTAACACATATTAACAGTAGAAATAGACGTGACCTGTTTGAGGTATTTAGTTTTTATTGGTTAAAAGTTACGAATGTTAAATTATGATAAAATGGGGCAAAAACCCGCAGCCTGGTGGGGCAAAGACCCGCGTGCGTGTCTTTACCCCATGAATGCGTGTCTTTACCCCATGAATGCGCGGCATTGCCCACGAATGTGAGTTTTCCCCTTATCATCCTCAGTTGTTTACAATATGATTCTGTTATTTATTTCCAGGAATTACAAAAGGAAGACGAGCCAGAAACCACTTACTGAATCCTTACTGAACGAAGCCAAGGCTCTGATAGAGACCAGTATAAGGAAGAAGAGGATATGGATGAAGATAAGGAAATATTTATTGCTCTGCAGTCTACAGAAGCTGCTACTGCACCTGTCGAAGTTCCGGATGTCATTGTGGGCCAAAGCCCTATTCTTGCCGACGATACTCTAGAAGAAGCCGACATAGAGGACATAGCTCCTCCCCATGACATCTCAGGACCTTCTCATAGCAACACTGGAACGTCACCAAGTGACATTTGTCCTCTGCCAAAAATTAAAATAAACAAGAAACGTTCAGGAAAAGGTTTGAAATCGACCCTGTTAACGTCAAGTCCAAATTTGCAACGCATGGAAATATTGCAAGAGGAAAAAGACAGCGCAGAAAAGACAAATGTTAAAAGGGCCTTGCTTCTAGATACAAAGGCAACGGCAATGAAAAGAAAGTTGTCCCCGGATAACACTTCATCAGACTCTGATTCGGATTTCTCGGTCCAGAACAGCAGCTCTGACTTGACCGTCTTGTCTTCGGGAGAAGAAGAGCTGGATTGTGCTTTAGAACTGCAACCTGGTGACTTTGCTGTCGTCAAGGTGCATGGAAAAGCAAAAAACTCTTTTAGGTTGTATGTGGTTAAAGTTACTGATTGTGATGATGAGGGATACGATGGTATCTTCTACAAGCGAGCGCCTCTAACTCAAAGGTTTACAGAAACAAGTGAAGAGTCCTATTTTGAAAAGGGAGACATTGTTTTGAAACTTTTGAAGCCAATTTTCAACAGTTCAACCCGATTAAAAAATATGATCAGTTTTTCAAATGACCTCAGTGATTTTTTAATTTCTTGAATAAAGAATGATTTTACAATGATTTTTTCCCAGTCTTATGTCATTAATTTTACAAATGGGGCAAAGACCCGCGGCTGCGGGTCTTTGCCCCATCGCTGGGGCAAAGACCCGCAACGTATAGATGCCCAGAAAATGCATTTATTTTGATTATTAATAAGAACACAGACTCAGTAGCCATATACATGGCGGGTAAGTGGCTAAACTATATCCACATGAAGTTTCATAGAATACATGCGAACGGTTTTCCAGAAATGTGTAAAAAACATGAAACTGCGGGTCTTTGCCCCGACCTACCCTACGAACAGCTGATAAGAAACTGTTTACCTGTGTCGCTGTCCACACTCCGTAGCTACAGCCACGTTCCTTCATTTACTCCAGAGTGTTAAATCTGGTACCCATTTCCTAGAGGCTGGGTGACCCCCGGAAGCCGCCCGGTTTCAAACACCGGCTGTGGGCTGCAGCGAGTCGCAGCTGGATTTGAGAGTGAGTCTCTTATCGACTGTGCTAACATGGCTCCCTTAAACCATTTTACTTATAATTTTTTGTTGGCCACCCTAAAGTTTTCAGCAAAAATAGAATGTTCATACCCTTATATTGCTACCAATGGCAAATGTAGACACTATCAAATTAATTTCTTGTTAACCTTTTCCTTCAGTTACCTCAGTGAAATTTTGGCGGGAGATGTATGGATCATCTGTATACTCTTTCTGATGCACTCTTCTAGTTAACTTGTTTTATTCTTAAGTTCATGCTTGATACTATCATTTCATATTTTGTGTGGTCTTCCCCATGCTCTTTGTTCATACTATTTTTTCAGTGTTGCTCTCTCTGTGGCAGTGGGAACCTGGACATTTTTTGCAGATTGCCACAGCATTCTATATATTGCTCTTCAATGTACTGTATGACTTTCTCCTATAGTAGGTTTCCAGGTCCCAAGTGTGGGGAACACAGGAATAGACCCACTGTCTCCCCAACAAGTGTGTCATAAGAGTCAACGAATTGGGAGCTTCTTTCTGTGTGCATCTGCTCAAGAGGCAAGGAACCAGCAGTCTGCATAAAAATATGTTGGATCTGTAAAACGGATGTGTTTGCACACTCACTTTCTGAAGAAGAAAAAGAATTGTATGACTGGTTACAGTCCCAGTCTTCTTCAAATTTCTTTATGTTTAATTCTATCTCTTCTTGTAACTCGAGCAGCTCTCCTAAGACATCTCATCTCTATTGTAGGATTTTCCACCTAGAAGTTGTAGTGTGACTGAATGTTTGATACCTAGAGCATAAAGTTTACCAAAAAATTGTTTTTAAACGTTTTGCCTGTCAGTTACCAAAAACTCACATATGTAAAGTGTATATCTGGGAGATAATATACTTTAGGAAATCCCTCCGTTTAACCATGCAAGATAAAGTGACAAGTGATCATTATCATCAAGTGCCTTGCCGACTGGCTTGGGCGACATGCCTCTCCACAATCTGTTTGTGTGCTGACACAACTCCATGCCATGCATCAAGACTCTCAAAAATCTTCTCTGGTTGTCTCCCCCTGTCCCTCCTTCCACAGGTCTTTCGATTGGTCAGAACATGTTCCCTTTTTCCTCTTTCCATAACATAGCTGAAAAATTATGACCGTCTCCGTCTGATGTCTGTGATAAGTTGTATTCAGGCTCCCACCTCTTTCAAAACCTCTTGGTTGCTCTTTTTGGCTGTCCAAGGTATTTTAAGCATTGTTCTGTAAAACCACTTCTCTGAGGCCTCAAGAAATTGTTTGGCCTGCCTACCGATTGTCCAGGATTCACAGCCATATGTTAAAATTGGATGTATGTAGCCAGCAACAATTCTTTTTCTGACCTTCAATGACAGAGATATATTACATAACATTTTCTTCATTCTATAAAATGCAGTTTTGCTGTCCTTTACTGAGAATGATTCTTAAATGATACTGTCAGTAAATAGTGAGGGGAGGATAACACTTAGTATCAAATACATTGAGGAGCAATCTGTGATATGTGTTCAGTTCTCTGATATTCCTATAGCTCTCAATTCAAAAAATTGTTTATGAGGCACGTCATCTGTTTACTAATTCTTTCCACTATCACTTCTTCCCAGTGTTTACAGTCTGTCGTCATCATATCATCCTTCGTGTGTCCTTAGACGTCACATAGGGCTTTCATTCTGTTCCTCTACTCCGCTCTAAAAGGTGAAATGGTCCATTGCTTTGATTGGTTTGTTCCTGTTCCTCCACTCCGCTCTAATAGGTGAAATGGTGAAATGGTCCATTTGCTTTGTTTGGTTTGAAATGGTCCTGTTCCTCCACTCCGCTCTAATAGGTGAAATGGTCCATTGCTTTGATTGGTTTGTTCCTGTTCCTCCACTCCGCTCTAATAGGTGAAATGGTCCATTGCTTTGATTGGTTTGTTCCTGTTCCTCCACTCCGCTCTAATAGGTGAAATGGTCCATTGCTTTGATTGGTTTGTTCTCTAGCAGTACATCTACATGATTTCTCATTGGTATCTTTAATATATTTGTTTTCTCTTATACTGGTGACTTTATTCATGAATAATCTGATCTAATTCATCAAGCAAACTGACCTCATTTATCAACCAATCTAATTAATTCATCAGAAAATCTAGTTCCATTTGTCAACCACTAGTTTAACTTCATTTATGAGTAAATCTGGCTTCATTCATCAACCTCCAGTCTAACTTCATTCATCAGCAAATCTGGTTTTATTCGTCAATATCAGTCTCACTTCATTCAACAGTAAATATGGCTTTGTTCATCAACCACCAGTCTGACTTCATCAGTAAATCTGGCTTTATTCATCTACCACTAGTCTGACTTCATTCATCAGCAAATCTGGCTTTCTCCTTCAACAACCAGTCTGACTCCATTCATTATTGAATCTTGTTTCCTTCACCAACCACCAGTTTAATTTAATTTATTAGTAAATCTGGCTTCCTTCACCAACCATGTCTGACTGCCTGACTTCATTTATCAGTAAATCTGGTTTCATTCATCCAACCATCAGTCAGACTTCATTCATCAGCAAATCTGTCTTCCTTCACCAACCACCAGTCAGATTTCATTCATCAGCATATCTGGCTTCCTTCACCAACTGCCAGTCAGATTTCATTCGTCAGTAAATCTGGCTTCATTCATCAACCACCAGTCTGACTCCATTCATTAACAAATCTGGCTTCATTCACCAACCTGTCTGAATTTATTAATAAATAAATTTGCTTTCACTCACCTGTCAGTCTGACTATAATTCACCAACTTCATTATGAGCTATGTTGATTTTTTCCAGACAAGATAGACCATGCTGGTGACAGTGAGAGTGTCCGTACTTCTATCCGGGATGAGAACAGACAGCGACCACCCCGCAGATACATTTTGAATTTGCTGAAGGTTCTGATGAAGAGGTGCTGAATATGTTTCTGTATTATTTACATGGTATATTTTAACTACCGCTTTTCTTTTGGGTTCACACGCATATTCGTGCCCGCACACATGCATGCGCACACACACACACGCACGTGCACACATGCATGTGTGCACACACACACATACACACACATGTACATACACACACAAATGCATGCACACACACGCAAGTGCAACCCAGTAATTCTGAATTAGCTAAGACTAGTGGACTCGTTTTATTGTCAAACGTCTGCCTGACCTTATACTTTTTAATAGTCACACTGAAGAACGTATTAGGACATCAGTATTTTTTCACCTACTGTCTGTATTTACCTTTTGTTAGGGCAGTGTAGACCTAAAGATTTAGGGTCACATGGCTAGTGCTGTTGCCATAGATTGTGAAGGTTAGGTTGTTTATTTTTGCCCCTGACAAAAAAAAACTCCATCACCTTACTGCTGGTTGAACTCTAGTTTCTTGTTTGTCAATTTTACAGGTGCAGAAAGGATTGCATTCTAAAGTTTAGGGATTTTTGTAAATGATATTCATTTATTTATTTATTCGTTCATTTATTCATTCATTCATTCGTTCATTCATTCATTCATTCATTCATTCATTTGTTCATTCATTTATTCGTTCATTCATTCGTTCGTTCGTTCGTTCATTCGTTCGTTCGTTGGTTCGTTCGTTGGTTCGTTCGTTCATTCGTTCGTTCATTCGTTCGTTTGTTCATTCATTCATTCATTGTCCTGTTGTGTCATTATATGTCACATATAGCTCCAGTCTATTCCTCCATTCCATTTTACCCAATGCAGTCACTTCACAGTCACTTCGCAGTCACTTCGCAGTCACTTTGCAGTCACAGTCAGTGTCTGTCGTTAAGGTGTTTCGCACACACTTCGTGATGCCAAGGTGCTGGGTTCGTTCCCATCTGCGGGCCTTACGGCTTGCATTAGTTTTGACAGTGTTATCGAGAATCCAGGCCAGCACTTCTGGGTTCTCTCATCAACATTTGCACTAGGGTTTATCTTGGACATCCTCATTTTCTTCAATCCTTCTGTTTCCCGTTTCAGTGCCTGTTTGGTGTGTAAGTGACATCACAGACCCCTTAAATTTGTTCTGCAGACACCCGGGAGTCCAGGGACTACCAGTTAGAAAAATAAAAAAATGCTGTGACCAACCTCTATACTGTAAAAAGTGACTTAGAAGGTTGGAGATATAACAGGCTACCTCATTCTGAAAAAAAAAAAATGCTGCAAAATCCAACCACAACATGAAAAATGAAAAGTAAATAAAATGAAGAACAATAACTTACAAAGCCAAGATCACGGGAGCTTTTATTATAGAAAAAAATTGATCAATGTGGAAAACACAAAAAGAAGTCTCGATTTTTAACCAGCCTTCTTTCACCTGGAAAGATTTTTAGAGCTCTCACTTAGAATGTCAAAACTATCTATACACTGGGAATATAGTAATAAGAGAAATCAAATATTCACTTTTAGAATTTGTGGGCTTATATAAAATAGAATAGATGGAAGCAGATAACAAGCTTCTAAACATAAATTAAACACAACATTGTCTCAGGAGACAAGCTTCTAAAAATGAATGAAACACACGTTGTCTCAGGATATATGGAGGAGAATGTTCCTAACAGTAAAGGCTAATACTGTCTTAAGAGACAGACAATTTGTGTGTGGATTTTTTAAATTACATGTAAATTAAATCTTTCTGAGTTTTTCAGCCTGCAGAGATTATTTAAATTGCATTGCATTTTGTGTGTGTGTGATTATTTTTACCACAAAAGGAAAACAGTTTTTAAATGTTTAAATAAGACAGTGTTTTTAAAATAATGTGAATGTAAGTTTATAAGTTATTTTAAAACATTTTAAAAGGTGATTTGTGCACTGAGTTGAATTTTACACCCAGGCTGTAATATCTTTACTTTTCAGGCCAACAAATCAATTTTCAGCAAACCTTTAATTAGTCATCTTTACAAAATGCTTAATGGGAGGTTTAAAATAAATAAATAAAATAAATACAAGTCCCTTTACACACCAGCGGCACACCACGCCTCGATGAATGATGTGGTCAGCATAACACTGGCCACCTTTGCTTCCCAGGACTTTACCTGGTACCCATGTAAGGCTTGGCTGTCTTGGGAGCCAAGGTCATGTTCAAACAAAATCTGGCTCCATTATGATCTGAACCCACCACCTTTGGATCCACGGGCAAGCATCTTGCTGCTACACTATGGTGGCTCTCTAAGGGGCAGTGAGTCTGTTATCTCCCCCAACCCCCCAAAATGAGGGCCTGGAACCCACATGGGGATTTCAGTAGTTTAATTCTGTCTTTGATGTAAGACTTGTTTTAACTAGTTTTGTTGATCTAATTTATTATCATTGTTAGGGCACCCTGGTGCGTTGTCCCACCCCATACCCAAAGGAACTGAAGCAGAAAGTGAGACATGCCCGCAGTCTGGCCTTGAGACAGTTAATCAACACTGACAGTGGGTCAGGAAATAATGAAGATGCTGTGGGTGATGCTGGTGACGATGACCACACTGCCAGGTTGGCAGGGGCCACACATGAGGTATTGTCTATACATTGAAAACTTTTTAGTAAAGATGTTATTGTTTCATTCATCACCTTTCTAAAATTCTTTTATTTTTTCTTATGCATTATTTACTTAAATATATTAATTTTCTTAAATTCACTTTTCAGAAAAAGGAATTATCAATTAATGTGAAAGATAATATTTATTTTCTGGCTCAGGGAAAATTCCATTAAGAATAAAAATTCTGATCAGTCTTTATTTTGTCTGTTGTCGTATATGTCTAGATATGGACTTTAGATAGACATGTCCTTTGAGTAATTTTAGAACAGTTGTAAGACAAGAAGTTGCTATGAAGTAAGTTCTAATGTGATTTGTATCAAGCGGATGTGGGTCTGGGGGAGACGGATGTGGGTCTGGGGGAGACGGATGTGGGTCTGGGGGAGACGGATGTGGGTCTGGGGGAGACGGGTGTGGGTCTGGGGGAGATGGGTGTGGGTCTGGGGGAGACGGGTGTGGGTCTGGGGGAGACGGGTGTGGGTCTGGGGGAGATGGGTGTGGGTCTGGGGGAGACGGGTGTGGGTCTGGGGGAGACGGGTGTGGGTCTGGGGGAGACGGGTTCCAGACATTAATGTTATATTGTGCTATAGGGAGGGATTGAAGTGACAACCCGTGGCATTGCCCAGTGTGGCTAGTTGGCCAGTGTGGCTAGTTGGCCAGTGTGGCTAGTTGGCCAGTGTGGCTAGTTGGCCAGTGTGGCTAGTTGGCCAGTGTGGCTAGTTGGCCAGTGTGGCTAATTGGCCAGTGTGGCTAGTTGGCCAGTGTGGCTAGTTGGCCAGTGTGGCTAGTTGGCCAGTGTGGCTAGAAAGATCCACTCACTTTGGGAACAGTCTTCCACAATTAGAACATGGGATTTCAGGACCGCTGTTGTTGTTGTTGCCCTCACATGAGTTTAATGTAGGCTCTTATTTTTTTAGAAAAAAGGCCAGTTTTCATCATAGGTTGCCTTAAAAGGTGTTGGTACTCAGCACAAAGTTCCTGTCGAGTACCTGTTACAGTTTTGCTGAAAAATGCTGCCTCAAAAAAGTGCCGGTATTGGCCACTTTAGACGACCCTAATTTCATGTACTTTTTCTCAGATGCTCAGCTTTGAATTTCTCATTTATCGCCGTTCACCTTCTGATTTGAGGGATAACCATATGCAGATCACATTTATAATCTATAGCTTATACACACGCTAGTCAAAGTTGAAAAAAATTGTTTGCTGAGAATTAAAACACGGAAGGCAGTCGAAAGGTATATATATGGCCAGTTAACTTGTTTGCCCCATAAAAATCTTTAAACTGAGATTTTCCTTTTAAATTTGTCTAAACAGAAATGCATAGTTATAATTGCCTGAAACTCTACCTTAAGAAGCTAGAGGAAGAAGCCAAAGAAATGCTGAGTCTTCGTCAGTAAAAAAAAAAAAATTTAATGTGGTTAAAACCTGTGACAACCGAGCAGATAGGCAAGCCTGCTAGCTATTACACCATGACATATCTAAGTCAATAGAAAGATGATTTTTTTATGTTTGGTTTAGTTATTTTTGCACAAAAATGATATATGTATATATATATATCTGTGTGTGTGTGTATGTATGTGTGTGCGCGCATGTGCATGCATGTGGGGGTGGGTGGGTGCGAGCGTGCGTGCGTGAGTGCTTGCATGGAAGTCATCCACTGATGAGCCAAGGGACGCCAATAAGTGTGATAGTTGCAACCAGTACAGGAACTGTTTAAATATACATATTGACCATATCCCAAAGCTGTTTATATAGACATACTGACCACTGCCCAAAGCTGTTTATATAAAAAAATTGACCACTGCCTAAAGCTGTTTATATAGACATACTGACCACTGCCCAAAGCTATTTATATAAACAAATTGACCACTGCCCAAAGCTGTTTATATAGACTTTTGACCACTGTCCAAAGCTGTTTATATAGACATACTGACCACTGCCCAAAGCTATTTATATAAACAAATTGACCACTGCCCAAAGCTGTTTATATAGACTTTTGACCACTGTCCAAAGCTGTTTATATAGACATACTGACCACTGCCCAAAGCTGTTTATATAGACATTTTGACCACTGCCCAAAGCTGTTTATATAGACATTTTGACCACTGCCCAAAGCTGTTTATATAGACATTTTTACCACTGCCCAAAGCTGTTTATATAGACATTTTGACCACTGTCCAAAGCTGTTTATATAGACATTTTGACCACTGCCCAAAGCTGTTTATATAGACATACTGACCACTGCCCAAAGCTGTTTATATAGACATTTTGACCACTGCCCCAAGCTGTTTACAAAGACATACTAACCACTGCCCAAAGAAGGTCATCAAAAATATATGAAAGTCAGAAAACCAGGTTTCCTGTTTCTCTTTTTAAGCTAGGCTGACCTCAAAGCCTACAAATAGTTTTTAACTCTTTCAGTGATCTTCACCCTTATAGAGAATTAAATATGTGTCCCATGATGTGTTATCCCTTAGCCACACATTTCTCAGCAGCAAAAACAATATTGTCCCAAAATAATCTGTATGTAGAGCTGCCTCCTCCCCCCCCCTCCCAACCTAAACATGGGGCCCTCAGAATCCATATAGAAACAGGAGTATGTTACTGGAGCCAATTCATTCAAGCCTCATTGCAAAGAGAGAACAAGCCAGGCGGGATAAAAATCCAGTACAGAGAAGTTGACCATCTTACTTCAAGTGCATTCATTCATTCATTTAACTTTCTCAGCACCACAAGACTTTATTTTAAACACTTAAGGAGATAGCAGACACAGTGGGGGAAAAAAGTTCAAGTCTATTACTTTGAAAGATATGTTCACAGTCAAAACAGGTGTGGGACAGGAATATGTGCTCTCCCCACTTTTAGTCAGCTTTTATATAGACAGAATATCTAAAGCAAGTTCTAATACAGACAACATAGATCATTTTAATCATGAGGAAGTACAGACATCAGATGAAGTACTCGACACACCCACATTAAACGAACTACTATTTGCTGACGGCCAGTGCTTGTTCTGCCCTGAAGAAGAAAGATTCAAGACCACATTAACAAGTTCAACTCAGCATGCAGTGAATAGAACAATCAATGTAAACTAAACTGAAACACTGCAGGTTAGTAGAACCCCTGACTCACTACATATACAGCTGAATGGTTCTGGTCTGAATCAAGTTAGAGAGTTTAAATATCTAGGAAGTATGATCAAGGAAGATGGTAGAATTGACAGAAAAATAGAAATCAGATTAAAAAAACCAAGTGAACTTAAATACCCATTGTCACCATTATTTAGACATGCAAACATAACTGTGATTTAAAAAGAGATGCCATATACTATGCTGTATGTTAGCCTATCTTGCCAGATTTCCTTAGCATGCTCAAACCAAATATAAAATATATAATTACACACCTTTCATTATTTGATACAAACAGATTTTAGCAGATCACACACTGTAGCTTGGTTGAAACAGAAAGAATTAAAAATCTATCTTGATGAGCTTTCAATCTTATGACCATTAGACCAGCAATCAAGTTTGCTAGCCACTGCTCTACCATAAGTTCCTATCAAAGTAAAAACTCGTCTCTGTGATAATGTTTTTGCAGAAAGACTATGGTAATTCACAAGGATCTGATAAAGCAGAAATGAGAATGAGAGAAGGGAGGGGCATGAGACCTGCATCTCCACGACTCCAGGAATCACATCGTTTGTACAGATATGATAAAGTAAGAGTGAATCACATTGTTTATGCAGATATGATAAAGTAAGAGTGAATCACATCATTTATACAGATATGATAAGTAAGAGTGAATCACATCATATATTCAAATATGATAAAGTAAGAGTGAATCACATTGTTTATACAGATATGATAAAGTAAGAGTGAATCACATCCTTTATACAGATATGATAAGTAAGAGTGAATCACATCATTTATACAGATATGATAAGTAAGAGTGAATCACATCATTTATACAGATATGATAAAGTAAGAGTGAATCAAATCATTTATACAGATATGATAAGTAAGAGTGAATCACATCATTTATACAGATATGATAAAGTAAGAGTGAATCAAATCATTTATACAGATATGATAAGTAAGAGTGAATCACATCATTTATACAGATATGATAAGTAAGAGTGAATCACATCATTTATACAGATATGATAAGTAAGCGTGAATCACATCATTTATACAGATATGATAAGTAAGAGTGAATCACATTGTTTATACAGATATGATAAGTAAGAGTGAATCACATCATTTATACAGATATGATAAGTAAGAGTGAATCACATTGTTTATACAGATATGATAAGTAAGAGTGAATCACATCATTTATACAGATATGATAAGTAAGAGTGAATCACATTGTTTATACAGATATGATAAGTAAGAGTGAATCACATCATTTATACAGATATGATAAGTAAGAGTGAATCACATTGTTTATACAGATATGATAAGTAAGAGTGAATCACATCATTTATACAGATATGATAAGTAAGAGTGAATCACATTGTTTATGCAGATATGATAAAGTAAGAGTGAATCACATCATTTATACAGATATGATAAGTAAGAGTGAATCACATCATATATTCAAATATGATAAAGTAAGAGTGAATCACATTGTTTATACAGATATGATAAAGTAAGAGTGAATCACATCCTTTATACAGATATGATAAATAAGAGTGAATCAAATCATTTATACAGATATGATAAAGTAAGAGTGAATCACATCATTTAAACAGATATGATAAAGTAAGAGTGAATCACATCATTTAAACAGATATGATAAGTAAGAGTGAATCAAATCCTTTATACAGATATGATAAAGTTAGAGTGAATCAAATCATTTATACAAATATGATAATGTAAGCGTGAATCACATCATTTATACAGATATGATAAAGTAAGAGTGCATCACATCATTTATACAGATATGATAAAGTAAGAATATGAAATAAATTAATCTTGCAAAAGATAATTTGCTCTGTTAATCTGTATGTCTTAAATCTGTTTGAGTTGCCATAGTTATAAATGAGTTGATTAATCAGTTTGTTTCCTTTTTCTCCTTCCTTAATCTTCTCTGTTCTCTTCTTCATACCTTCTGTTGCCTCAACCTGGTATGCAATTTTTAAAACTGTTAAGACTATTTGTTTTAATCTGTTAACACCATAGCGGTGATAATTATCATTTTAATGACACAGGAAATTTTATTCAGCTGCAGAATAAAGACAGTGTGGTTTACAGGCAGTGTTTTTGTGTGCAACCCTGAGACTTATGGAGGATTAAACACATGTCCTATGATCTTTGATGTGGAAGGTCTGATCCCTCAGCCACACACTCCTCAGCAGTATCAACAGTATTGTCCCAGAATAATCTGTACCATATACACTTGCATTCATGCAGCAGTCACGCAGCTTTTTTAGTAAACAGTTTTGTGTTTGCTTTGATATTTATAATATGATGGCATTGTAAAAGGATCTTTGAATAATTTGATGACATTGTTAAAGGATCTTTGAATAACCTGATGGCATTGTTAAAGGATTTTTTAATAATTTGATAACATTGTAAAAAGATCTTTGAATATTTAGATTATTTGTAAAAGGATCTTTGAATAATTTGATGAAATTGTTAAAGGATCTTTGAATAACTTGATGACATTGTTAAAGAATTGTGGAATAATTTGATAACATTGTTAAAGGATCTTTAAATAATTTGATAACATTGTTAAAGGATCTTTGAATAATTTCATGACATTGTTAAAGGATCTTTAGATATGACAGTATCTTTCTTTACCTCTGTATCACATATTCTTACTATTGTCACTGTGTAAACCTTTATATTGACATTGATTGACTTGTCTAATCTTGCAGCCTTTACTATACACAGAACAATTATGAATGTTGCTTGTTTACACATTTGCTATAAACAAAACAAATCTGAATGTTGCTTGTTTACACATTTACTTTAGGTAGCACACATGTGAGCATTTGCTTTCTTTGAAACAGCTGTGCTGGTCTCAACCGTCACCTGAGAATTCTACCCAAAAAAAAAAAAAAAAAATAGGGTATGAACCTGTTAGAATTCCAGTAAAAAATTTAAAAACAACAACAGTTTTTAATTAGGTCACTAGTAAGTTCGTTAAAAGTGTATTTATCAAAATTATTTTAATTATGAATATTGAAGAGGGTTGGCTAGTAAAGACAATAAAACAAAGAAAATTGAAATATTTTGGTCACTTGAAACGTCATGGAAGTCTAGAGAGAACAATAATGGAGGGGTATATGCCTGGGAAGAGAGGAAGAGGAAGGCCAAGGAGAAGATGGGTGCAGGATGTGGCAGATGATCTCCAGATGGGTGTATCAGACGCAGGACATCTTGCTCAGGATAGGAAGGTTTTCCGGAGGGTTGTTATGGCAGCGAGGTTCCGCGAGGGACATGCTACTACTGAATGAATTTTAATTATTATCCAAAATATAGAAAGATGTGTGAAAGTAGTAATCAGTAAACACATGTGGGGTGAAGCATTAAACTGAATACATCCCCAGGGGCCTAAAAAACATAAGCGTATCAGGTGATTCATGGTACCACAAGGGCTGATGAGAAAATCTGAAAATCTGATATTATCTTAACTTTAAAAAAATAAAAAAGCCATTTAGCACAAAGGAAAACCTTCTCCAAATGCTATTGTTATTATCCTGACCTCCTGAATGTTTGCACAGGTGTGGACTCAGCCAATTGCGTTAACTATATATCTCATAATCAGGTCACGAAAGGCAACTTGGAAAAGTTACATTTACAGGGAATTGGAGCCAACTGGAAGTGTCAGTTTTTCGGCTTCTTAGGGCAAAAGGGTTGAAAACTAATCCTTCTGATGCATGAGAGCAAATCAAGATTACTATTTTGGCATGCTAATGCACTGAAGACTCTGCCACTATGGCCCCTATACAATATACAATGTGGTGTTCCTAAATTTTGTTTTAAAAGTTTTATTTTTCTACATTGGTTTCAGGAAAAGCTGATAAAAGACAAAGCTCGTATGCAGCATAGACTATCAGTGCCAGAGTTTGACAGTGGGCTAAATGGAATATTGAAAAATGTACAAAATCAGAATAGAAAAGGTTAGTAATAGTATACAAGAAATATCTTGTTCAACCTTTCTAGATTGAAACTGAGCTGCATAGCAAAGTGTGCTCATTACATTGTAAAGAAAGATAATCAGAAATCATAAGTTGCATTTAAAAGCACTGATTTTTTTTTCTTAAAGTGAAATGGTTTGGTCATTTAGCTGGGCTGCCAACCGACAGTATATCACAACATAGTTAAGATCGGCGGAGCCAAATGCGAAAGACACCGGGCATACAGAAAGACTTATCAGTTAACAAAGAACTGGCACTGTTAGTCACAGGACACTGGTTTTCGTATTGAGGGAAGAGCCTGAGCACCTGTGGACATGTCTAGAGTGCAATGATCATATCCCAAATAACTAATGCATATGGTTGGAGAATTGGCTACAGAGATGTCTTAAGGTGCGCCATGATGAGAGCGACATTCTGGACAGAACTTGCTAATTGGATGATGATATTATTTTGCTTACATTTATAAGTTGCCTTCTTTTATAGTAAAATTAGCCATTTCAAATTATTATAGCCTAGGTAATTTTTTTTTTTTTTTTTTTTTTTGGGATTGAAAGACAATTTTAGCTCATTTGGTAACACTAGTCACACGGTCAAATGCACCAGAAATGAATTTTGCTGATTTTAACTAATTTTGATGTGCTTAAAAAAAAAAATGACATTTAAAAAATGTTGACTGGCTCTAGTTTTGAAGAGATACACTATTAGTTTACTCAGATAGGGCCACATTATATATATATGAGGCAACTGTTGTGGCCGGTTGCATAATTTGTTTCTTTTGACTAATAAAACTGTAACCAGAAGTTGTCTTGCCTACAATTACATCGCCTTTGTGTATGCAGATCTTACCTCTGACAAAATTTTGCCATTATTAGCTAGTGTCATTGTCTTTACTAAAACTTTCATAGTTAGAAATGCCTAGGGCATGTGTGAACAGTGCCGATTACTTTTGTTGTGTACGTTGTGAGGTAACATTTCTCTAAAAAAAAATGAAAGATAACTAAAGTGATTAAAAGGCATACAGTTTGTATTGTGGCTGAAGAAAAGAATTATAATTGGCAATGCTCTAGTTTTAGCATTTAACAGCTTGTATTCATACTGAAAGTGCTGCGTTCTAGAGACTTTGAGATAAAGGAGTCCAAGACAATTAACCACATGTTGGAAATGGATATTAAACAAAGACAAGCATGTAGAAACAAACTGCGGGTCAAAGAAAGAAGATATGCCAGCAAACTGCTACTGGGTATGTTGAGCATGGAGACCCTGAGATGTTTGCTGCATGTCGGAGGATTGAGCACAGTCGCATCGATGTGCTAGGATGTTGATACAAACAACAAGTAACAAGTGTCATCATTCAAAGCTTTGAATCCACAGTATTGTCCTTTTGAAGTTATTTTTTAAATTGCTTATTTAATATAATCTTACTCAGTTGCACATATTTCTTTGTGATGTAATTGTTTGACATTTATACATTGTAGACTTATCTTCTGCAACACTATAGCTTCTCATGAAATCAGTAGTGTACAGGGTTTGTTTCTGGTGGTATGCAGTGCTGCCATTTATTTTTTACATCATGTTTTCTTTTCAGCGCTACTTTAACTCTTTGAGTCCCAGAGAGTTTAGCATCACAGGCCCAAGGGGTAGTTAAGATAGAGGTAAAATCAGCGCATCATGCGCTCATTGGGCTTCTAGGTAGGAACCTATGAACGTCTGATGTGTTCCTTGGGACTCAAAGAGTTAACTGAAACTTTGTGATTAGTACCAGCATATTTTTTTAGTAACTTTGTAGTGAGTTCGGGTACCTATTTTTGTTTCAGAAAAAAAATCTGGTAGTACACAACATTTGTTGTGCTGTTATTGCTTAAGTAATCTTTATATTTTTTTCCATTCTAGTCAAGCAAGAAGAGGCCTTTTTGCCTTGCCGCTCAGATTCTGTGCCTAACTTGACATCTGATGATAGCAAAGAAGTTAAAATGGCTGCAAAAGACACTAAAACATCAACTGTGTCATCACCACTGACATTTAATGACATTTACTTTAAGCAGCCAGTCTCCCAGCACAAACAACGAAGACCACGAAGGACACGAGACTATCATTCTGATACAGATCATCTCAGTGAGATTGATCTTAACACTTCAGAGGTCAAGAGGTCAAGGATGATTCCAGCCAGGGGTGCTAACTCTGAAATACTTTCAGTGCAGTCTCAACCCTTACCACATTTGTACTACCATCAATACAAAAACAGTGGCAGGTGGAAAGAAACCACTGGATGTGCCAGTGATGTTGGCGGCTACAGTGGAGGCGGTGGTTCATTCCCTACAGCAAATGCAGCAGCTGCTGCATTTCAGAGAAAATATCAACAGTTCAATCACAGTTCACTTCAAAATATTTCACCTACTGATTTCCATTCAAGGGCATGCACTCCAGATTCTTCTAACCATGCTCATCCAAATCCTGCTATCAGTTCAGAAATGTATAAATTCGATAAAAGAACTTATAATGACTTTCAAAGACATGACAGTAAAATTAATGACTTCAGAAGGAATACCAAAAGCCAGCAAGAGTACACACAGAGAACAGTAAGGACTAAATATCGTGACATTCCAGAGCACACAAAAACTGTTGTAACCAGTGATGAATTATATAATCAGTCACCCAAGAATGATTATTATCAGTGCAGAACCAAATCCGATCCAACAATTAACATCCACTACTCATCTAGTCAGACTTTATCCAGACCTGTACATGAAAAAACTTCAAATTCTTCAAAGTTTCAGCCACAGCTGGCGTCGGGACCAACATGAACTTTCTCAGTAACTCTGAGTTTTTGCAACAGAAACCAGTTCCATTAACACAAAACTATCCAATGTCATTTTCTTCCAAATCAAGGAGCACTGTTATGAATGGAAGCAATTCATCTCTACACTGTTCCTTACATTCTCCAAATTCATCTCCTCCTGTGTTTCACAAAGATGTAGTGATCCACAGTACTCCAGTCCACTATAAATCTACACCTTTGGTGTCTGAGTCACCAGCTGCATTGAGTTTTGAAGAATATAAAGGAAGCAAACTGAGTATAGTATTAGAAGAAAGAGCTATGTCAGAAAAGCATTTAGTAAGTATTTATTTTAATTTTAATGTGTTGTTCAGTTAGATTGCTCATTTGCCATGTCTACACTTTATCATAACCATCACTATCGTGTGCTGTACCGGCAATCCAACAGTTACGTACTACTCACCAGATAGAAGAAACATATCCTACCTATGATTACATCACCTTTGTGTATGCAGATCTTACCTCTGACAACATTTTGCAATTATTAGCTAGTGTCATTGTCTTTATTAAAACTGTCATAGTTAGAAATGCCTGGGGTGTGTGTGGGGTTAGAATGTCTTTTCCACTCCTGATTATCTCAATAGGAATTCCATCTCTGTCCGTGGCTTTTCCTGGAAGCCAATTCATCAGTAGCATTCCTAACTTCTACAACTGTTGGAAATGTGTCCAGATAGTCAAGAGTTGGTAGCATCTTCACTGCATTAAGAGCACCGCCTGTTATTTTGTTATGAACTAAGTATAGCTCCAGATAATGTTTCACCTATCTATCTAGATGCTTCTTTTTGTCGTTAATAATTTCCCCATTCAAACTCTTTAGCAGTGCACTTTTTAAATAGAAGGACCAGTGGCCTTCTTGATTACCTCATACATGCCCCTGACATTACCACCACTGCTAGTATTATGAATGCTTTCACATAACTGGATCCAGTAGTCATTTACACACTGGCTAGCTACCTTTTGCAAATGATTTCTAGCTGCTCTCAATTATGAGAATGTTATGAGAATGTTATGAGAATGTTATGAGAATGACTTCTGATATACCTGCCAAAACAGCTCTCACATGGACACCAGAGGGAAAGAGAAAACAGGGGCACCCAAAAACAACATGGAGACGAACGATGGAAAGTGACCTGAGTGCGGCATCTTTGACATGGAAAACTGCATCGAAGATTGCACAGGACAGGAAAGCATGGACAGTCCTCTCTGAAGCCTCATGTGCCACTAGGCATAAAGAGAACTGATAATGATGATGATGACTCAATTACCTGAGTGTTCTTTGTTGTTCTTCCCTTGTTTTTGAGGAGTATCAACTTTTTTGCTGTCAATTAAAGGTTGGCGTGTCTGGCTATTTGCTTCAAACCATCCTTACTTCTGTATTCTATAATCCCATAGACTGATACAGCTGTTTTGTAAACAGTCTCCCTAATTGCATCCCATTTTAGGCTTGCTGTAGAGTTATCCTGGATGTCAGTGAAAACATTTTCAAGCTGTTGTTAAAACTCAAAACACTTTTCAGGGTCTTTAGTTTTGGAAATATTTAACCTATGGATATTTTTGATTTTTGAAGTGAACATTTTCTTTGGTTTCATCCAAACTTTTGTAGCAACTAGGGAATGATCAGTATCACAATCAGCACTGTGGTAGCTGTAAGTTAGTGATACACAGTTCAAGTGCTGCCTCCTTGTGAGAATAAGGTCAAGCTGGTGCCAGTGGCCAGATCTTGGATGTTTCCATGACACCTTATGGCGGTTTTTAGTTTTGTAAAAAGGAGTTTGTGATGCACAAGTCACTTCTAGTGCAGAAATCCAGTAGTCTCTGCCCATTTACATTCGTGTGGCCAACATTATATTTTCCAAGACAAACTGGCCATGAGTTTGAGTTTGACTTCATGTGAGCATTAAAGTCACCAAGTATATAGATGCCGTCAGATTTAGGAATTGCTTTCACTGCATTATCCAGTTCCTCATGAAAAGAATCCTTTGCATCCTCTGTTGACGTTAGAGTGGACGCATGTGCAGTAACGAGGGTGATAAAACCACTTGAGGTAGACAATTGTAGAGATAATATTTGGTCACTTCCTCCAGTTAGACTCTCAACAGATCACAACAGTGAATTCTTTACTGCGAATCACACTACATACAACCAGATTTCTTCCTGACCTCTACCTTTCCAGAAGAATGCATAATTATTTTCTCTAATGGACCCATCCTCTGGCAGACGAGTTTTCTGTAGGCCAGCAAAATCTATGTCAAGTTTGATGAGTTCGGCATCAATGATAGCCATTTTTCTCACATCACTAAAGATTTCCAGGTCAGTGGAAAACCCAGGACAATGGTCCTCATGTTCCAAGAGCCAGGTCTAAGCTTGAGGTTATGTTTCTTTTTATTGCCGGGTGTATTGGTTTTTACAGCCTGCAGTTCGGATTTTGTCCTAGCTCCAAGCACACAAGCATACAAGCTGTGGTGGATCAACACCTTATTGGAGGGGGGGGGGGGGGGGCTGCCCAGCTTGAGACAGGCAGTAGTTGATCAGTGACATTCAAAGATGTCTTCCACCACCAGAGGCAACCCGTGGCGCCCTCGTCTATGCCTATTGACAAGGACTTATAACCTCTAACTGCTGCCTCTCGATTTGTTTCCGAGACCATTTATGGATAGGGATGAAGTTCGTCCTTTCCATAGCACAAAGCCTGGGCAGTATTGTAGAGACCATATGTTGCCCATGCATCATGATCCCTCCCTCGACCTGCCTTGTTTACTCCAAAGGAAAGGTAAAACCAGTACATTTGGAACAAAGCAGGCTGCAGAAGCTGCCAGCTCAGGAGAGCAGTGCTCTATGTGTCCGCCTGTCAGAGCTTCCATCCTAGACCAGCTGCCAGCCAAGGCTAAGGGCTTGGTCTGGTCTGCCCTGCCATAACACAAAAGTTTTGAGGTTGCATTTCCTCTTTCTAGGATAAGGCTAGTATCCTCCAAATGCGCTCCTCCCCCTGAAGCCGTTGGTACAATATGGAATGTTAGGTTTGGTTTATGCGGCCCAACATTCGATATAACAGAAAACATGTGGTACCAGCTACTGTTATACGGTAGCTCAGTCAAATCAGACCAAGACCTGACCATGAAACTTATCTCTTAACCTATATCTTATCAATTTTGTATATGTTTTTTGGTTTTTGTTTACAGTAATTTTACTCACATAAATTATTCCATAGTCTTCATAGCCAACTTCTTCCTGTTAGTTTCAACTTTCAAAGTCTTTCAGAACATCTTGTCATATTTTACTTAGAATCACACACCATTTTCTATACAATCTTTAGGAATAATTTATTTGTGTCAGTGCTGCTTTATCAAGTAAAAGTTGTGTTTGCTTTTGAGAAAATCTTTGTATCCTAATTTTTCCAGGCAACTGAGGAGTCAGGTATCTATGGGAAAACACTGGCCACACCCCCTCCATACAGTCCTGCACCACCTTATGTAAAATCTTCAAACGCTAAAGGGGAAGGACGATGCACAAACAGGTTATCCAGTGATTTAGCATTTAATCACAGAGACTCAGCTCGCAGTGCTTCATCACTTGCTGCCAATTCTGTCATTGACAATTTTATTGTGAATCAGCAGAGTTTATCTCCATGTGGATTTCACGGTAGTGATCCATACATTGACCTGCCTACCTCAGATAGAGAAAAGTTAGGCTCCAGAGACTTTGAAGACAGTGACCACAAAAGGCAAAATCATTTCTGCACCAGTGACTCTTACAGATCCCACAGAGGCACCCCAACACATAACTCAGACAGCAGTTCATCACACATAGGATCTGCTTCCATGACAGGGTCAGTCTATGTTTCAGGAAGAGGTCCAGTGGGACGTGGTCGTTCAAACTCTTTTGATTCACAGATAGAGGTCCATAATAATTCTTCTCCTGCTGAATCTCCTCATTCAGTCAGTGTTTATTCATCTCAGTCAAGATCCAGGAAGCAAGATCTCCATGAGCCCTATTCTCTTTCAATAGATCCTGGAAACTATGAGGAACTTCTAACAACCACGAACCAGGAGCACTCTTCACAGGTTTCTAGTTCCTCTGACAGCGGATATGGTCATGGACAACATGTGTATGAATTCATAGGTGATCATTTAAGGGCTAAAGGAGAAAAATTCTCATCCACTCAAGAGGAATCTGTGCCAGCAAAATTAAGCATAAATTCAGCTTCATCATCTCAAAGACAAGTGTCTGTTAAAGGATCATTAAATGTCTTGTCAAAGGATACCACTCCTGCTAAAGACCTGTCCAAGGCAGGTCCAACTACACAGGAACATAAAGAACAGGTCAGTAAATGTTTGATAATTTTATTAAATTTACTCACTAGGTTAATAATGCCATCAAGAGAACAGAATTTTGACAGAAAAGTTTTGGTTAAGAAATTAGTTAAAAGTAGAGCATTCCAATTTAGTGTGTGTCTAAAAACAGATGTGCTGCCTAGAAAAAGCAGTGCCTTAGAGTAGCAGTGTATGTTACTAATTTCCCGTCCTTTTTAGGATGACATTTTTCTTTATTTAAAGCCCTGCTCTTGCTTTTTCCAGGGGCAGCAATATAGCCTGGCCATAAATATGGCCTAAAGGCTGAATGCGGTTTCTGGGACCTTCCACGATGATCCTCACCCGCAAGGTGGCACATTGTGTCATCTGGTGTTTATCACTTGTGTGATGTCCTGGTGGGGTAGAAAGTCAGTCAGTCCATCAGCAGCGTATGTTTGTTCATGTGGTTGCGTGATAAATTTGAAGTTACCATGGCAATCACATGTCTGATTTTGAATTTCCAGTTGATTTGACTTGTGTTTTTTTCTTTTCTTTTAATTCCAGCTAAAAAGATTTTTTTAATGCTTCATTTTATGTTGATTTTAGCCTACTTATGCACCAGCTGAGATAAAGTGAAATATGCCAGGCAGTAACTTAATACTAATGACTTAATACAAAATACTTTCCTATAGGCCTTCTAAACCACACCCCACCCAGTCAATCCACTTGACACTGTCTCTCTGGCAAGAACTGCCTCTGTCATTGTTTGTGCTGGCATTGTGGTGTCAGTCCAAATTCAGCAGACAGCAGCTTTTATGAAAACACCTGCATGAGAGAAAAGCGAAACAGACAGACAGGCAGGCAGAAGACAGACAGATTATAGATAGGTAGTTTAAACATCTCACTGAGCTAAATGACGGAAGAAAAAGAAGAAGGAGAAGCAGAAGAAGAAAGATTAAATAGAGGGATAGATAGATAAATTAATGGATGGATGGGTTGAGGGAGGAAGGGATGGGGGGGGGGGGGGGGAATTATCACCATCATTTGTATATGTTTGGTGTATGTTGACTATATTTGCACAAGATACCTGACACGTGCGAGCGGGAAGTTCATCGCACTCTTGCCGAATGTCTTGGGAATTTGTTTATAAATGCCAGTCCTCCACTCAAGGTTCCCTCTGTCCCTGATGGTGATTGTAACTAGATTAAAGGAGGTTACATATCATAACCATTAACATTGTCTATCTTCTTCTTTTGTCAAAATCTGCTTGTGCCGCTAGGCGTCACAGTCTATCAGATGATCGGCAACCGAGCCAGGGTGCGCTCAGTCGCTTCATATGCCGTGATGTTATGAAGTCTCAAGTTGTCAGTGACTCCTTCAATCCATATACTTCTTGGTCTTCCCCTGCCTCTTGGTGTTTCGATTTTCATGTTGTATGCTCTTGATGCTGGCATTGTTGGTTCCATTCTCACTAGGTGACCAAACCATTTCATTCTTTGCTTCTCAATAAATTTAACGATGGGTATGGTTCCAATAGTTCTTGTAATCACATCGTTTCTCACTCGATCTCTTCTGGTTTTGTTCGCAGCCATTCTCAAACATCTCATTTCACAGGTGGTTAGTCTTCTCTCGTGTTCTTTTGTTAATGTCCAAGTCTGACATTGATAACCTAATGTCGGTATAAAGATTGTATTTATAATTTGTCTTTTTATCTCAGCTGGGACAGCAGGGTGTTTTAAAATTGGGGCAAGCTGATATGCGACATTGTTGGCTTGTTGGATTCTTGCTTCGATCTCTCTGTCTATTTTACCATTGAATGTAAAGATACTTCCCAAGTATTTAAATTCTTGCACTTGTTTTAGGCTGTGATCTAGAATTTTTATGTCGATAGTCTGTTGCTCTCTACTTATGCTCATGACTTCTGTCTTTTCAGTATGGATCTTCATATGATGCTTGAGGCAACTGTTGTGTAGTAGGTTTATGTGGTCTTGCAGCTGTTTACTTTCACTGTGAAATATGCATTGATCGTCGGCAAAGAGCAGCTCATTGATGTCCTCCTGTTTATCGACATCTGTTGGTGTTATGTAAAGTAGTAAAGCAAAGTTCCCTTTTCACACTTTTCGGCGCATCGGGCATATGGGCAGAGCGTCCCATATTTTTACAGACCATCAGCACTCTGTGGGTGATGTGGTTAGCATTACGCTGGCTGTCTTTACTTTCCCCGGACAGCCCGTCCTGGTACCCATTTAAGGCTGGGTCGACCTGCGACGTCCCATACCACGATAAAAATCCATGCAGCCTGCAGTGGGTTTCGATCGCGGTATGCTGGCTTACGAGTCGGACTCGTAACGCCTTAGCCACGGACGCCGCTTGGTGTTATGTCTATTTTATTAATATTGTCCATAAATATTATGAAAAGTAAAGATAATAATAAACAACCTTGTCTTACTACTGATCTTACTGGGAACCAGTCTGTGATGCCAGCTCTTGTTCTAATGGTGCTTTCACTTTGTCTATAAATAGCCCTAACACAATCTAAAATTGTTCCATTTATACTGTAGTTTTCAAGAACTTTCCATAATAAATTTCTGTTTACTCTATCGAAAGCTTTTTCTTGATCTATGAAAGCGATGTTCATTTGATGTCTGTGTTCTATTGTCTTTTCGCTAACTTGTCTTAAAGCAAAAATAGCGTCAGTACACCCTCTTCCTTTCCTAAATCCGACCTGTGATGGGCTCAGGATCGGTTCTACAACGGATCTAATTCGTTGTTCCAGAATTTTGGCAAACATTTTTCCTACGTGGCTTAGAAGGGAGATGCCTCTGTAATTGTTACAATCTTGCTTATTGCCTTTTCTTTTCCAAATTGGGACTATAAGGGCTCTTTGCCAGTCTGTTGGTACAGTTCTTTCATTCCAGGCTTTCCTAAATATGTGGAGTAGCCAGGTGACTCCAATTTCTCCACAAGCCTGTATTGCCTCGGCTGATATTCCATCAACACCTGATGCCTTATTTTTGGGACTGCATCTTCTTCTTCTTCTTCTTCTTGTTCGCCGGCTGTGAATTCCGGCGGTAAGTCATGGTTGTTCATCCAAAATGAACTTTTGGCTTTTACCTTGACCTGAGTTTTGCGTGTACATCAGTTTTACTGGCTTATTTGTTTGCAGTACTCGTTCCCCGCCTCTCCGGCAGATGTACTCCGACTTCGGAGGAAGGGACTGCATCTGATTGCTTCTCTGACTTCTTGTTCGATTATTGTAGGCTGTTCCTCGTTTGTACATCTGGGTGTGAATGGTACAGTTTCCTCATTTCCTGTTACATTCAGAAGAGTCTGAAAATATTCTTTCCACTTTTCTCTGATCTTGCCCTCCTCATGTATGGGTTTGCCTTGACTATCATTGACATATTCAGATGGCTGGAATGGTTCATCTCTAGTTCTCATTTTTGCAATGGTTTTGTAAAACTGTCTACTAGATTTAGCACAGATTTTGGTAAGATTTTCCCCATACATGATCCAGGATGTTTCCTTGGATTGTTTAATTTCTCTTGCAGATTGTCGCCTGGCAATTCTGTACTTGATATAATCGTCATCTGAGCGGGATCTTAGCCATTTCTTGTATTGCTCCTTTTTACATTTCACTGCTTGTTTTACGTTATCATTCCACCATGCTGTTTTTTTCCTGAACGTTCCTCCTGTGTATCTAATACCACAGAGTGTTGTTAAGCAGTTCAGAAGAGTGTTCTTAAATTTTTGCCACGCAGCTTCCACATTGTCACTTGATGTTATTAGCTCAGCCATCTTCACCGTCATTTCTGCCTGTACTTTTGCTTGGTTGTCTAGATTGCTTAGGTGTCTTATGTCAGTCATTGAGGTACGTACTGATGTTTTTGGTTTTTTGTTAATTGTTGCTTCGCTTAGATATACGATCAGCGGTCGATGGTCTGTATTTAAAGAGATGTTAGGAATTACTCTTGCGTCTTTTACTAAGCTTCTTCTCTTTTGTCGATTTAGTATGTAGTCCAACTGTGCGGCCTGGTCTGGGTTGCTCCATTTATACCAGGTGTTTATTTGGCTTTGTCGATGCTGATAGAAACTATTGGTGACATAAAGGCCATGCTCTGCACAAAGTTCTAAAATACGCTGCCCGTTGTAATTGCAGACTTTGCTGTTGTCTGAGTGTGGCCCGATATATTCCTCCCCGGTGTTCGCCTCTGCCCTATATGCCCATTTAGGTCACCTATTACCATAAGATCATCATTTGCGTGTATCTGACTGATGACATCCGACACTGAGTCAAAGAAGTTATCTTTCTCTTCCAAGGTGTAACCATCATTGGTGGGTGCGTATACCTGCACAATGCTTGTATTTCTTGTTTTCCCGTAGAGTTGCAATACTATAATCCTTTCAGATACATATTCTATATTCTTTACATGTTTAGCGATATCCGGATGGAGAATAAAACCGACTCCGTGAGTCGCTCTCTGCTCTTTCTTAATGCCGCTCCAAAATATGACATAGTTGTTATGAATTGTCTATGAGTACTGTAATATACTACATCAAACCAGTTATAATCTTATAGTGCGATAAGTCTCTGTATTATGGATGCAATCTCTGCAGAACATTGGCAAAATAACCTGGTGAAATATGTGCAGTGACAGGCCTATGACGGTTCTGCCTCTAAGAGGCTCCGCCATCTGAGGACCCAAGGTAGATGCACCACTTGGTGAAAAGAATCCAGACTTCCTGTCTGCTACCTAGCTACTCATTGAAGTATCACTGATCAACATCCAGTTAACCAGCTTCCCTCACAACTCCACGTTGGTCAACACATATTAGTTCCCCAGCATTTTCTGTGCACTTAAGGATGCCCCATGAACCAGCAAGCCACATAGCCGCAACTATGCCGACCCCACACACATGGGCCAACAGAAGTCCATTCTAGAAAATATGAAGTACAATGGACGATCCACCACAGTCATTAGGACAGTTCACAATGACCTCCACAGAATAAAACATTGCTAAAACTGTCACACAACAATTGGCCCACATATCTACACACTTAGACTGACTGAAAGCGACTGACTGACTTGAACTACCACAGGACTTTTCTCACCCGCGGTCAATTCCACGTGGATCTCACTTTCTCACCAAAACTCGGGATGTTTGCAGTCCCTCGTGAAGATCAGGTGACCTCTGTTTCACAGCTTTAAGTGGCTCAAATATTTACAATCAAAACTCATCTACACAACATCAATGCCCACGTAATCCCATGTTTCTCAAAGCGCTGGCTCCATTAACTCTTTAAACCTCACAGTGACTTTCGCACAACAACATGTAACATAAATTAACAGCAGCACTCTGTAAACACTCACACACACAAATTAGGGAAGGATTTTATTTTGCAGTGTATTTTCCTCTTGTGCTTGCACTGCTTGTTTATTTCTCCAATTACTTGGTTTATTATCTTTACTTCTTGTTAAAGTGGTTTTTTTTTTAAGTTGCCTCGGGTGCATTTCGGTGTTAACCATTTTAAAATTATTTTTTCCCCTATTATCAGCTTTGATACTTTTAAATGCAATGTTTTCCAGTTTCGCGTCACTATCAAGAAAAACCCTGGACTCGGATTTTCCATAGCTGGAGGTATTGGTTCCCATGGTAACCCGTTTAATGAGGAGGATATTGTAAGTAAATGAATATTTCTTTGTTGAGCATGACTAGGTTACTTTTGTGCTCATGTCAAAGTCTTGTAATGTTATTTACATGTTTTTGCCGGCCCTTGAGGGAAGCCCAGACTTTTTTTTTTTTTTCAAAAATGATCTTGACTCCCAGGTCAACCCAGCCTTGAGTGGGTACCGGGTTTAGTCCCAGGAAGTAAAGGCGGCCATAGTGATGCGGACCACATAACCCATCTTGTGCTGATTGGTCTTAAAAAATATAGGTCTAGACCTATATGCCCTATATGCCTATAGGCGTGGGAAAGGGTCCTTTACTTTTTTTTTTAACTTGAGGGAAGCAAAGAGTTAAAGCACTGTTTCCCTGTTGTCAGTTTGAACAAAGAAGAAAAATACAATAGATTTCATGATTTATTGCCTGGCATATTTCAGTGTATTCACAAATAAGGCAAGAATCCAGGCAAGAGTATGTGTCTAATTTTATACGAAAACGCCGCTGGAACTATGTCGGCCACACCCTTAGAATGGATAAATCAAGACTTCCTTACCAAGCCCTCATTTGGACACCACAGGGGAAAAGATCTCGTGGAAGACCAAGGGAAACTCTACGTAGAACTATCATCAGGGAAGGCTCGCTCATGGGCCACTCAAACATCCAAGACCTACAACAGATTGCAACGAACCGCCATGCATGGAGAGTCATGACCTCTGCCCTATGTGCCGCACTCCACACAAGAGGAAAGACTAACTAACTAACTAATATTTCAGTGTATATCCTCAGATGCATACTACAGAACTGAGCAAGGTGAAATACTATATGGGTTCTGGGGCCCCATTGTAGGAAGGAAAAAAAAAAAGAATAGATCCACTGCACCCCTAACAAACACATTGTAAGAGTCAGCTAATTAGGAGTTTTCTTTGAAGTAAGAATGCATCTGTCTGAGAGGGAAAGAAATAGCAGTCTGCATACAAATAAGCCAGATCTGTAAAACGGATGTGCACAAAAAACTCAGGTTCTGGAGCAAGACTAAAGTCCAGAAGTGGACAAGCAATCAGAACTTTCCGCCAGAGTTTACAACTCATGAACGCAAAGAAGAAGAACAAGAAACAAGGGGAAATAGTAAACGAATCCTTTCAACTTTCGACAAGAGTAACTTACAGACCAAGAGGAAAGGAATCTCCTCTTCTAGACATGTGGTTTTTAACTCATAATTTTAACTGACCCACAGAGCATATTGAGGAAGGTGGAGACAGGTATGCTCCATGCAGAGTGGCAAGCATCACTTAAGAGGTCCTTCTTGGGTGGTTGGCGTCCTTTGGTTATTTTTTTTTTTTTTGAGTCATGTCGTGTGTTTGGAAATGAACATGCAGAAAGAGGTGATGAGGTTGAGGTACAAATAGAGGAGGTCTGAGGATCGTGTGTTAGGAAATGAACATGCAGAAAGAGGTGATGAGGTTGAGGTACAAATAGAGGAGGTCTGAGGAGAATTGTGCTGTGAGGAGTGACCAGGGGATCTGGCTGATGCTCAACACTCACAGGAGAGGCGAGACAGATATACAGTCAGATAGTTACTAGTGACATCAGAATTGGAACTCTTCGCTCGCTGCTGAAGATGGAGACACAGCTCTTATGAGTGCTATGATACTTTCTGATTACAATAATTTCTAGCTATTAAGACATAAATCATGATTATATAGTATTGTCAGAGTATTACAGGATGGTTGTCATGTATTAATATTAATGTCACTTTTAATTTTATTTGTACAGGGCATTTTTGTGACTAAGGTCATCCCAAATGGACCTGCATCAAAATTTCTGCGACCTGGAGACAAAATATTACAAGTATTATTTCTTGTTATTCTACTTATGTAAAAGCACTTCATTTATTCACTCACATTATGTCCTGAATTATTTCATACATTGAAAAATGGCTGATCAAATCAAAGACTGTTTATTAATAAATCCACTATTTTCATTGTATAGTATTAATAAGATAATATAAATACCCCTTGTATAACATCTGTCGTAGTCACAATCTAAGGGGTGCAAACGGTACTACTTTTATTTTCCAGAAAGGGAGAGCTTTGGTAGTATGATGACTAACTGGCATGCTTGCCTGCTAACCCTGTTGTGCTGTTCAAAACACCGTCAGAGATGGAATTTTCTAAAAGCTTATCTTGACTTCCAGGTCATCATTATCATTTGCCCGGTCATCATTATCATTTGCCGGATCATCATTATCATTTGCCCGGTCATCATTATCATTTGCTGGGTCATTATTATCATTTGTTGGGTCATCATTATCATTTGTTGGGTCATTATTATCATTTGTTGGGTCATCATTATCATTTGTTGGGTCATCATTATCAGGGTCATCATTATCATTTGTTGGGTCATCATTATCATTTGTTGGGTCATTATTATCATTTGTTGGGTCATTATTTTCATTTGTTGGGTCATCATTATCATTTACCCCCTTGTATTATCAAACATCATTATCATTTGTTGGGTCATTATTATCTGTGTTGGGTGCATCATTAACGATACTATCATTTGTTGGGTCATCGGTATCATTTGCCCGGTCATCGTTATCATTTTTGGGTAGTCATTTGGTGATCATTAACTTGCATGTCATCGTTGCATTTACTGGGTCATACCATTTGTTGGGTCATCATTATCATTTGTTGGGTCTTATTATCAATCATTACAGTGCCCGGTCATCATTAAGGTCATCATTTTCATTTGTTGGGTCATTAAAGCTTATCATTTGATCATTATCATTTGTTGGGTCATCATTATCATTTGCCCGGTCATCATTATCATTTGCGGGGTCATCATTATCATTTGTTGGGTCATCATTATCATTTGTTGGGTCATCATTATCATTTGCTGGATCATCATTATCATTTGCTGGGTCATCGTTATCATTTGCTGGGTCATCATTATCATTTACCGGGTCATCATTATCATTTGCTGGGTCATCATTATCATTTACCGGGTCATCATTATCATTTGCTGGATCATCATTATCATTTGCCTGGTCATCGTTATCATTTGCCGGGTCATCATTATCATTTACCGGGTTGGTAGGCTAAGGTTGTCAGTTTTGCCATATCATAATCACCAGAATTACCAGTTAGGTCAGTGTTCTTGTCTCACCTCATCCAAATGGCTAATCCATCCAGATATTTATCTCACAGCCTTCCTCTTGCTCTCTTTCCACCAATGTTGCCAGTTGTTTCCAGTGTTCTCAAGTCCTTCTCATAACATGTCTGAATAACACCAACGATCTTCAACTATTTATTCTGAGAGGGTTGACTGTCATCTGTTTTCGAGGAGGATCGCATCATTTGTTTTTCTCGGGCATAAAGGGTAATGAGTGAGCTGGTTAACTGGCAAGCAATGCACCAAGGCATGTGGGAAGAAGCATGGACAGAGCAGATATTGTCAACGCCTGTACGGACTGGGCTAGCGGATAATGAGGAATCTCTTACACTAACACGATTGCATGACATGGGAGTAAAGCTTGGTGAAGCACGTCTATGCCGTCTTCGAGGCTGAGATAGGAGATAATATAGCAAGCTTCTGATGGGAACAATTAGTAGAAGTACTTTGGAGTATTGGAGGACTGAGCCCGCATGGGAGTGCCCAAGGTGCAGTGACGTAGATTGTGACAACATAGCATAACTTGTTTTTCTATCTTTCTCATCTTTGTATCTTCTCAAATAGCACAGTTCCACTTTGCATGTAACTCTCCTGTTGGGTTCCTGAGCCTAGTCTTGGAGAATGAAGAATAGACCTGCTGCCTTCTTAACCAGCATGCAGCAGGAGGTGACTCAGTAGGGGTGTTTTCTTCAAAGTTGGAGTGTATCTGTTTGAGAGGAAAGGAACCAGTAGTTGGCATACAAATAAGCCGGATCTGTAAAATGGATCATTATCATCATCATGTGCCCTGCCAACTGGCGTAGGTGCTCATGCGTCTCAGATCACGATCCCTGGTTGTCTGGAACAGCTCTCCTGATGATATCCCTCCATGCCATCATTTCAGCCCATCCAGCATCGTCTCTCTTGGTCTGCCTCTACCCCTCTTTCCACTGATCTTTCCAGCTGTCACGATGTTCTCCGATGCCTCTCTTCTCATTATGTGGCCAAAAACAAATAGATGTGCACACAAAACTAAAGTTCTGGAGCTAGACCAAAGTCCACTAGTTGACGAACAACCAGAACTTTCTACTGGAGTTTACGACTAATGAACGTAAAGAAGAAGATATGCATATATGACATGTGTCTTCCATTTCAACCCAGTCTAAAATGGGTACTAGGAAATAAAGGTGGCCAGATCAGGACTTTACTCACTGAGAAGAAAGAGGTAAAAATCCTACAATTGAAGAGATTAACAAAAGATGGTGTGTCAGTGTACCACCAAAGCAAAAGAGAGTAAGTTTTGAAAAATGCATAGCAGTGGAACTTCATTGTTGATATAAGGAAGTCAAGATCCCTTTTCCACACCTTTAGGCCTATTGGGAATATAGGGCTAGACTTACATTTTTATAGACCAATCGGCACTTGGTGGGTGATGTGGTGAACATCACGCCGGCCGCCTTTACTTCCTAGGACTCCACCCGGTACCCTCTCAAGGCTGAGTCAACCTGGGAGTCATCATCAGTTCTCGTTATGCCTAGTGGCACATGAGACTTTCCATGCTTTCCTATCCTGTGCAATCTTCGGTGCAGTTTTCCATGTCAAAGATGCCGCACTCAGGTCACTTTCCATCATTCGTCTCCATGTTGTTTTTGGGCGCACCTGTTTTCTCTTTCCCTCTGGTGTCCATGTGAGAGCTGTTTTGGCAGGTATATCAGAAGTCATTCTCATAACGTGGCCAAGCCATTTCCATCTTCTCTTGGTAATCATACTGTCTAAAGTTTCTTGGTTTGTGGCTTGAAGTAGTTTAGTGTTTTGAGATTGTATCTGGCCAGAAAATTTTGATAATTCTACATAGACATGTGTGGTGGAAGGTGGACAGCTTGTGTGCATCCTTTTTGGTCATTCTCCAGCATTCCACTCCATAAAGAAGAACTGGCAAAATGATGCTCTTGTAGAGTCGGAGTTTTGTTCCTCTGCAGTAATTGTTGGATTTCCAGATTTGCCTCATCCTTCCAAAAGCAGCCGGGTGCTATACCTCTTTTTTGCAGATTAATGACCACACAGTGGAGGATGTGGTCAACATCACGCCGGCAACCTTTACTTCCCACGATTTTGTAGGAAAGGAGTTAATAACGGGGGTAAAATGAAAAATGTCTACATTCAGACCAGTAGCAATGCACGCCAGTCCATCACTGGGTGGCATGATAGAAAACTGTGATTTGAACACTGGTCAGACAAGGCCACACTGAGATAGGCTAGAGAGACAGAGATAAACAGGTGGACAGACTGAATGTGAGAGATCAGAGAGTATACAACGGGAAAAGACGCTGATGTCAAGGAGATAAGATGATTGATGATAGCATTGAGAAAGGCAGAGGCTGGGTCACCATGGGAGCCAAGCTCATTTTCAGAGACGAAAGAAATCTGGCTCAATGCAGATAAGGACCGGCAGGCAGGTGTCTAGCCGCTACACTATGGCAGCTTCAATTGTTAATATAGTACTTAATATATATATATATTTTTTTAAACAGTTTATTCTCAGTCCATGCAGATTTATTTGGCTAGTCTGATTATAGACTGCGAACATTCACAGTAAATATTTCTGTTTGTTGCAGGTTAATAAAGTAGATTTTCAAGTCATTGATCACAACCAGGCAGTAGCTGTTCTCAAGAAAAACAATGTTGTCACTCTTCTTTTGGAAAGAGTACAGAAAGTCAATGTAGTCTAATTTTTTTTTAACATTGATGTTAGCAGAAAGTCATGTTGTGTGTGCTTGGACCGAACACTGTGGGTAAAAGTCAGTGGAAAAAAATTACACAAATTTGTGGCACTGCTAAGTTGATCTGTTGGTCTCTGAATTCCTATGATGGCAAGTCAGTTAGTCTGCAGATGTTGATGTGCCCAAAACAGAAACCGGTGACTGAGTTATTGGTTGATTTTTATATGTTTGGAGTGTGCTAACTATGGCATCTATTTTCCACAAAGGCAGCAGCATTCTAGCAACTGGATAAATATTTTCAACTATACCACAGTATAACTGAAGTAGATTTATCCAAAAGGAATTTACCATTACACTGAATTGATTTTATAATCAGATTAATCCAATGGAAAATTTAAAACATGTTTTAAGATTGACACATTTCCTATGTTCTTAGTTAATTGTTGTACTCTTTAACAGTGGAATTTGAGGGGGAAAAACATCTGACTGCAGCAAAATTAATTTCCTTACAATTCTGAGCCAGAAATCTACCTATAATTTCTGCTGTAGCTTGCCCATGGTCAGTAGCTTTTTGTAATAACTTTTTTGTAATGATGTTTGAAGCTTGTGGATCAATTAACAGCTCATTTTTAACACTTTGTTCTCTGTGTCCTGGGCGGAAAATCCATGATATGCTCCAGGCCTGAGTCTTATCAAATGATATAGATCATCAAACACTGACATGCTCCAGGCCTGAGTCTTATTAAAGGATATAGATCATCAAACACTGACATGCTCCAGGCCTGAGTCTTATCAAATGATATAGATCATCAAACACTGACATGACAGGTTCTGTTTTCTGTTTTCCCATTACAAATGTCCTACCAACCCTCAGCCATTGTAAAGCTGCTGTTGTCCACCTACTGATGATTGATATATCAATGAAACAAGAATTGACATCACTGCACTTAGAACATTTCCACAAGTGCCCCATCCCCTTCTTCAGTAGCCAGCAAAGAGTAGACATGCTGATAGTACCAATTGCAACCTGATTAAAAGTCCGGCTGTGTCCTATTACAAATGTCCCCCCCCCCCCCCCGAGTTTTAAAATTCTTCAAGAACTTTTACTCATCCCATATTGCATAAGCTTTCAATGTATGAATTGTCTGTTCCATTGCACTGTCCATTTGATCCCAGAGTGCCATCACCATGTCTGCTTTATCATAAAGTAGCTCATCGCTCAGAGGAATGGCAGCATATTTCTAGGTATATTAAGGAATACACACAGTATGCTGATGCACAGAGAGGATGAAACATTCAAAGAAGCAAATGTATGTTTTTTTAGGTGATATTTAACTAACAACTTGACATGCAAAATGGCCATTGGTGCTCATAGATGTGCATGCCATGTTGTCTGGTAATGAAAGAACGAGATAACCTATTCACTGCTCCCTGTCCTTCATTTCTAATACCCCTCTCCTTTTGTTTCTCCATTCCCTTTTAATTTATGTGTTTATATATGCAAAAGATAATTCCAGATGTGGCAGCATTATCTTTACCATCATTCAATTATTTATTTTTTTCTGGACACAAGCATTTAGTTCATGTCATTTATGAACTGTGCCAGATGTTATTTGTGTAATTATATGACAGTTCTAACATTTATTTATATATACTGCTGAAATAAAATTTGAATGTACAGATAAGAAATATGTTTTATTTATTAAATCAGATGGGTTCAAGGGAGGTTATTTACTCTTTTTGCCTCACGAATCCAATTTCCCTAATGTTATTTCCTAGGTATAGATTAGTTCATCTTTTTGCAGATTTCAGCTACACCATGTATCCATCTCTTTCTTGGTTTTCCTCTCACCTTCCTCCCAGATGTTCTACTGTAAAATATCTCATATGCAGTTTGGTTTGCTCTACATCCCTCTTTTATGGATGACTGAATTATTATTTTTATTATTCTTCGTCAACGACTGTAAATTCAGGTGGAAAGTTCTGGTTGTTCATCCACCAATGAACTCACTTGTTCCAGATACTGAGTGTAACATGCACATCCATTTTACATATCTCACTTATTTGTATGCAGACTGTTGCTTCCTTGCCTCTCAGGCAGAGGTACTCTGACTTCGAAGAAAGCCCCCAATAAGTAGACATGTTTGTTGGGGAGGCAGTGGGTTTATTCTTGTTTTCTCCACAGTGAGGCTCTGGAAACCACATGGGGAAAATAATATATTAACAATTGACATCTCTGCACTTGGCACATTCCTACATATGCTCCGACCCCTTCTTCAGCAAGCAATGAAGAGTTGGCATGCTAATAGTACTGGTTGCAGCCTGATTAAAAGTCCACTCCTGTTTCCCATTCAATAGTGAATATTTTATAGAACTTCTACCCCCACCTCCACCCACCCCAAATAGTCTTTCAGTGTATATATTTCCTGTTACAATCACAATATATCAGGCTGTGCTGTTATCAAGCCTTCAGAGAGATGCATTTACAGCCTCTACCTCCATTCTCATACTGGATGTAGTGACGCAGTATGCGAGGCTCTATGTTTTAAGCAGTGTTAATTCACCTTTGCATAAAACCCCACCTACTCTTCTTACCTCTCACTGCAGACCCATCTGCAAATACTGAGTGCTGCACGGTCTCGAGACAAGGCGTCCATCTCAAGTGCTGGAGGTCCCGGTTCAAGTTCCGATGAAACTTTGGATTTTTTCACATGAAGTTCTAGTAATTTAGCCTAGTCTCTGGGTAGTAAGATCGGATGCCCGTGTGTATTGTTGTGCACATAAAAAATCTTTTGGTAGTTGGAAATCGAAAAAGAGTAGCCTAACAGTGCTGCACGGGTAAAATTTGGAGTTAAAAATCTACACAAAGTATTTTAGGATTATCGACGGTGCTATGGAGTTCGTTCACTGCGCTGAAATTCTTCAACCAAGAGGTTTTGAAAGAGGAGGAAGCCCGAAGACAACTTATCACAGACATCAGAAGGAGACAGTCATCATTTTTTGGCCATGTTATGAGAAGAGGGAAAATAGAACATGTTGTGACCACTGGAAAGATCTGTGGAAGGAGGGATAGAGGAAGACGAGAGAATATTCTTGACAGTCTTGTTGCATGGCATGGAGGTGTGTCGGCACACGAACTGATACATGCTGCAGAAGATCGTGGATTATGGAGAGGCATGATCGTCCACGCCAGTCGGCAAGGCACCTGTTGATGATGATGATGAGATATTTTAGTGAATTATCTCTTTTTATAGTCAGCTCTGTGGCTGAGTTGATGCCAACGCTTGGTAATGCCGGGGTTGATACCAGCTGCGGGCCATGCGCCTTGTGTAGGGTTTCGACAGTGGTATCGAGAAGCCAAGCGTCCAGAAAGCAATGGCAAACTACTGGATGTAAATTTGCCTAGAAAAACCACACAACAGCCAGGGGCTGTTGTGGTTGGTTCTGCAAGTCCTGTAAAGGATAAACAACGAACCATAACCATCTCTTTTTATATTACTGCCATTTATTAAGATGTGCGGCAACACATTTCTAACAATTCTATTATTTCAAGAACACCATGATAGCGCCGCCTTATCTGGATTGATGACTGAGCCTATTTCCTCACACCATAAGACAAGTATATACTGTGTATAAATAAACAGATGGGGAACCTTTGAGGCCGTTAAATATTATGACAGAGCTCATCAACGCACATTACATCTCCCCCCGAAACTTCGATGAGGTACAAGGTGGAAGAGAAGAAGAAGAAGAAGAAATATGAATTAATCAAGTAACAGAAAGTGTTTTGATCGGCACTTATAGAAAGAAGTAGAAAGATAGAAGAACACACTAGACCACATACAAATCAAAAGCTATACAGGGGGTGCCTAGCTGACCATGTTCTTAATGCACTTGTATCCATGGTGAGGCGCAGGCGCTTTCAATTTTTATGTTGTCTTGTGTGTTCTTCTATCTTTCTACTTCTTTCTATGAGTGCCGACCAATACACTTTCTGTTACTTGATTAATCCATAATATACTGTGTATAGTATGGCGTCAGAGGAACTTTGGAGTGGTTGCATCGGAGGACTGAGAGCACAAGGGGATGCCCAGTGTGCCCAGACGTTGATTTTGATGAGATAACATTCTCTCCTAGTGGACAAACCATTTGATTTGCTTTCTTTATATGTAATTTAGAAATAGTTCTGTGCTGACTTTTATCTTTTGACTTCATTTCCTTCTGGTCACTCTACAGCCTTTCTTTCACATTACAGTGCTATTGTTACTTATTTTATTGTTTAATCAGAAGTAGTTAACAGATCAGCAACTGACGGCCAAAGGTGGAGAGAGGGCTGATCAGACAGTCAACAGAAACTGGTGACCCAATGATACGTAGTGTTACAGGATGACGGTAATGATAATGAGTTAACATAATAGCAACTGACCGCCAAAGGTGGAGAGAGAGTTGAGCAGACAGTCAACAGAAACTGGTGACCCAATAATACGTAGTGTTACAGGATGACGGTAATGATAATGAGTTAACAGAATAGCAACTGACCGCCAAAGATGGAGAGAGAGCTGAGCAGACAGTCAACAGAAACTGGTGACCCATTTACACGGATACGTAATGTTATGGAATGAGGATTATGAGGATGAGTTAACAGAACAACACAATATACAGCAAACATAATTATTAAACATTAATTTTTACATGGATTCATGTAAAGAATACATAGATCTAACAAATTAATGCTGAATGAGTTTGATATCATTGACAGTTATCAGTTTCAGTGGTATCAGCAATTATGAGAAGCAAAAACAACACTATATACATGAAGTATTAATAAAATAGTGGTTTCTCATATGGATTCATATCAGAAAATGATAAGGCTCGCGCCATATGAGCAAATCCCCAGCAAAGTGAAATGATTCTCTCACCTTTAAATATCTTTCAATTTATTGACAAGATATAATAATGTATTTAAGTTGTACCCTACAAGGACATAACACAGAGCGATTAACACCCAGTGACACAAAGTGCCACCATGCAGATGAGGATCAACCCTGGAGAGGTCCCAGAAACCCCGTTCAGCCATTAGGCCATATTTATGGCCAGGCTATATTTAGGGCCCCCAGCAAAAGCCAGGGTGGGGCTTCAAATAATGAAAAATTGCATCCAACATGGGGATGACTGATATTAAGATATAATAATACTGTTATCAGAAAAGTATGAAATTGTACATATAACAGATATTCATTCAGTAGCATGTCCCTCGCGAACCTCGCTGCCATAACAACCCTCCGGAAAACCTTCCTATCCTGAGCAAGATGTCCTGCGTCTGATACACCCATCTGGAGATCATCTGCCACATCCTGCTCCCATCTTCTCCTTGGCCTTCCTCTTTCTCTCTTCCCAGGCATATACCCCTCCATTATTGTTCTCTCTAGACTTCCATGACGTTTCAAGTGACCAAAATATTTCAATTTTCTTTGTTTTATTGTCTTTACTAGCCAACCCTCTTCAATATTCAGCTCTTGAAGTATGGATGCATTTGTTCTTTTCTTTACCCAAGATATTCTTAGAACCTGTCTGTAACATAACAGATATAACTGACTGAAAATTAACATTACTGCATGCCTCTATTAGTATTATTATTATCAAGTTTTCCCCCTTCCAGGATTTTAGTCTGTAGGATTAACATCTCAAGGACGAGAATCAAACATGTACAAATCTTTGAAACTATGTTAAAACATAAAGCCATATAGCACAGTTATGGTGCAGCACTACAAAACGGTTATGATGTAACCTGTAGCCCAGTGCGGTGGGTGATAACTTTTTTTACACTGACATTTACACTTTGAAGAATAGTAACCTAACAAGTTGAGTTCAGTTCAGTTGAGTCAAGAATGGACATCACAGCATTCCCATGCCTGCTCCGTTCTCATCTTCGGCAGCCAGTGCAGAGTTCCAATACTGATGGTAATGGTCACAATCTAGTTATATGTTCGTCTTGAGTGTAGTGAGCTGGCCAGACCCTCTGGTTACACCCAGGTGCCTCATTCTCTCCAGGCCATAACAAGCTTGTTTCTCTACTGATTCCGTTTCTAGTTCCCAAAGGGCCTTGACCACATCTGCCTTAAAAGTAACCTAACAAACAACTGGTATCAGTCATTACAGGCTGAAGGATACACTGAGGAAGAGATCTGAGAATTATAAGCTGAATGGTTCAGTACTAGATGGTGAAGGAGGATTGTACCAGAGAGGGGACTTGAGAAATAATTAACTCTTTCACCCCCAAAAGAAAAAGAAAATTGGTCAAGCACCATATGCCCACTTTGCCAGTGGTCTGAAAAAGGTCCCTTTACATTTAAAAAATGCAAGACTTTAAACAGGTCAGGCAACCTGAATGTCAATATTTGGACTTCAAATTAAAACTCAGTTCACCAGGGGATTTAGAGACAACAAGAATAACACCCCCACCACACATACACATGGGAGTCACAGTGGCATTGGTGGCTAGACGTCCGCCTGCAAATCGGAAGGTCGTGGGTTCATGTTCTGACGAAGCCAGACTTTTTTTTCTTAAAAAATGACCTTGACACCCGGGTCGATCCAGCCTTGAGTGGGTACCAGGTGCAGTACTAAGAAGTAAAGGCAGCCGGTGTGATGCTGATCACATCACCCATTAAGTGCCGACTGGTCTATAAAAATTTAGGTAAATCCCTATACTCCCAATACGCCTAAAGGCCTGGAAAAGGGGCCTTACACATACATATACACTCGCAATTGCATGCATGCACACACATACAAAACTATTATAAGTCTAGGTAATGGGCTAGGAGATGCTAGGTAAGCTTAGTCTTAATCCTAGTCGAGGTTTCAACTCCACTGCAATCGGGTTTCCCCATACTTGCTCCGTTCCTGTGCCAATGAAATGTCCCTCACTGTCATTTAAAAAAAAATTTACTGGTGAACAAACAATTTGTCCGGGAACAATGCAAAATATGCACACACAGTAAATGCAAATTTCAGTTGCTAGAGGCACCAAACCCAACAGTAGTCACCAGAAATGCAATTGGTCGTTGATAGAAGTAGTTGGTTACAATAAGTTGGCTACAATTCACACATAGAATTATTACATAAGGTATTTCACCAGCTTACATGTAAACCGGTTACCAGCCATATTGAAAACCATGACACAATTGGTGTACAAAACAAATGCATTTCACAGGAAAAACCCAGCTCGCAGGGCTACACCAAGCATTACACTCAGTAGCTCAGGCAGCAAAACCTTAGACTGACATCCAAATGTGGAAACTGCATTAACAAAGCGCTGTCGAAAGCAAAAAATAACTTCAAAGCTCAACACTCTACCATGCCTTAATCCTCAATTTTGGCCGGAAGTCTCGCTAGGTAAGTTAATCTGGTCAATAAATAACAGAAAGAAGTTAAATGTGTCAAGTGAAAAATACAAATAACGCAATTCTGCATTAAACAGGTGCAATGCAATTTGATTCAAAACTAAAATTCATTTTATGCATTAAAATGCTGTGTTTGAAAAAGACAAACAAAATAAAAATAATTCTTTTATATCAAAGTGATTGAATTAAAAAGACCTAAGGAATATATGCATATTATCTTAGGGCTTTTAGAACTACAATAAAAAATGTACAGTGTAAATACAGACTTGATAAAACAACAGTTAAACATTTGCTGAAACAATATCCAAAAAAGAAAACCAGAGAAAATAAATTTGGCTAAATCAAAATCAATTTGAGGATAAACTCTAAGAAGTTCCATTTGAGGAAAAAACTTTAAAGATATTAATTTAAGGACAAGCTCTATGAGGTCAAACTATTAAGATCTATTTAATGACAAACTCCTAAGAAAAGCAATCTAAATATCAATTCTGAGGAGATCCATTTGAAACAAAAAACTATTGAGATCTATTTGAGGACTTCCTGTGTGGGTTCTGCAGCCCCATTTGGAGGGGAGGGGGGGGGGGGAAATAAGAAAAGATCTGCTGACAAGCATGTTGTATAAGTGACTAATTATAGATGTATCCTTCCAAACTGGAGTGCATCAGATTGAGATCAAAGCAACCAACAGTCTGTATACGAATAAGCAAGATATGTAAAATAGATATGCATGCAAAAGTCAAGTTCTGGAACAAGACCAACGTCCAGAAGTGGATAAACGTCCAGAAGTGGATAAACGTCCAGAAGTGGATAAACACCCAGAACCTTCCACCAGAGTTTACAGCTAAGAAGAAGGAAAAGAAAATGTGAAGACAAACTCTGTGGAGATCCAAGGTGAAGGTTGCTCAGGTGGATATTTGCATCTTGTGCTGTCTTTGTGAACAAAGACTGTAGTGAGGTGCCAGTTTTTGCTATGGTGCAACTCTAATTTTTAAAGCCAAAAGAACGGTCTTTTTTAAACAGCGGAATATAGAAAATAAAATCTTAGTAAGTAGACCAAGGATTATAAAATGTCTTCAGTAACCTTGAAGCCATAGAACTGCACTAGTGACCACTGCTGTCTTTATATATATTTAGGTTTACGTTAAAAGATATTTGCAAACGATAAAAATATTTTATTCAAATCATATGAAGTGACTGTTGATGTTTCTGGGTACAACTGCATGAAAACACAGTCAGGAAGTCATCTTCATCATCATCATCAATTCCATTTCTGCCATTAAGATTGTGGGGAGAAACAGTTTGCGATCCATTGCTTGATGGGCAGCAATGGCTATTTTTGTCATTCCATATTGATTTAGAAGCTCTTTAATGTCATCAATCCATATTCTCCTAGGGCAGCCTCTCGATTTCTCTTCAGATTTCATTATTTATAGCGCCTGCATTGGTATTGTTCTGGCTGCATTCTTACTAAATGACCAGACCATATGATCTGTTTCTCAATTAATTTGATGCATTGTGTTACTCCTACAGTCTGATAATATCATTTCTAACTTTGTCTCGGATGGTTAAGTTGGCAACTTTTCTAAGGCATCTCATTTCACAGGTGTTAATTGTACATAGGTTAGTCTTTGATAATGTCCAAGTCTGGCACTGGTAGCACAGTATTGGTATGAACATGCTGTTTATAATCTGTTTCTTGGTGCTCATACTTATGTTTGGATGTCTTAATAACGGTGTCAGTTGGTATATAAGTGCATTGGCTCACTGGCATCTTGTTTCTGTTTCCCGATCTATTCTTCCATCCTCGGAGAATGTACTTCCTAGATATTAAAATTCTTTAACTTGCTTCAGACAAGGACTTTGTACAACCCGATATGTAGCGGGCTAGGAATTCTGCTGACCAGCAACCCCAGAAACATAACAACTCTGTAAAAGCCCTTTTAGTCAATCTGGAAAAGCTGTATCAGGTCGTTAATGTGGTTAATCCTACGTTGCTCTTTGGTTTGCTTCTGTGGGAAAGCTCCATTCATTAACTCTCTTTTCCTTTCCTGTATCTTCAGCATATTTTCCTCCACAGAATTTTCTATTACAAACTGAAAAAAAAATAATACATTTTTATTATAAGGTTTTATTAAGTCGGTTTTGTTTATTTGTCTGGTACAACTTTATGCATTCAATGTTTTTAGTATACAAGACAATAGAGAGCAGTAAAAATTTTGAGGATATAATCACAAAGGACAGAAAGGAAGTTGCATAAAGCACAAAAAGCAAAACTCTGGTGATGATCACCAAAGATCTCAGTGGATGATGATATGATCAAAATCATCATGGGTTCATTTACTACCAAAGAAATTTCATGGCAACCATTTTAGAATGGGTACCATGATATTTTACAAAATAAAGAATATTCTATGCAATCTTTTTTTTGTTAATTGGAAAGAGAAAGATAATTCTCAAGAGCTATATACATCCTATTCTGATATATCATATCTTAATATACAAGTGAATCATAGATGGTTGGACGATTAGTGAAAAATTATTTGGAAGCAGCAAAGGTGTGGTTTTATAGATGATGATGAGAATTTCCTTGACAGATAAAAAGAATAATGAAAATGTCTTTAAAGAAACTGACTCACAAAGAGAACTGATTGTCCACATCAGAGGAAGACAATCTATATTCGATCACATCATGAAAAGGCATCGTGATGGTGGGGAGGTTGGAGGGAGTCAGAGAGAGAAGATGCTGGAGAGTTTGACATTAAAGCAAGGATCATCTGTCAGAATTTATTCAAAGTACATGAGACAGAAGGTTGTGGTTAGACATGACTACCAATGCCGCACGGCATTTGCTTAAAGAAAAAGAAAACCTGAGTGCCCAAGTCAATTATAAAAACCCATCTTAGTGTGGATTTGAACCAAACTACCCACTGTTACTGTGGATATTACAGTATAGTGTAATAAAATGAATAATAAAATAATTCTAATACTGATGATACTAATTTGAAAATCAACCTCTTTGCACACTGAGCATACTGATAGATGCTCCGTCTCCCACAGCAAATGTCCTAAGGTGTAAATGCTAACTGTTCCCATACACACTGATTATACATATGTCATTCTCTTCCTTTCATATACTGCTCTTTGCCAGGTCCACACTTATTTCTTTGTTCACACATTCCTACACATGTTATTTTATTTAACCTCGCGTCTTCTGTCAATATTCATTCACAAGTGGTTTTCAGAATGTCCCCTCTGTCCAGTAGGAGTGTTTCCATAGCTGTCACTTTTGTAGCCACATAATCTGCTCTTTCCTACCCTCACACTCCTGCATTTCACAGACAGTATATCCACTAATGCTTGGTATCCACTCATGTCACATTGGTCCGTTGTGAATCTTCAGCAGTACCAAATAAGAATCAGACACTATAATTCCTCTGGTAGATCTATTTTTCTCTATTCACACAATTCACAAACAAGAGTGAGGACATAACATAAGAGTATCAATTACCTTTGTAATCTCCACGTCTCGTGTTTGTCCAAGTCTGTGACATCGGTCAAAACACTGCTCTTCAGCTGCTGGGTTCCAGTACTGGGTTTGACAATATATCAAAATCAATTTTTCTTATTAACTTGATTTGACAATAAATAACAATCAATTTTATATTAACTAGGTTTGACAATATATCAAAATCCATTTTTCTTATTAACTTGATTTGACAATAAATAACAATCAATTTTATATTAACTAGGTTTGACAATATATCAAAATCCATTTTTCTTATTAACTTGATTTGACAATAAATAACAATCAATTTTATATTAACTAGGTTTGACAATACATAACAATAAATTTTTATATTAACTGGGTTTTACACAGTATATAATAAATGTTAATGTATTCCAGTACTGGGTTTGATAATCTGTAATAAATTATTTGTTAACTGGGTTTAACGTTTGATTAAGAATTACATCACAGCACTTGGGGCATTCCATAAGGGCTCCATCCCTGCGATGGCACTAGTAACAGTCTGATTGTACATCCATCTCACCTTTTCCTTAAGTGTTGACCATCGGCCAGATCCCCTGGTCACTCCTGGCAGGACCATTCTCCTCAAACCGTGATGACCCATCTGTGCCTCCACACTGCTTGATAGCCCCAAAAGGGTCACAGCTTTACAGCATCTAGCTTGTCATACATAAATTCACCAACAAGTTCTGCAGAACCAGCCTGTTTGTCTGCCTGTTCATTTCCGAATACACTGCCATAATCTGGAGAAAATATCCAAAGGTGCTTACTATCCCAGACCTCTAAAGCAATACTTGTCATTCTGCATGGAACGTACCAGTCTTCGCCTATCCCAACATGCTCTGTGAGTCTGTAATGTCATCTACAAAAAGTGACAAGGATGGATCTATGGCTTAGATGTTAGTGGACAATCGTTATAAAAGTGGCACCATCATATCCTCAGAGACTACAGGGCTCGCACTGCATCCAATCTTTATTGTAGAGGTGGCACCAGAAAATAAAAATTAAAATAATTAAAGGAATTTAATTAAGTCCAGGTCAAAGGTTAAAGTTGACAGGATCAACTTCACTGAACTGGGTTTCATCTCATATTGTTTAGTCTCTCTCCACAGAATGGTTAGCTGTCTGCTGAGAGTGTCACACAAAGCAAGAACACTGTAGCTCTGCTGACAATCTCCAGGGGTCTCCGTAAAAAATCGAAATTGTGGACCGAACGACACAGCCATGAAACAAACCCATGACATTCAGAGCATGAGGCAGATGGCTTGACAGCTTTGCCATGCAGAAAGTATTTAAAACCATACTACAGGACACTGTACAAGAAACTAGGCAAAGAGGAGGTACAATAAAAGTATGGTTTTTTTTTTTAAATATTAAAAGTCCTGGTATTATTCACGGTGGGGAAGATATCTTCTTCTTCTTCTTCTTCTTTCGTTCGCCTGAAATAAGTTATCTATATCAGCAGTTTTGTCTCTTGTATAAATTTCACTGTCGTTGTTAGTTCATTCAGTGGTCCATAGAGTTTACGTTCCACTGTTGTTCTTTCTGGCCAAAAGGTTTGCCTTAATGTGTCAAAATCGGTGCAGTCCTGGAGTACATGCTCTGCGGTCTAAGGTACATTTCCACAGGTGCACATGGCTGATACACCTATCTTGAATTTTGTGTTCATGTGGTTACGTTTGGGCAGCCAATTTCTGGAAGGTCAAGTTTGTCTACATATTCTATAGACTTTTGCTTGGTGTATCAAAGCTCTTCTGGGGTTTAACCGTCTTTCCCAAAGGCTATTGGTTCTTAAATCTATTTTCTTCAAGATCTGGCATACTGAGGTCAACTTTTCAGCTTGTATTTGCAACGTCCCAAGGCTTTGTAAATCTCTCGCGGGATCTCTCAGTGCCTGTGTGCGTTCTCCCAGCTGTTTTCCACTTTCTCCATTTCTATATGGGGGTTGATTTCATCCTCCTGTGATGACTCTGAGCGCTTGATTTTGCACTTTGTCTAACTCCTTTAATGTGGTAACTAGATGCTGAACACCATGCAGTTGACCCATATTCCAAGTGTGGAAGTATGCTCTGCTTGTATACTTTATTGAGTATTTTCCCATCTGCTCCCCATGTGGTTCCACTTAGTTTTCTTAGTATTGCTGTCTTCCTCCTGGCTTTGGTTGCTGCCTTGTTGATATGTTTTCTCCATGTCAACCTGTCATCAAATGTGACTCCTAGGTATGTGGGCTCTTTATCATCATCTCTCAGAGGTATTTCGTTTATTTTGATGGTGCCGGCTTTTTGCTTTGGGGAAGGTGAATAGTGTGGTGCTACATTTGTCTGTGTTGATACTGACACACCATCTATTGGCCATGCCTCAAGTGCATTTGTAGCCCGCTGTAGTGTTTTTGTGGCTATCGTTGCATGTTCATTGGTGCACCACAGTACCAGTCGTCGGCATACATTGCCATTTTGATTCCATTTGGTATCTCAGCAACCAGATCGTTGATAAATAACAGAAAAAAGTGTGGGCGACAGGACACCACCTTGAGGGACACCTTGTCGCAGTAGAACTTTTTTACTTTTGAAACCATCTACCTGTACCCGGGCTCTTCTGTTATGTAGATATGCTTTAATCCAATTGTACATTTTTCCATTTATTTTATAGTTTCTCAATTTCTTCAAAAGCCCCTCCTTCCAACCTTATCAAAAGCTTTCCTTAAATCTATCCATGCCGCGAGTACCAGTTTCTTATCTTGAAAAGCATCCTCTATTTTTGGGAGAGGTATGTTTGTCTGGTCTTCCGTAGAATAGAACTTTCTAAAGCCCGGCTGCTGTGGTGTAATGATGTTTTTCACTTTCAATGTACCACTGTAGTCTGAGGTTGGTGATGCGCTCCATTGTTTTACAGAGACAACTTGTGAGGCTGATTGGTCTGTAGTTGGAGCATTAGAACTGTCTTTCCCAGGCTTTATGAGAGGTATCATAAATTGCCTCTCTCCAGATCTGTGGAACATTCCCTGTTGCCCCAGCAAGCATTAAATATCTGTAAAAGCTTTGTTTTTGGCTACTTTTCCTAAGTTTCTGATCATTTCGTTTGATATATTGGAATCTGCTCCTGGTGACTTCCGCATTTTCAGCTTTGAAATGGCCAACTCCAGTTCATTTAAGTGTAATTGGCACCTCTAGCAGCTCTGATGTTATTTCTTTTCTGACTTCTAAACTTGTGTCTTTTCTTGAATTTCGTGTTTTTTCTCTGAACTGATTTCAATGTCGTTATCTAAAGCAAAGTGTCCGCAATAGGTTGGCTGCCTCTTTTCCTGTGACCATGTTTCCATCTTTCTGCAGCGTGATCTTTGAGTTCCACCCTGTGTCCCTCATCAATTTGTTTCACAAGCTTCCATAACTTTCTTGTGTCTTTTTCAAAGTTCAGCGACCTTGTTTTCTCCTGCCAGCTTTCCCTTCTAGCCTGCAGCTTTGCCCTTACAAATTTTGCTTTTGCATGCTGGTAGTTATTGTGATGTTCTTGGTTTGGCCTGGTCTCTGCTATCTTTCTGGATGTTTCTACTTCGTTATGTAAATTTTCTAGCTCATTACTCCAGTATGGCTTATAATGCTTACGGGCACCTCTTGGTATTGATTCTCCTGCTGCCTTTAGTACGCATTTGTTAAAGTGGGGAAGATATCATTATCAAGTGCCTTGCCAGCAGCTGGTATGGGTGATCATTCTTCTCCACAACCTACCATCTCTAACAGCATGTATCAATTCATGTGCTGACACCCATCCATGCAATGACAGGGAAAAAAAGGATGTTAACAGCTTTTTTTTTTTTACATTGTCTTTCTTTACCTCTCTATTCACAAATCTTTCTAGTTATCACATGTTCCAGTTTCTTTCTTCTTACGACATGGTGAAAACAAAAACAACACCAGACTGCCTCTTTTTGAAGTTTGTAAGTGAAAAGTGTCAATATTTATCAAAATAAGGTAAGTGAATTCTGTCTGCTTTTTGTTTTTAAATTCATTTTTTTTCCCACACTGTGCCAGAAACAGCAAATTAATGACAAAAAACAAATGATTATTTCAGCTAAACTCACAGGTTCCATGAGGAAGACTCGTGAAGCAGCTGTCAAATTAATTCCAACTCCACCAGCCTTGAGAGACAGCAGAAACACTTTAGGAGACTCCTGAGTTTCTTCTGAGAATTTCTTCATTGCCTCTATACGTTTGTTCTGTGACATCCTGCCATCAAGGCGGGTAAACAAAAGGCCCTTCTCACTGTATAAATAAAAGATAACTTAAATATTATTCTTATTTCCTTCTTCTTCTTCCTTTTCTTTTTCTTCTGCTTCTTCTTCTTTATAGCTTATCATGCTCTCATTCAGTTGACACAAGCACTTTTAATTTGTTACATTTTCACATTATTTCTGTATTATATAACTCCTTCAGTCCCATAGGTTTAGCATCTGAGCCCCAAGAGGCAGTAAGAGAGACACAAAATTATTATATAATGCTTTCTGGGTAGGAACCTATGAATTTATGATGTGTTCCTTGAGAATGAAAGAGTTAATTTTACTGTAACTGTTTCCATTTTTGTGTTCTGTGTTTTTAATCTTATGCAATCAGCAGTCTTCAACTTCCAGAAGATCTGATAATCCTACATATTAGAAAAATTGCCTTATTGTGTTTATTCAAATTTTTTAAAGTCTTTTCATGAAAAATAACAATTTCTTAAATTTTTGTTGGCTTGCTTCCCACTCCAATCACAAATTATAAATTACTGTTTAGATAGTAGTATATTATCTATCCTGTTCCAAGCAGACTTCTTGTCTTAAATCTGTAGCTCACTGGTTACATTCTTTGGACAACTGAAACATCTAAAACATCACAAAAAACACAAGCCCCACAGCTCTGCCTCCAATCCCTAGGGTCTCAAACCCAAACAGCTTCACCACGTCACCATGGAGACCACCCTAGAGTCAGTTTGTACCAGGGTAGTCTCAGCAGACGGCCAAACCACTTTTTAACCCGTTGTCCTGTAACTCTCTTGCCAAGAAAAGCTGTTTTTGCTACTTGTATGGGTTTTGGTCATCGTGATGTCTTTAAACAATGTCCAGTGCATCTGTAGGACAGCTTTGCTACTGGCTGCAACTGCACAGTGTGAGGACATCTTCTTCTTCTTGTTCACAGGCTGTCAATTCCGGCAGTAAGTCAGGTTGTTCGTCCAGTTGGACTTTTGGCTTTTACCTTGACCTGAGTTTTGCGTGTACATCCGTTTTACTGGCTTATTTGTTTGCAGTTTTCATTCCCCGCCTTTCCGGCAGATGTACTCCAACTTCGAGAGAAAGTGTGAGGACATGAAAGGTGTGATCTTTATTTACTCAATGAAAAAATATGATCTGTTATTTGGGCTGCAGAAAAATACTGATTTGGATTTTTGGGTCACTGATATGTCATCACAAATTTATGATGTATTACTGAGCTCTCTTTGACCGTGTCAACAAAACCCGTATTTTCTTGGTCAAAGGGAAGGAAAGCAGTTATTCCAATGATCCATTTGTATTTAGTGATCACTTGCCTTCATATCTTCTTCTTCTTCTTCTGCACATTCATGGGCACGTTTACTCCGACTTCAAAGGAAAACCCAGATTGGTCAACTCTTACGACATGTTTGTTCGGGAGGCAGTGGGTCTGTTATTGTTCCCTCCAATGGGACACCAAAACTCACATGGGGAAACTTGCCTCCATAGTTGAAGAAAAAAAAAACCATTGCACACAATAATGATTCTAAATAATAAAAATTCATCTTTTTAGTGCGTTGGAGGCCCAATGATGCAATAGCTAGCAGGCTGGCCTGTCTGCTCATTGGTCATAGATATCAACCCCCCCGGGTTTTTATAAAACCTGACCACAACTCCAAGTTTCTTCTGCTTCATTTGTTCTTCTAATTTCTTCAGTTTTAACTGGCTTTGTTTGAACAAACTATCCACAAAAAGTGGTACATATTATCTCATTACTTAGAATAAGCAACAAACCTCAAAGCTTTCTCTATCAAATCCAAAAAAGAAGTGAACTGTGAGATCACAATACACTTAATACTAGGATCCTTCTCACTGAGGTCTGTGAGAGCTGTCATTAAGGCATCTATCTGTGACATGAAAATAGATTTGCTAATATTATTATTAATTTAAAGACCTATTTCACGCTCGTGTCAAACTTGGCATTTTATGTTAGGCCTAAATACTTTTTATAGACTAATCGATAATTGATAGGTAATGTGGCCATTATCAAGCAGGTTGCCTTGACTTCCTAGGACTTAACCTGATATCCATTTTAGGCTCAGTAGACCTCAGAGCTAAGGATATTTGATACATCAGCTAATAACAAAGTTTTAAAATCAATATGCAGGATCCTCGCCGGTGCTACAGAGTTCGTGCACTGCGCTAAGATTCTTCTGATTCAGGCTTGATGCAGAAGTAGAACAGAGCACTTATGGGTTACTACCCTTGTGCCTTGATGTTGATCCGTCGTTTAAACCCAAACCTAAACCTAATATAATATTTGCAACTCATTTGTGCTTTATAAAGTATCATTCACTTTGCTCCCAGTGTGGGTTCTGGGTGCCCCATTAGGGGAAGCTGGGAGGGGTGAACATACCTGCTTCTCCTTAACCAGCATGTTGTTAATGACAAAGTTCAGGGTTTGCTAAACTCGGATGTGTTACGCCAAAAGGTGTGGATATCACAGACTGGATATGGAATTTTTTTTGTAATTCTCTTGTTCCGGGGTCCAGAAAGCAATGGCAAACTACTGGACGTAAATTTGCCTAGAAAAACCACACAACAGTCAGGAGGCTCTTGGGGTTGGTTCTGCAATGACCTGTAAAGGATACGCAACTAACCTAACCTTGTTCCGGGGTCCCATTATGGCTGGCGTGGGGAAGGGGGGGGGGGGGGAAGACACTGCCCCTACAGGCATGTAGTAAAAGGTGAGTAATTAGGGTTATTTCTCTGAAATCAGATATCAGCCCGAGAGGTGATGAACTATTAAAAAAAGTCAAAAAGTAAAGATCCCTTTTAACACCTTTAGGCGCATCCGGCAAACCGTAAGAGCACCCCATATTTTTACGGACCAATCGGTAATAGGTGGGTAATGTTGTCACCATTACGCCGGCCGTCTTTACTTTCCCAGGACATACATCCCGGTACCCATTTTAGGCTGGGTCGACCTGCGACGCCCCTTACCATGATAAAACTCCAAGCAGGAGGAACTAATAGCCTGCATAGAAATAAACCAGATCTGTAAAATGGATGTGCACACAAAACTCTGCTCATGTCTTCTCAATGGCCAAACTGTTATGGGATAACCTCAACTATGCTATCCATATTTTGAATGAACTTTCAAATTTGCACAAGCACCACCAACACAAGTACTATTTCTTCTTCTTCGCGTTCATGATCAGTAAACTCTGGCGAACAATTCTGGTTGTTTGTCCACTTCTGGACTGCAGTTCTGTTCCAGAACCTGAGTGTTGCATCCGTTTTACAGATCTGACTCATTTGTATGCAGACTGCTGGTTCCTTGCCTCTCAGACAGATGCACTTTGACTTCTAAGGAAGCTTCCGATTTGTTGACTCTTACAACATGCTTTTGGGTAGGCAGTGGGTTTATTCTTGTTTTCCCTATAATAGGGCCCCCGAACTCACACAGGGAGGACACTATATCTATATCCTTACCTATAAAATAACCCAGAGAAAAGTCTATATTAAGACTCAGTACAGAACAAAGAGTACACATAAGAGCACAAGATGGCTGAGTAAAACAGAAGTTCACCTTAGCACTGGAACTCCATTCATCAAGATTTGTGCCTTCTGCTAGCTTGCGAGGAATTTTGATTAACTTATTCCTGTCCAGCTGACCACGACAAATTGGACACGGCGGGTGGTCCTAGGAAAATTAATAAATTTATTAAAATCAAATTTCTCTCCTCATGTGGGTTCTGGACCGCATATGAAAACAAAGGGGGGGGGGGGAGAGGGGGGAGGGTTGCACAGGTGATAGATCCACTTCCTTTACCAAGTATACTATGAAGAGTATCCAATTTAAATTTTAGTTGGCCGGGAAGTATACCTGATCAACCAATGATGTGTCACCACAATTACATCCTTCAGACAAACCAGAAAAAGAAGAAAAGGTCAGTTAATATGTAAAAGTAAAAGTAAAGGTCCATTTTCCCCGCCTTTAGGCTTATAGGGCATTTAAGGCTAGACCTACATTTTATAGACACAGATGGGTGATGTGGTCAGCATCAGGCTGGTCCCCTTTACTTCCCGGAACTGCACCCGGTACCCACTCAAGGCTCGGTCGACCTAGAAGCCAAAGTCATTTTTGAAAAAAAGTCTAGCTCCGCCAGGGAGCGAACCCACGAAGATCGGTTAAATACATTGTGTTATGGTATACAAATAGACTGTAATATTTGCACCTTTGAGCTATACACATCCAAAACAGTAACTGGTCACTTTTTCTGATATACTTGTTAGAGGGCAGGGGGCCTGTTACATTTTTGTGGGATCCCTTTTATGGGGCCATGGAATGCACACAGAGAAAATGGATTTGCTGAAATCGAATGTGTTGGGCTGAAAAGTGAATATATCACAGTCTAGCTGTAAACCACACTACTTTTAAAGGTGAATGCCAAAAAAACAAAAACAAGAAGAAACAAATCACATTTATTTTACAAATCTTTTTGCATCCAAAGGTTACTTAAAACTTTGTTCCGCGCAAACTCTGTTGTCTCCGTTCTCTAAATCTAATTCTAAAATGGCTAACCAGCCTTCCTTTGGCCACTATTGTGGTATTGGACTATTGGCTGCCATTTTGTCTTGCTGCTGGTTCTATACATTTGACAAGATGACTTGCTTATTTAATTAATTATTGTACTTCTTTTTCTCCCCAAGCAATATACCACATGTAATAAGTTAATGGCTATGTATATCAAACAATGAATGATGTGTTATATATTTTTTACAACTGGTCTGTAAACAAGTGGGACAGCACTCCTAATAATCTCTGTACAGTGATTGTTTAGAGTGCTGCCCATTTGTTTACAATTAAGTGAGAAAGGTTTTAATTTTTTACTCAAATATATCCTTACAAACGTATGACTGATGAACACATCTGGCATAGTAACATACAAACTAATTTAAAATAATAAAAATAGTAACTCAAGTTCAGTATTCTATTCAGGCTACAGCAGCAACATATCCAACAGCTGAAACACTAAGTGTAAACACTGACCATACAACTGGAACAATGCTCTTCATCACTTCATGGTAAAGAAGTCTCGAAGCATGGTGTTTGCTCCGAGTGCTAGAGGTTCCGGGTTCAATCCCCGGTAAGGGCTGGGATTTTTTCACGTGGACTTGGACTTCTAGTAATAAAAAAAAAAATTCCCCCTGGTCTCTGGGTAGTGAAATCGGACGCCCGTGTGCATTGCTCGGCACGTAAAAAAATCCCTTGGCAGTTGGAAATTTAAAAGAGTAGCCCAGAGGCGCTGCCCGGGCAAAATTTGAAGTTAAAAATCTACCCAAAGTATTTCAGGATCCTTGCCGTTGCTACAGAGCCTATGCACTGTGCTGCGCTTCTTCCGACTTAGACCCGAGTTAGAAAAAGAACGTAGCATTTATGGGTTTCACTCGTGTGCCATAATTTTGATCCGTTGTTCAAAACCTCAAACCTCATGTTAAAGGAGTCTGTAAGGGGGGGGGGAGCCAAGTTTTATGATGCAATATTTTAGATACAGGTGTATCTCAGAATTTTCAGCTACACATCATGGAGTCAATGTGTATGCAATTTGAGGTAACAATCAAATGGAACAGAAGGAATTTATTTTATAACATGTCAAATGTTATAACATTACACATTTTATAACATGTCAGTGTTTCTTTCAAAGTCAGAGTGCATCTGCCTGAGAGGCAAGAAACCAACAGTCTGCACACAAATAAGCCTGATCTGTAAAACAAAGTGAATGCGAAACTCAAGTTCTGGAACAAGACTAAAGTCCAGAAGTGGACAAACAACCAGAACATTTGGCCAGAGTTGAAAGCCAGTGAATGCCAAGAAGAATAAGAAAACAGGCCACATTTTATGACATGCCAAATTTTATAACATGTCAGATTTTATAACATGTCAGATTTTATAACATGTCAGATTTTATAACCTGTCAGATTTTATAACATGTCAGATTTTATAACATGTCAAAAAATATTACCTCTTTTAAACATAACTGGTCAATACATGTACTGCAAAACTGGTGACCACAAAAAGTGATGACAGCATTCTGGTAGCCAATCTCCATGGACTTTGTATAGCATATAGGGCACTCACTGTACTCCTCTTCTTCATAAAGCCACATCAACAGTTTCCCAAGGAGTTGTTTTCTTTCTGCTTCACTGATTGACTCGTATGCTTGTGTAATAGCTGTATATTAAAAAAAAGAAAACTGTAGAGGTTTATTTGATATTGCAAATGGGGTGTAAATTGAAAAGGCTTCATATTTACCGACTCATGTGATGAAAACTATGGTGACTGTAGTCAAGCCACTTCTCATTATCATCATCATCATCCTCATCCTTTGTGTGCCGTTAGAGGTCACAAAGGGCTCACATTCAATTCCTCCACTCCGCTCTGTTGCATGCAGCTTTCTCAATTTCTGACATGGAGTTCAGCCTGGCACTTATCAGCCTTTCGTAATAATTTTCATTTTTTAGTTTCCCTTGAAAGTCCTCATTTTCTCTCTCTCTCTCAGACTGTTTGTTTCCCATTTCAGTGCCTGTTTTGTAATTCTTTGCTCATTTTGTCTTAGGGTGTGTCCAACATATCTCCACATTTTTCTGAAGCAGGGTTAACAAGAACTTGGAAAAACACATCCACATACATCAAAGTATCAAATTACACAAAAAAAAAAAAAAAAAGCAGTCACCAAGTGGTAATTTAGTGTCCAAATATCATTGTGATTGTTGACACAGTTTTGTCTAGATAATTAAAATCTGCTGTTTTTTGGTCTGGTGTTAGACAAGGCACACTGCAGATCACTCTCCACATCAAGCTAGCAGTGCTGTTTTGTATTTATGACTGTTACAGTTTAATTTCTAATGAAAATGAAAAAACAACATTACTGTAACAAATTATTACAAGTACAAATGCACTGTTTCAAAGTGCTTGATGCTGAGCTTGAAACTTCCAAATTGTTGAAAAATATTCATTTACCTTATTAGAATTGGTTTAAATGAATGGAACATGATTTTTCAGAAATGACCTTGGCTCCCAGGTTGACCCAGCCTTAAATAGGCACCAGCAAGGAAAGGTGGCTGACATGATAACCTCATCAACTACCAAGTGCCGACTGGTGTATAAAATATAAGTCTTGCTCTATTTTCCAAAAATGTCTAAAGTTGTGGAAAAGGCTCCTTTATCCGAACTGAGAAACTAATTCTCCCTAGTTGAAAGACAAGTATTTTTAATTTTTTAATATCCCCCTTCGAGGATTGCAGACTGTAGGAAAAACTCCTCAAGGATGAAAATAAAACAGGTACAAATCCCATAATACCCATTCAACCCTACATCATCATCATCATCATCATGTAGCAGGTTCTTTGCACAACGTCGCTCTCATCATGATCTGCCTGAAAAAAACTCTGACTCTCGCCAGCTCTCATGTATTTTCATACTCAAGGAGTCACTTATATCCTGTGCCCATCTTCATGTTGGTTGGCCCCTGCCCTTCCTTCCTGGTAACATGCCTTCTGCTATTATTTTTTTTTTCAATTCGTCGTGGCGCTTGATATGACCAAAATATTTCAGCTTCCAAGACAGGATGCTGTTTATTAGCCAATCTTCCTTGATGTTCAGATCTTTCAAGATGTCAGTTTTTTTCCTCTTCTTTGTCCAAGATATTCTGAGAAATCAACCATACAACAGAGATATATTAGAGCACCTGATGATTACTAAACAACCTGTAGTCTTAGATGGCTTAGTTACTCATACCTTGACTGAATATAACGTCAACATTTAAATTTAAAAACAAAATTTTAGCAACCTGGATTTTTCTCAAAACAGGCACGGCAGTACAGGTGTCCTTTTGATGTGATGATTGCAGTTTGTAATGGGTTTGTGCATATGGTACAGTCTTCTTCTGATTTGTTGGCAGAATCCAGCTGCTGCCTGAGATTGTTGATTTCTAGGACGGTCATGTCCTGTCCTGGTGCCACCATATCTGCTTGCTGCGGACCTAAGTTTACAATATAAAACATTGTTCAAATACAGAATAATTCTTTGAGTGTGGTTTGGTGGTGGTGTGTGTGTCAGGAGGGGATGAATAAAGAAAGGGGGAAGATAGAGAGAGAGACAGAGGATAGAGAGCCTTTTAAAGGACCCTTTTCGCCTTTAGATGTATTGGGTTTATAGGGCTAGATCTATATTTTAAAGACCACTCAGCGCTTGATCGGTAAGGTCAGCAACATCAAGCGAGCTACCTTTACTTCCTATGACTTTACCTGGTACTCATTTAAGGCAGGGTTGACCTGAGAGTCAAAGCAATTTTTGAAAATAGTCAGGCTTTGTCTGGACCTGAGTTACAATCTTTGGATCTGCAAGTGAGCATGTAGCTGCTATACTATGGCTGCACTTCCAGTGTGAGAGAGAGAGAGAGAGAGAGAGAGAGAGAGAGAGAGAGAGAGAGAGAGAGACAGAGACAGACAGACAAATACAGAGAGACAGAGAGAGAATGAGAGAGAGAGAGAGAGAGAGAGAGAGAGAGAGAGAGAGAGAGAGAGAGAGAGAGAGAGAGAGAGAGAGAGACAGAGACAGACAGACAAATACAGAGAGACAGAGAGAATGAGAGAGAGAGAGAGAGAGAGAGAGAGATGTTACAGGTAAGCTTAAAATGTCTACAACATCTAAAGTTGCTTTTACTAGTCAATGTCTTAAAATTATTTGTAATGTAGTGTCATGTGTGTGTATATGGAAGACATCTAACAAGAGTCAGTTGGGTAATACAGATAACATGGTATGCAGATAGATAACCAGGTAAACTCATAAAATCAGTTCATTTTATTTGATTTAAATAAATAATTTAAAAAATAAATGTACTTTTTTTAATTATGAAAATAATATTTACATGACATTACTAATCTTGATGGTACATATTTGTATTACTTTTCATATATAAAAATTTCTCACTGCTTGCAAAACAAACAAAAATACAAAATTACTAGTTTTGTTTTTGTTTGAACATTTATGTGTATGATCTTACACATAATTACTAAATTATTTGTCTTCTTGTCGTTCACTTGTTGTAAGCTCCAGGAAAGTTCTAGTTCACTGGTTGTAAGCTCCAGGAAAGTTCTAGTTCACTGGTTGTAAGCTCCAGGACATTTCTAGTTCACTGGTTGTAAGCTCCAGGAAAGTTCTAGTTCACTGGTTGTAAGCTCCAGGAAAGTTCTAGTTCACTAGTTGTAAGCTCCAGGAAAGTTCTAGTTCACTAGTTGTAAGCTCCAGGAAAGTTCTAGTTCACTGGTTGTAAGCTCCAGGAAAGTTCTAGTTCACTGGTTGTAAGCTCCAGGACAGTTCTAGTTCACTGGTTGTAAGCTCCAGGACAGTTCTAGTTCACTGGCTGTAAGCTCCAGGACATTTCTAGTTCACTGGTTGTAAGCTCCAGGAAAGTTCTAGTTCACTGGTTGTAAGCTCCAGGAAAGTTCTAGTTCACTAGTTGTAAGCTCCAGGAAAGTTCTAGTTCAGTGGTTATAAGCTCCAGGAAAGTTCTAGTTCACTGGTTGTAAGCTCCAGGAAAGTTCTAGTTCACTGGTTGTAAGCTCCAGGAAAGTTCTAGTTCACTAGTTGTAAGCTCCAGGAAAGTTCTAGTTCACTAGTTGTAAGCTCCAGGAAAGTTCTAGTTCACTGGTTATAAGCTCCAGGAAAGTTCTAGTTCACTGGTTGTAAGCTCCAGGAAAGTTCTAGTTCACTGGTTGTAAGCTCCAGGAAAGTTCTAGTTCACTGGTTGTAAGCTCCAGAAAAGTTCTAGTTCACTAGTTGTAGCTCCAGGAAAGTTCTAGATTGTCACTGGTTGTAAGCTCCAGGAAAGTTCTAGTTCACTGGTTGTAAGCTCCAGGAAAGTTCTAGTTCACTGGTTGTAAGCTCCAGGAAAGTTCTAGTTCACTGGTTGTAAGCTCCAGGAAAGTTCTAGTTCACTGGTTGTAAGCTCCAGGAAAGTTCTAGTTTCACTGGTTTGTACGCTCCAGGAAAGTTCTAGTTCACTAGTTATTAAGTTCCAGGAAAGTTTCTAGTTCACTGGTTTAAGCTCCAGGAAAGTTCTGGTTCATATTGGTTGTAACTTTCAGGAAAGTAAAAATTTCTCACTGCTTGTAAGCTCCAGGAAAGTTCTAAAATCACATGCTTGTAAGCTAGGAAGTGTCTAGTTGTTTGGTTGTACATTTATGGAATGATCTTACACTGGTTGTAAGCTCCATTATTTTTCTTCTTGTCGTTCACTGGTTGTAAGCTCCAGGAAAGTTCTGGTTGTTTGTCTACTTCTGGACTTGAACTGGTTGCATGCACATTCATTTTACATGTGTGGCTTATTTGTATGCAGACTGTTAGTTCACTGCCTCCCTGGCAGATGCACCTGCCCTCGAAGGAAACACTCTTAATTAACCACTTTTACAACATATTTGCTGAGGGGCGGGGGAAATGGGTGTATTGCTTTTTTTTCTTCTTAAGATGGGACACAGGCAGATTTAATTTTTTAGATCTAATCTACCCAAAAACAGCAAAAGTACCTGGGTTTCTCTGAATGCAAGTCCAGCAGTAAATTCCTCCATTAGAAGCAATCACAGCATTCTTTGGATGTGCAAAACAGGCTGAACAGACTACAGACTCCTGTGTCAGTACTGAACCATTACCAACATTTATTTCATTCCTTGTGTTGTCACAGTCAGTGACATGAACTGATAAAGATAAGAATAGAAATTATGAAATGAGTGAAGAAACTGACACTGTGGATCTTCCTCTACTAAACCTCATCAAAGTTTTGAGGAAGATCTAAGTATGTTTTAATTTCCTAGATCTCATGTACTTGTTTTATAAGCTGACCACAACCCTGTCTCCTCTGAGAATGCTTACAAGTTTTTGATGTTTTGAACAACAGATCAACACCATGGCACATGGATAGTTAGCCATAAGTGCTCCGTTCTTTCAACTCAAGTCTGAGTCCGAAGAAGCTCAGCACAGTACACAGGCTCTGTAGCACCAGCGAGGATCCTGGAATACTTTAAGTAATTTAAAAAGTAGCGCTGTTGAGCTACTCTTTTCGATTTCCAACTGCCGAGGAATTTTTTACGTGCGCAGCAATGCACACTGGCGTCCGATCTCACTACCCAGAGACCAGGAGGAATTACTAGAAGTTCAAGTCCACGTGAAAAAATCCCAGCTCTTACCAGGGATTAAACCCGGAACATCTAGCACTCGAGGCGGACACCATATGTCGAGACCATGCAGCCCCCTAGAATGCTTATAGGTGAGTACAGAAGCCAAGAATAAATGAATGAGCACTAACAAATCTAGAGTAATTGTTACAAGTTTCATATCAATTTTCAGAATCAGTTAGATTTGCTTTTTCTTCCCCAGCTTTCCGTCAATTGAAGTTCATTCTTGCAGATATCTGCCTCTATTCATCTCTTTTATTAACCTTCCCTCCAAGTGTTAACTGGTCTGCCTGCAATTTATCTTTCCACCATCTTCTTGGTCTGCCTCGTCGTCTACTTCCATCAATTCTTTGGTGTACTCAGTTATCGTGTCCATTATCTGACATTTTCTCTATATGCCCCAACCATTAGCCTTCAGAACATCGGTAATTAATGGTGATTTGATTTTATAAGATTATGAATTTTGTTGCTGCTTCTCTCTCTCTCTCTCTCCTTCTCTGCTGTTTGCAATGAAAGCCACAAATTATTTTACTGAATACAAACCTGGGTTATTCACAACAGCCTTGTATACCAGTTTAGGATGGCAGCAAAACTGGCGCAGTCTCAGCTGAGCTACATAGATTTCAAACAGATGATCTCGAACTGTGTTGTCTTCAATGAATCTGAAAGGAAAAATAAAACCCCATGTATCCTCTGCCCCCTAAACAAATGTTTAACTACTAAACTTTTTTTATAACTCACAGAAGATTTATAATATGAGGGGAAGTCAATAAGTAAGTTGCAAATGGTTGTTTAAAAAAACACATTAAAAAAACACTAAAATTTAAAACAACTTGAAAACCTTTTATTTTTACACACACACTGTCCCTTTATTTTTCAACATAATTTCCAAAAACACCTGTCTCATCATTTTATCAGTCCTTCCAAACCTGCTGCATAGAAGTGCATGCTCTGTTTTCTAAACCACTTGTGTCTGTCACAACCTCAACAGGATGACCAGATCAGACTTCATCAACAATTTTAGAGCGTTCTGAGAATTTAAAAAAAAAATCCAGCTATGCACCCCTTTATGGTAAAAACATTCATCAGCATAAACAGTAAGCATTACTTTATGAATTTCCTTTGCAGGCAGCCCCTCCCCCCTCCTCCCCACTCTGCCAAAAAATCATAACAACACGTTGTTCTTTGAGGGTACACTCCATAAGTACAGACGCCATTTTGTTTCTGTGTTGCGAATATGCATGCAACACCTAGCGCCACCTAACAAACTGAGACATAACGTTTGATGTTGCTGTCACCTAATGACACCTTTAGAAACCACCAACAACGTTTTCCTACCATCCTATAACCATTTGTGACTTACTTATTGACTTTCCCTAGTAACTAGGTAAAAGTTAAGTTTAATTCATCACTAATTATATACTAGTGAAATATTAGTTCAGGAACTCTCAATTTTTACTACCTGTATTCAGCACTTTCAGGGAGGGGACGCAGGTGTTTGTGTGTGCGAGGGGAGGGGGGGGGGGGTGTTCTTGTGTGTGGAAATTTAGAGAAGCATGGCTCTTACAGTCACCATGGACTGTGCAAGTTAGGATTTTATTTTTACTCCCAGGCAGAAAAAAAGAATTCATCATCTTACCGAGGACTGGAATATGGGTCACCCAAATGAGAGCCTAAGTTTTCTTAGCTATTCGACCAATTACTGCTCTATAAACTGTCAACTTAATTTGCCTTTGTGTCACTTCCTGTTGGTTGAGTGAAATTGTGTGTCAACCAGTATGGGTGCATCAACCATCTGATGTATCTGGATATTCTATTTGCACCTGGACTTCAGCACTTGAAGCGATAAGTTACTTATATGTAGTTTTATCAATGTTTTTTGAAATTGCTGACAAGGTCTTTCTAGCCAAATTAAACATCTTCTATTTTGTGATTGTGTTCATCAAAATGCTGACCAGCTGTTCTTTCAATTATGGCAGAGAGATGCATTACCACCTGCAGTTGTGCACCAGGCCCAAGGCTCAAATTAATCAATTTATCTACACCTCTCCAAGATCATCCTAGGAAGAGGTTCCCAAATGGGACTTGGTCAACGTAGATAGCTTTCACATTTTCTTCAAAGTCAGAGTGCATCTGGCTAAGTGCATGGAATCACTAGTCTACACATAAACAAGTCACACTTGTAAACTGGATGTGCATGCAACAGTCAAGGAAGCATTGAACAAAACCAAAGCCTGAGCTTGCATGAAATGCAGAAGAAGAATGTAGATTTTGTCATTTAATTATACAGGGTTATTCAAAACAATACACTTTCATTCATGTATATTTCAATGAATATATATTATATGTACCTTCCTCTCTCTCTTGATTGTATGTTAATAATATGTAATGTATATTCAAGGAACTATACATGAATGAAAGTGTATCCATAATTTTGAATAACCCTGTATTATAGAATGCAATGATATTTTTTCTTCTTCTACTGTGTTTATCCAAAGATTTAAATGGGATATGCCCATTCACAACATAGATGCAATATTTGCACCTTTCGGCTGAAACATCCGACTTCTGCAGGTATTTGTTGCCTGGGTTAGCTTTAGCGGTTGATAACAGTTTTTAACACACAAAAAAACACAATTAAAATAGAACTAACTGGCGTATCAAAATCTTGCCCTCATTCTCCATTAGATCATATGCTTCTCTCTGCTCCTTGTTTAGTGTGAGCTTTTTCAAAACAACATTCCTTGCTGGCAGGTCTAAAATGGGTTTTCCATTCACCTGCTGTGTCTTGGTGCGACGCAAGGACAAATTCCTCATTAGGTGGAAGACACGCCTGCAAATAAAAATAGCATAACATAACGATGGGATAAAACTGGAATGTTTCATTTAATTATATTTACGTGATTCTTCTTCTTAAAGTCCATGCTGTGTGACGTTGGTAGTCAAGTCTATCCACAACCTTCTGTCTCGTGTACTTCAAAAAACTCTGACACAGATGATCTTCCATGCTATGATGTCAAACTGTCCAGCATTAGTTCTCTTGGTCTCCCTCTGCTCCCCTCTAACATTCCTACCATCACGATGTACTCCAGTTTTCTCCTTCTCATCACATGACAAAAGCATGTAGACTGTCTTTTTATGATGTGGGCAATCAATCATTTATTTACATGATTACCACATGAAAGTTGTTTTCGCAACTGTACAAATACTCAAACTACAACAGTATGGTCAAGAGTTCTTCTAAACCTTCTTTGTATTTTCCCCCTCTTTGATCTTCTGTTCCTATTTTTTCTTGTCTTCTCCTTAAGCAACGGAATCAGTAGAAAAACAAGATTATTATGGCCTGGAGAGAATGAGGCACCTGGGTGTAACCAGAGGGTCTGGCCGGCTCACTACACTCAGAGGAAAGGCAAGATGGACATATAATCAGATTGTGACTGGTACCATCAATATTGGAACTCTGCGCTGGCTGCTGAAGATGAGAACGGAGCACACATGGGAATGCCCTGAGTGCTGTGATGTTAATTCTTGACTCAACTCAACTCTTATCTTCTCCTTCTTCTTTCTACTGTACTTGATAAGTCTTTCAATATAAGGTTAAGAACATTTTTGTTTCCTATAAGATCCTTTTGTGCACTGTGGAAAATAAGTTGTACTAACTGCCTCTGGTGATCAACTAATCCATTAAGGTTTTTAGTGACTCTTATTAAAGTTGCTTTAACTGAACATCATCATCATCATGTGCCTGCCAACTGGCGTAGGCGCTCATGCATCTCCACAGATCACGATCCCTGGTTGCCTGGAACAGCTCTCTTGATGATATCCCTCCATGTCATCATTTCAGCACATCCAGCATCACTCTCTTGGTCTGCCTACCCTTTTTTTTCCACAGATCTTTCCAGTAGTCACAATGTTCTCCAATGTCTCTCTTCTCATTACGCGCCCAAAGAACAGTGTTTGTCTCTTTCTTATTGTTGTATATAGAGATCTACTTTCATTAGCTTCTTTCAAGCAATCGTTGTTAGTTACTCTGACTGTCCGAGGTATTCATAACATTCGTCTCAAAACCACTTCTCATTTACTTTTAAATTCTTTTTAATTTTTCACCGACATTTCCAAGATTTGCAGAACAGGTTCTATGTAACATTTTAGCACCTGCCCAGAGTTGACTATACTATTGCTGCTTTTTACATTTACTCATCATCAGCATCATCATGTGGCACACTAGTATGTTTGGGTAAACACGACTACTCTTCTACTTAAGAGAAAAGAAACGTAACTCACTGCATAGCAGAGTCATCTTTATTAAGCATGGGATAAGCAATAGTTCTGTTCCAGCACCTTTTGTCAGTCAGTGGTTCAACCCTCAGGAAGTTGACCATAGACCACAAATCTTCTAATGTGTTCTGGATTGGAGTGCCTAAAATGAATTAATAACCAAGAAAAATTAATGGTCACATAACGGCTTTATTATAACAATCACTAGTACTATTAACCTAAAGTAGTCCAGAGGATCGACTGCACTGCACCGGGTTTGGCCCCACATGGCTCAGTCTCTCTTTGTAAAATGGCTAGCCACCTGCTGAAAGCATCACACAAAGCACAAAGTTCATAGTACGTGTGATTATCTCCAACATTTCGAATATACTTTGTCATCGTCTTGTGTGACACCTCTTAGACTGTTATCTGTCCATTTGTTAATTTTATCCTGTCATTTGTATCACTGTCTACCTCTTGCTCATCTGCCTTAAAGTTTCCCTCCTGTTTTGTTTCTAATAGTGTTTTAAACCTCTCACCCAAAGAAAGCTTTTCCCCTGTTTTTGCCGATTTTACTGGTTTTTGTTTGATATAATGTCTTTAGACAATGCCTGATGGAGCAGCTGTGGTATTGGCTGCAACTTTATGGTGTGTAGACCTGGGTGGGGGTGAGGGGGGGGGTGTAGACCTGGGTGGGGGGGTGTAGATCTGGGTGGAAAAGGGGGGGGGGGTGTAGATCTGGGTGGAAAGGGGGGTGTAGACCTGGGTGGGGGGGGTGTAGACCTGGGTGTAGATCTGGGTGGGAGGGGGTATAGATCTGGGGTGGGGGGGGTGTAGAACTGGGTGGGGGGGTGTAGATTTGGGTGGAAAGGTGGGGTGTAGACCTGGGTGGGGTGTGTAGATCTGTGTGGGAGGGGGTATAGATCTGGGTGGGAGGGGGTATAGATCTGGGTGGGAGGGGGTATAGATCTGGGTGGGAGGGGGGTGTAGATCTGGGTGGGAGGGGGTATAGATCTGGGTGGGAGGGGGTATAGATCTGGGTGGGAGGGGGTATAGATCTGGGTGGGAGGGGGTATAGATCTGGATGGGAGGGGGTATAGATCTGTTTGGGGTGAGGGGGGGTGTAGACCTGGGTGGAAAGGGGGGTGTAGACCTGGGTGGGGGGGGTGTAGATCTGGGTGGGAGGGGGTATAATTATATTTACCAAAGAAAAGAAGATGTGAGATATTATTGGGGGTGAAAAAATAAAAAAAAAATAAAAATTTTGTGGGGGGGGGGGGGGGGGGGTGGAGAAGGGGAGTGTCAGTGTTACATAATAATACATTTATGGCAATGTCCCTTTGCTTTCTGTGGCTGCCAACAAAACCCCTGTTTTCTTGGACAAAGGGAAAGAAACCATTGATTTCTTTGTTTCGTGTGTATTTAGTGATTACTTGCCTTCATATAAAAAAAAATTTACAAAAATCACCTTTGTGCAAAACAATGACTCTGTTTAAACAAACAAACAAATCGCTTTTTTTTTATTAACTTGGGACCCTCAGTGACGCATGATGCAACAGCTAGCAGACGTGCCTGTCTGCTCAATGGTCATAGGTGTTTATGCCTACTCCCCAGGATTTTTATAAAAACTGACAGAGACTCCAAACTTCTTCTGCTTCTACTTCTCTAACCCTAGCTTCTTAGGCTAGAGTTTAAGAGAATTGTAACAATGCATTTATATTTAATGAAAATATGAAAATGGTCATTATTAATGATTTAACCAGGCAAAAGGCTTCTGAATGCAGAAATTTAAAACTAGTATATAGCCTGAGTCATTTAATATTCTAGGGTTATCTGTTTAGATCCACCCTTCAAGGCTTCAATTTCTATTTCATGACAAAATGGGCATTCAACCAATTTTACAATACTTTCATAAACTTACAACTAGCAGAATCAAAAATGTTGCAAAAAAAAAATTAGCACTTACCACTCAAGACCCATCTTCTCTGAGCTTTTAGTTCAAAAATTATCTTGGCTGTGCGTGTTTTGGAATTTCGTATATGATGACCTTCATCCAATACAATTCTCAGCCAGTCTGTATTGTATATAGGTCCTTTATCGGCTTTCTATAAGACACAACATAATTAACTTCCTCACCATCAACTGTCATTATCAAGATGGCACTTCTTCTTCTTTGAGTTCACCAGCTGTAAACTCCAGTAGAAAGTTCTGGCTGTTTGTCCATTTCTGAATCTTATTCTTCAACTTGAGTTATGTGTGCACATCCATTTTATAGAGCTAGCCTATTTATGTTCAGGCTGTTGGTTCCTCGCCTCAGGCAGATACGCCACACTTCAAAGGAAACAACCCTAATTAATTGCCTTGTACAACATGCCTGTTAGGGCATCTGCACAGATGGATCCTTGAAGCACGGATCAAGGTCAGCATGTCCATACACAACGCAAAGAATGGGGAAAATAATATAAGAGGATAGGACTTACCAAGCAACTACGTCAAGCATGATCATGCAGATAGCCGCTGCTTCTAGAGCACTAGCATAGACAGCAGAGCAAACAGCCACGCAGGCAGTAACTGTATCAGACTCTATGAACATGCTTCAGAAGATTGCAACAGGTGGTTTGCGCTCTGAATGGGTAGAAAGCATTCGAAAATTGTACTTAACCTCCCTCATCTGGATCTACACACCTGGCCATGCTGGTGTAAAGGGTAATGAGCAAGCAGATCAACTAGCAAGCAAATGCACCAACACATGTGGGAAGAAGCATGATATTGTCAACGCTGTACGGACTGGGCTAGTGGATAATGATGGTTGCGTGACATCGGAGCAAAGCATGGTAAAGCTCGCCTATGCCACCTTCGAACCTGAGATAGGAGACATTATAACCAACCTCTCACAGGAACAATTAGTAGAAGTACCTTGGGATGGCTGCTGCATCGGAGAACTGAGCCAACATGGGAATGCTCTGTCTATGGTGACATTGATTGTGATAACATAATATGCTCGTTAGGGCAGCAGGTCCTATTTTTGTATGCCCTCAAAGGAAAAAGGAAAAGCAGCACTTAACGGATAATTCAAGTAAAGTAAAAGACTCTTTTCATGCCATTGATACATTGAATATATGGTGCTAGATCCATGTTTTGTAGACCTACCCTTCTTCTTTTTCTTCTTCTTCTTCTCTTCCACCTTGTACCTCATCGAAGTGTCGGGGGGAGATGTACACTGATGAGCTCTGTCAAGAACCTTATTAAGACTGATGTTCATTTCTGTAAGGCTGTTCTTAATGCCATCACTCCATCTTTTCCTAGGTCTTCCACTCGCTCTATACCCATTGTAACGTTTTAGTGTGGCTCGCTGTGGCAGATAGTACCAGGGCATTCTTGTTAGGTGTCCAAACCACTTCATCTGTTGTTCTTTGATGACCTGTAAGACTGGCTTTATTCCTAGCATTCGTCTGATTTCGCGACTTCGTATTCTGTCTTTCCTTGAAACTCCTGGAGCTCTTCTAAGACATTTCATTTCTGTTGTCACAATTTTGCGTTCATTGGAGGATGTAAGTGTCAACGTTTGGCATTGATAGCATAGTGTTGGCCAAACAAAAGTTCTGATAAGATTCACTTTAGTACTTCGAGGTAACTGATTATAGACCTACCCACATGAGCAAAAGCAGCAGTTAACGGATAATTCAAGTAAAGTAAAAGACTCTTTTCATGCCATTGGTACATTGGATATATGGTGCCAGATCCATGTTTTGTATAGACCTTTCAGCACTTGATGGGTTATATAGCCAACAGTTACCTAAATTTTCCCGAACCTTACTAGTTCCTATTTTAGGCAGGATATACATTATTTTATTTTACAAACCTTGAAATCTGCCTATCACTGTGTGGTAAGTTGTAATAACAACATCTTGCTCCTTGATGAACTCCATGTTGGTAGTTCGGCTTTTGCCATAGTGTATATAGAAGTTGAGACGTATTGTTTTATCAATATGCTGCCGGAACTGATCCTTGAAATGGAAAACAAAAGCAGCTCAGGTAACAGTTAAGTACACTATACAGTAAAATGACACTTACAATATTCTGTCTAGTAAAATAACTACATTATACAGTAAAATGAAAGTCTATACTACATACAGTAGAGTGACAATATATTAAACAGTAAAATGAATATATATTAGATTGTTAAACAATAATATATTGTACAGAAATGTGATAATAAATTATACAGTAAAAAAAAAGTCTATATAAGTAAAGTGACAATATATTAAACAGTAAAATTACTATATATATTAAATTGTTAAACAATAATATATAGTACAGAAATTTGGTAATAAATTATACAGTAAAATGACAAAACAATAAACAGTAAAATGACTATATATTAAACAATGAATGGCAATTTTTTAAAACAGTAAAATCACTATATGTCTTGTAAAATAACAACATATTGTATGAAATTGGCAATAAATTACACAATAAAACATTATATATTAAGAGTAAAATGACAACAGATTTTATAATAAAATTACAATATATTATAAGTAAAATTACTATTTTATACAGTAAATGCCAATCAATATTTGTTGTTAATGTTAATGTTGCTAATACAAGAGGGTCTGGTGAAAATTGTGACAGTCAACAGAGGGTGAAAAATACTGGAGGACTGGCAAGGTGACATGTAGGAAAAACTAAAGAACAGACAGGACATATGTTTGTTGAGGAAACATGACTGTTTATACTCATATTTGTAGTGGCCAATGAACATATGGTACTTATTATACAGCAACTCAAGCAACATCTGGCCAAGCGGTTAAAATATTTGGCTCTCACGCAGAAGACCTGGGATAAAACCCTTGGTTAAGTTAACTCTATTTGAACTGATCTCTAAATGTGGAGTTGACTGAGTTAAGACTGTGTTTGAATTGACATATGTGTGTAGAGTTGACTAAATTAATAATGTGCTTAAATTAATCTCGGAATGCAGAGCTGTCCTGTCACATACCTCCCAGTTATACAGCACACTAGTCGGACAAATGATCAAGGTACCACGAGGGCCAGTAGTTTTACATCTGCCAGTTAGGACATCATAATCATCACAAACATCTTGCCGACTCCCTGTGGGTATTTGTAACGTCTCACTAGACTCTGTACCCAGAAACATATTAAAAACCCAAGTATATGATCTCACAAAAATTTGCTTTTAAAAGTCAGTAAACTAATCATACAGGCTATGTTAGATAGGGCTGTTGGCGTCAGCCAGAGCCTTCAAACTGGGCATCACTGGATGCCGCCACTGTGAGCATTTACGGATGATGTGGTGATCATAACGAGCAGTAAAAATCATGCCCACATTATTCAGAGGCTGGATTGTGTGGTTAAATGGTGTGGCATGCAATTCAAGCCTCAGAAGTCCAGAAGTCTTTCACTCCATAAAGGTAAAGCTGTGTCAACCAGATTCATGGTGACAAACAAAATGATCCTTATGGTTTTAGAGGAGCCAGTGAAGAGCTTTTGCCACGTCTACGATTTCAAGTTATCTGATAGAATGGAAGTCAGATGTATGCATGAGTCAGAGCCAACAGGCTTTCTTGCTATCAAGCAATGCAGGCTTATCCGGAGGTTTGAGGTTTGTTGTCTCCAATTCATGTTCTTTGGAAAGCTCCTCTGGCCGCTGCTAATATACAAAGTTAGCACGAGCGCAGTGGAGGCAACAGAGCAGAAAATCAACACCGTCATGAGAAAATGGCTCGGAGCCTCGCGGGTCTTATACCGTTTTAGGAAAATTGGAAAGTATCAATGAAATAGTTTTTATAACAGGCCTTGGCAATGTCCACCATTGATGTACAAGTCTCTTCATATTGCAAAAACTTTCTGCAATGTCTCTGTTATTATTTCTTGAATGCTTAATTTCTGACTGCTTCCATTAATAAAACAATGCTGTTTTGAGTGAAAAGAATTAATCCAGCAGATGATAGCCATTCACTGCATATTGCTTCATGATTGACTGTGCAGCACAATTTTTGTTAACATCATTTACCTTTGTTTTTCATATATTTGTTCTATACACAATGTGTATTGAGACTTTAAAAATTCTTGGTAGAATATTACAATGAAAACAACAGAAATGCAGGTAAACAAAGCACAAAATTGTAAACATCCTAAACAGAGCATGCATAATTTATAGAATGTTCATTAGCAGAAGAGTTCCCACTTCAAGAAAATGTTGCCTTTTTAAAGACTTTCCTCAAGCAGATTGATCACCACAGTGTGGTGAGATTGATGCAGTTTGGGGTGACGAGAGGTTCTGGCAGATGCTCGAGGCTCAGAGGAAAGGCAAGACGGACATTTAATCAGAATGCTACTGGCACCATTAGTATCGGAACTTTTCACTGGCTGCTGAAGATGGGGACGGAGTGCTTATGGGAATGCCCCGAGTGCTGTGATGTCGGTTCCTGAATCAAATCAAATCAGTCTTTCCTAACTCCTGAGGGTCAGATGAGGGAAGAAGTGGGTGATGTGAAGTGAACTTGCATCATCACTCCCAAACACCTTTCTGATGTTTCATTTTTCTCATATTTTAAAAATCCAGCTTATTTTATGTATTCATAACATATGAACACGCCAACAGTTTAAACTAAGAATACTAACAGTTTTACAGCTTGCAAGGTAAAGGACCTTTTTCCACACCTTCAGGTTTACTAGACATATACAGTGCTAGACCTATATTTTATAGACCAATCGGCATGTGGGGATGATGTTGTCAATATCACATCAGCCGCCTCAACATCTCAGGACTCTTCCCTTGACCTATTTAAGACTGGGTCGACCTGGGACTTTTAAAAAAACAAAAGTCCAGCTCCATTCAGATTTGAAATGACGACCTTCGGATTGCAGATGAGCATCTAGCCATTACACCACAGCAGCTCCTTGACAGCTTGTGCTACATATAATTCACTGTTTGGCCAGTCTGGGAGTCTCTCCGTGGTCAAGCTGTCTGCCTCATGCTCTGAAGGTCATGGATGTGTCATTCACTTCATGATTGTAGTTTTTACTAAGATTCCTGCAGCTACAGAGTTTGTGCTTTGTGTGATGCTCTAAGTAGGCAGCTAGATGTTCTCCAGAGAGAGACCAAGTCATATGAGGTACAACTCAGTTCTGGGCATCTTATTTTACAACAGCTGCAGTTATATCTCTTATACAAAACATATGGTTATTCAATTCACCTTCCAATGAAGCATAGATCATCAACTAGGTCCTGCAAAATGTTCCTATCCTATGCCATCAGCCGTGATTCATTTCATGCTCCTACCATTTTATTCACCCAGTCTCTAGTTTTCTTTTATATCTGTTCTTTGATCTCCCTCTAATTCTTTTGACCCTGTATCATCCAGTGCAGGGATATCCAAGCTCTATAATTATCAGGTTTTCTCAGCACTAACAATTATGTACAAGTAGTTAATTTATAAAAGTAAAAAGACAGTTACAACATACTTTCACTAGTGTTTTCAATTTCTGGCGGCTGCAAGGGGTTGAACTTCTCTCGGAGGTACTTCCTCATGCAGTCAAGATATTTCTTTCCTAATAAAGGTACAGTTATTTATGACTCAAATTATTTTCAAAGAATTAAAGTACAGTGGTAGCTCAGAATTTGAACACATTTAAACTTAAACTTGGAATCCAAACAACATTTTCAAGTAAATTTTGCCTCAGAATTGCAACACCGCCTTGGACACTGAATGCTTGGCACATCCCAATCACTCAAAAGAACTGACAATGCAAGAGCTCCAGTTCACATTTCCCGACCCATCTACACAATCCCTGAACATCTAGAACTGGCCCTGATTCAACCCCCCTCCCCCCTCCGCCTCCCAACCCACAGTCTGAACGTAGGTCATATGAGAGACTCTTTTAACAAATGTTGTTAATTTGTTTAATGATAACATAATCAAACATTTAAAAAAAAAAGTGGCTAACACCAAAGTATTTTGGAATGCTGACTGTTGACAAAAACTAATGGACTATTAGATTATGTCCAAATTCTGAGGAACCACTTTATGTAAAACAAATAAAGAATATATAAACTGTCATTTGTATTTATGTTTTCCTCCTGGTGTTTGTCTGATAGGAAAAATTGCCTAAAATCTTGTGGAGGAAACATTACCAACATGCTAAATCTAAGTCAGTCTATGTAAGGTAATCAGGGAATCACAATTCCAACATCATTGCAAACAGGTCACACCATAATTGCTGCGTTCCTGTGCCAATGAAAACCACAAATAATGTACATCAATGTCCCTTCTGAAAACAAGTAACACAGACTGTCATCTCACAAAGCCAATGGCATACACATGCATTAAATGCATAAAGTAGCCATCAGAAGTGGCAACACCAACAATCCAAAACTAGAAATGCTATGTCAATGGAAGCAGCAGTTACATTAGATCAGTAGTTGCACATGCTATTAATTGCAAAAGGCACCACCAGTTCTCTGGTAATGGGCTATTCACCATTTTCTGAATCGGCACTCGGTGGGTGATGTGCTCAACATCAAGCTGACTACCTTTACTTCCTGGGACCTTACCTGGTACCTATTGACTGGGCTGACCTGGGAGCCAAAGTCATTCTTTTTAAAAACAAGCTAACAACATATCAAAAACTATTGAAATGCGGATACAATGGATACAGATTAATTAATAGACCCACTAAAATGTAGTTCTTTTCTGTAGCAACATACGGATGTGAGTTGTGGACTGTCTTGCAGTCCTTAAGAAAGAAAGAATATACCCTTTCTATATTTATGTAAATACACTAAAAACACACACAACCATTGACACAGACAATATAGGAAAGTCAACCGACAATTGTTTTATATCTGACACACACATATTGTATATGTCATGGCTGTGAAAAGGCTCTAGAATGGCTGAAAACTCAGGAGTTCACCAATGTATGTTTGCTCAGCGACAATGAACATGCTACAGAAGATCAAGGGGGGGGGGGGGGGGTACCAAAAAAGTGGGTTCCATCTGATACAGCACAAAGATTTTCATGAAACCACCTTAATTTTTGTCCTAGGAGATGCTGGTGTGAAAGGCAATGAGAGAGCAGATGCTCTGGCTGGCAGGGCGACTATCAGAAATGGGCCATGGACAGGAGAGACATCATTAATGCCATATGAGAGACTAAACGCTGTGAGGTTTTCAGTTCCGTGGAAAATGATTTTTCACTGAATAGATGGCATACCCTGGAGCCGCGAGACAGGAAAACCATGCCTGGAGCCACCCATCATTACATCAACCAGAACAGAATGGAAATAGTTATCCTAAAAACACATGCAAACTTACTCAGGTGAAAATCGGAGCAATTATGATCATGTCCGATAATCTCAGAAATGCAAAATGAACAATGACTGTACTATGTTTGCAGAAAATGTTTTTAAAACTCTAATAAAAAAACAAATTAAATATACATAATATATGTCTGGGAAATAAAAGTCATACCTGTGATTTTTGTAATTTTTGGGATCTTTGGCTTAATGTCCTCTTCTTCATCTAATTTTTAAAATATAAATAATTAAAATAGAATATTTAAAAGACTGAAGTATAATTATAAAAGAGCTCCTATCTTTTGCTGTTAATTTCTTCAGCATCCTCAACATATTTTTTAATCTTTGTCTCAGACTCTCTTCTTGTATTCTCATTTCTCTGTTTATTTTACGTCACTGTTGTGGCATCCTGGATGGATTCTTGTCTACCACCTAAAACCCTGGGTTCATATATGGATTTAACAAACAAAATTTGTACTTCACTTCCAGGTAGACCCAGCTTAAATTAGATACCAGGAAAAGTCTTAGGAACTAAAGGTGGCCAGAGTGCTGTTGACATCACCCATTAAGCACGAATTGCTCTATTCCATACACTGAACGACTTATTCAGCGGGGAATTGTGGGTGAGTAGGGAGGGGTTCTAGAAAATATAAGCTTTTAAGCAGGTTGCAACTGGTACTATTAGCATTTTGACATTTTTGCTGGATTCTGCAGAAAGAGACAGAGCATGTGTGGGAGTTTTCCTGAGTGCAGTGATGTCAATTCTTCACTCACTCATTGGTGTATAAAAAATGGGAAGAGAATCATTTATCTGGTACACCTCAAGATATAAAAAGTATCTTTTAGTCCCATTTTTTCCTTGCACATATTAAGATATACTGTAATACTACAACCTTTACGGTGGTATGTTTATGTTGGTTGGGAACTGACTTTCAAAGAAGACCTGACAGTGCATTTGTAAATAATTTGTTTTACATGCCTACAAGCTGTAATGGTGGAGGTGCAAACAAGGAAGGGAGGGGGGGAGGGGGGGGGGTGTGCTAACAGACCCACTGGCTTTTTACCAGCATGTTGCCAAAGGCAACTATTAAACAATTTACTAACTTCAGATGTGATGGGCTAAAAGGTGATAGATATCACGGTCTAGCTGTAAACAACACAATGTGCCAACCACCAGAACAAGAAAGAAGAAGAAGGAAGAAGGAGAGGAGGAGGAGGAAAAGAAACTAAGACATTCAATAAACTAGTGGGGCATATTTTGGAAGATACACAAAAATAACTGAACATAAGATATACAAGTTTACATAAAAACGTTGACGGGAACACATGAATAATATTCAGTCAGAATTAAAAAGACAATACAGCTCACCCATCCTTTGGCTTTGCCATGGTGGGAAAATAGTTTCCAGTAGGCTGTTTTCATCTGCATATAGAAAATCATGGAGCAATGCTGATATGTTTGAAATTTGCAATACTGAATAATGAAAAAATTCTTTGATAATATTAGCAGAATTGCCAAACTCGTGAACTAAACACAATTTACCTTGGCTTCTTGTTTCAGCCATCTTAAAACCGGTATCAGGAAATGTCTTTGGAAATAAAGATGGCTAGCTGAATCTCCTGTGGGGCAATTAGTCTATATAAATATAAGTCTAGTATCAAGAGCCCAACTTCTCCTTCTTCTTCATTTTCTTCTTCTTTTTCCTTCTTATTCTTCTTCTCCTTCTTCTTTTTTTTTTCTTCTCCTTCTTCTTCTTCTTCTTCTGGTTCTTTATCCTCTTCTCTTTCTTCTCCTCCTCCATTTTCTTCTTTTCCTCATTGAGCCTTTCATGTCTGGTGGAGCACTGGCCTACAACCAACTCATGCTTACTTGTAGACTCAGTAGTTATTGGCTGGATTTTTTAGTCATTGTTTTTAACAGAACGAGCTATCCAGTCTCACTTTTAGTAGCCTCTGCTACATCAGATTAAACATACACAAATAAATGTACAAGAAAAACAAAATCATAAATATACACACACAAAATTTACACCCAAAAAATAAAGCCATAAATAAACACAAATAAATATACAAGAAAAACAAAATCATACCTGTCATTTTGTTGCTAAATGTGGGCTTTGGTGTGTTATCTGGTTCTTCATCAGCTAATTAAAAAAAAATTTAGAATTAAATTGTTAATAAACTGATATAGGATGAAATCTCTTTTTCTCTAAAACAACGTAACATATGTCATCAGCTTTTGTCCATGTATTTGAAGGAATGATAAGTCTGTTACGGATGTTATATTTGGTCTGAGTGTTCTAGAAAAATATGGAGAGACGTGGCTCATTTGTATGCAGCCTGCTGGTTCCTTGCCTCTCAGGCAGATGCACTCCGACTTTGAAGAAAACACCCCTAATTAGTCACCTAAGACATGTTTGTTGAGGGCACAGTGGGTCTAAGTTTATTTTCTCCCAAAATACCCACATAGGAATTATATAATTTACCAAATGATCCTTAACCCCCCCTCCCCCTTTCCCCCCCCCCCAACTGAAAGATTAGAAGAAGGTGTGGAAATATTCTTAGAAAATCTCAACATCATCATCATCATCAGTCAGCAGATCCTTTACACAACATCGCTCTCATCACAGCACATTTGAAAGTCTTGTCTTTCTCTAACCAATTCTTCAGCCCTATATGCTTTTATAGCCAATGTATCTTCAATGTCTTGTATCCACATTCATGGAGGTTTATCTCTGTCTCTTTGTCCAAACTGCACCCCCCAATCACCTTCAACGGTCAGGCTATTATTAAACATGGCCAAAATACCTCAGTTCTCAGGACAGGAGGCTGTTTATAAGCCAATTGTCCTTGATGCTCAGATCATGTAGGATGTCCGTATTTTTCTCAGACAATCTAATTTTTATTTTAAATTACAGTAAATAATATGTGTAAATGATGTAACCTAACTGTAAATTACATGTGTAAAGAGATGTGTGATAACAACACAAGTGATGTGATGTCGAACAATTTCAAACAAAATAACAGCTGATAAAAACATATTTATCTTACTGATTTTACAGGTGACATAGTTTTTACATGTGCTGACACATTCCATTACAATCTTCTTTGTGCTTACTGAATGAAATCATAAAATGGACTGATACCTACCTGGCATTATTACACCAGTCCTTAGTAAAGCTGTGTCTTTGAAATGATAGTTAACATACATTTATTCTCAAAAGAAGGACACCAAACTACTATAAAATTTCACTTTATCTTACCCTTATAGTTATTTTGTTGACATCTCGCCATTTTTCCAGATGACAGTCTTATATTATATGGGGGAAATACTTTTTAAACATTATAAGTCAAAACGACAAGACAAAGTTGATTTAGATCCTCCTGGTCTATTCCTCTCTCCCACCCTATGTCTCTGTCTCTCTGTTTCACACACAAGAAGGCAAGCAGAGGGAAAGAGACTAACAGACAAAGAGAGACAGAGATATTTCACACTTCCCCCCCCGTTGGTTCCCTATTTTAGGGTACAAAAATAATAAACCCATTGCCCCCTAACAATCATGCCACAAAAGGTAACTAATTAGGATTTTGTTAAAACTGGACATATTGGGCTGAAAGGTACAGATATTGCAGCCTAGCTGTAAACCACAACACAAAATACCAACCACCCTTTTAAGAGTGAATAAAGAAGTAGATATTTCACAGTATCGTAACATGCAAAAAATTCAACAACACTTGGAAACTCACAATCACTAATGACAATAACACTGTCACTGTCTGAAACATCAACAATGCCATCAGATGGGCTGTTGGATGTGTCTTTGGAATCATACTCTGACGAGGAAACAATTTATATTTAAATAATCTTACTGTTGCTGTAACAAAATTTACAGGGTGTATTTTTAAAGACTGCATTACAAAAAAATATTCCAGTTCCTGTGTTTTTTGTATTCACCGTCCTTGGAGTTGGTACACCATATACTGCTATAATGTGTCTTATTTTGGGAACTGTTTTCCATATTACAGTGTGATTCACAATGGATTCTACTGGTTAAATTGCCAAAAGTATTAGGATGAGGCACTTCAGTATCAGGAAATGACATAATAAATTATGGATAAACCACATTCGAATACCTGCCATGGTTGAGGAACATATCTTCTTCTTCAGTATTCTGGGCCCTTGAGTTTCATAGCTGCAGATATCACCTGCATCCACTCATCTCTCTGGATGGGCTTCTCTTTCCAGTTGGTGACACCAAGTGTTTGCAGGTCTGTCTGAACATGATTGCTCCATCATCTTCTTGGTCTGCCTCATGGTCTATGACCATTCAACTCCCTTTTGTATACAGTTTTAACCTCTCTGTCATCTGACATTCTCTCAATATTCCCCATGTATTTCAGTCTATTAGATGTTATGATGGCAATGATCAATGATGATTTAAACAGATTGCGAATGTCATCATTGCTTCACACTCTCCATTCTCCGCCGTTTGTATCTTTGATGGGTCCAAAGATTGGTCATAATATTCTATTTTTGAAAACCTGTAATAAGCTTTCATCTCCAAGTTTTGGAGACATATAAAACGACTGGTCTTATCATTGTTTTATATATTTTGATCTTGGTGTTGCGAGACAGACACTTTAACTTAAGCAGATGTTGAAGGGCACAGAATACTTTATTTCCAGATTGTATTCTAGATTGTATTTCTTCTCTCAGCATGTTGGAGCAGTTGAAGTTTGTACCCAAGTACTTATATGTGTCCGTTCGTTTGATTTTCATTTTATCGACTTGTATGTGGCTGGAGTTTTTATCTTTTACCTGTCTTGTTATTATCATGTATTCTGCCTTATCTTAAAGGAGCCCAGCTCGTTAGCATAGTTGGTTAAAGCTGACTTTGCGACAACCGGGTGACGAACTTCTTGTAGTCTGGGTTCACGCCCGGGGTAGGCAGAAAAGCCACATTTCTTCCAGATTTACGGTACCTATTATGGAATCAAGGCCGAAGGGTTGCGATATCCATAGTACCGAGCCAAAGGGTTAACTAACAACTCATGGTTTCTGGAAACTTAAAAAGAAAATAATCTTAAAAGAACATATGCTGAATCGAAAAATACTCTTTCTCCAATGGTAAACAACCATTATAGCTAAGATCAATTACTGATCTTACTGATGGTTCCTCGCCTCTCAGGCGAAGAAAGCATCTATAATTAGTGGACTTTTACATATAATTATTAAGACGCAGTGGAGCTATTCCCTAACAACACCCCCCCCCCCCCCCCCCCCGCAATGGGGCCCCATAACCCATATGGAGAATAATCTCACCCCCCCCCCCCCTCCACAATGGGGCCTCATAAACTGTATGGAGAATATATTAACAAGAAATGTAGAGGTTTCAGGATCTTTACAAGTTCCGAACCTCACATGGTCCACTAGGACCAGTGCTCCTACCGATCACACCTATCGACACCACTACATGATTGTCCTAGAATCAGATTCTAGACCTGGGGCCTGGCCAACATAGATAGGATCCAATGTTTTCTTTGAAGTCGCAGTGCATCTGTCTGAGAGGCAAGCAACTGACAGTCTGCATATAAATAAACTAGATCTGTAAAATGGATGTGCATGGAATACCTAAGTCAAAGGCTAAAGTCCAGAAATGGATGAGCAACCAGCTGAATAGGTGGTGAGTGATGCATTTGATGCGGTAAAGGTCCTTTGGGAGCAAGTGAACAGAGCAGAGGCACAAACAGATCATTACAGTCTGAGGAGAATATGCTGCCAGGAGGGACTTGATATACAATCAGACAGTTACTGGTGCCATCAGAATTAGAACTCTGTGCTTGCTGCTGAAGATGGGACACAGCCCTTTTGGGAATTTGATGAGTGCTGTGATGTCGATTTCTGCCTAGGACAGGCGATGTTATCAAATTATTTTATAACAAAAACTATTACTAATTTAACATTCAAAATCCAGTTGAATTTACAACCAGTGAACGTTAAGAAGAGAAGGAAGAAATGTAAATTAACTCTTTTCATCATTTAAGTAAAAATGTTACCATCATCTATAAAATGGCTGACAAGATTCTGTGACTTTGGTAGCGGGTTTAACAACTGTATGTCATCGTTGTCTTCCTCTATAGCTTCCCATCTTCCTGAAAAAAACAAGAAACACACAGGGATTTACGCTTTGTGGTATAATATGAAATATATGGCACATTCATGCATCTGTATGACAAAAGCCACATACTAGTACTGATTTACATATTAAAACTTGCTGAGTACTTGGCTTGGACAAATTAAATGTAACAACTACCTAGGATAGATGATGTTATCAAATGAAGTTATTTAAAAAAAAACTATTAGTAATCTAAAGACACTGATAACCTAAACAAAGCATCAAGAAACAAAGCCATTTCTAGAACATTCTGTGGATAAAAATATTACCAAGTTTAGGTGACAAATGCTCTTCCTCCATACTTTTGACTTCATTAGTGTTCACCCGTTTTACAGGTCTGAGGAGACAAAAATACTAATGATAAATAATACATTTGAGAAAGTATTACATGTTTGAAAGTAAAAAAATAAAATGGTATATGTGATATGTGGTAAGTAAAGTGAAGTGTTGAGAAAATTTTTTTAGTAGCATACAGTGGCATAGCAAGGTCCAGTGGTACTTGGTGTGGAGCTTCTTCTTCTTTTTTTCAGGGGCCTGAGTGGTCTTGAGGCATGGTGTCCGTCTCGAGTGCTAGAGGTTCCGGGTTCAATCCCCGGTAAGGACTGGGATTTTTTTCACGTGGACTTGGACTTCTAGTAATTTCTCCCTGGTCTCTGGGTAGTGAGATCAGATGCCCGTTTGTATTGTTGCGCACGTAAAAAATCCTTTGGAAGTTTGAAATCGAAAAGAGTAGCCTAACCCCGCTTCCCGGGCAAAATTTTGAGTTAAAAATCTACCCAAAGTATTTCAGGATCCTCATCTGTGCTACAGAGCCTGTGCACTGTGCTGAGCTTCTTGGGACTCAGACTTGAATTAGAAGAAGAACGGAGCACTTATGGGTTACTACCCTTGTGCCATGCTGTTGTTCCGTTGTTCAAACCTCAAACCTGAGGAAAGTCCTGGTTGTTCGTCCATTTGGACTTTGGCCAGGACTGAGTTTTGCATGTACTGCATGTTTTACTCTCTTATTGGTGAGCAGTTAGTTAATCCTTGCCACTTGGGCAGATGCACTCCAACTTCGAAGGCAGCTGCCAATTAGTAAACTCCTACAACATGCTTGTTGAAGAGGCCGTAGGTCTATTCTTGTTTTCCCCACAATGGGACCCTGGAACCCACACGGGAAATTATTGGTGCGGAGCAGTTCCTGTCCTCACCCACCCACCCTGTCTCTAGAAACTTTCCTTCAACCAGATTGACTGTTTTCTTCTTCTTCTTCATGTTCACTGGTTGTAAACTCCCACAGAAAGTTCTGATTGTTTGTCCACCTCTGGATTTTTGTCTTGTTCCACAACCTGAGTGTTGTGTGCACATTCGTTAAACAGATTTGATTTAACTGTATGCAGATTGTTGGTTCTTTGCCTCCCAGGCAGATGCACTCTGATTCCGAAGGAAGCTCCCAGTTAGTAGACTCTTACATGCTTTCTAGAAAGGCAGTGGGTCTATTCTTGTTTTCCCCATAAATGGGGCTCTGCAATCCACATGGGGATGCTGACTGTCTAACTCTTGTTTCCTTTTTTTCAACCCCCACCTTCTGTATGTTTTTTAAAGTCAATATTATGCTTTTAAATGTGGCCAAAATATTTCAGTTTGCCTTTTTTAAATGCATGAATGTGTCTTTTGTTAAACATGAAACAAAATAACATTGCAGTAGACAAATAATTACTTTTCCGAACTTCTAAAGTCACTGCTGTCTTGCTTTCCATGTTGGCTACTAGATGCTGTAAGAGAGATTTAAAATTAAAATGTTAAATCACAAATGTGCTATTCAAGAAAAAAAAAAACATAGCCATTAAAAGGAATATATTTTTGTCATAATTTCTACATTAAAAATCTTTGAATTTTAAAGAGTGAAAGTGTTAAAAGTGCACAGAAGAATATCTTAGGACTCAACCATTCAACTGACAGCTCTTTTGATCTAGGTCACCAATAGTTTTTAGGCCTAGAGACTTTCCCATCAACTAGCACCATCGGATAGATATGTGTTTCTTTTTTTTTCTTTATTAACACTAAAGATATGTACAGTGCAGATGGTTCTATGTTGTCCAGTGAGTATATGAAATCATACATAGATTTGCAAATGAACAGACAGAACTAAAGTAACAATTTTAAAACCCAGAAATTGTAAGCAGCTGTAAACTCAGATTGAAATTATGAGTTGTTCATCCACCTCTGGACTTTGGTTTTATTCCAGGACTTGAATTATATGTGCACATCCATTTGACCTATTTGGCTTATTTGTGTGCAGCCTGCTGATTCCTGTCTCTCAGGCAGATACATTATGACTTCTAAAGGAAAATTGATTCAGCTACATTGGCCAGGCCCTCCAGTAGGGACCTGTTTCTAGGATAACCTTGGAGAGGTGGAGGCAGGTGTTGTTCCTGAGCATTCAAACGATAATAATCAGGTGTCATGCCGTAAGTGTAGACTGTCATGTTTTGCCACCTCACACGATCACCAGAATTACAGATCAGTTCAATGTTTTTGTTTCGCCCCACCTATCTGGCCAGGCCATTCAAGTATTCATCTCTTTGCCTGCCTCTTGCTCTCTTTCCATCAATTTTGCCAGTTGTCACCAAGTTTTAGAGTCCATTTCTTCTGAGAACATGTCCAAAAAAGATTGGCTGTCTATGTCTAATTGTTTCAATACGTTTATGCCTTTCATCTGTCTCGTTAATGGTCGACGTTTGATGCAGGGGAGCCTAGCATATGATACCACAACATCCAGCTTGAGAATAGAGGTGGAGGCGGTCACTGCAGCTTTCCGCTGGTTAGAGAACACGACACACACACACAAATCGTGATTGTAACTGACTAAGAAAGCATGCTGAGGAAGGTCAGGATAGGCATGCTTCATGCAGAGCGGCATGCTTCCCTGCGGAGGACACAGGTGAGGATTATTGTCTAGATTTTTTCACCGGGAAATGCCGGTGTGTTGGGAAATGAACAGTCAGACAGACTGGCTGGCTCTGCACAACTTGGTGGAATATTGATGCATGATAAGGTAGACGTGGTTAGTGCCTTGTGGGAGAGCGTGTACAGTTGGGAGGAGCAGATGAATAACCGCAGTCTAGTGAGATTAATGCAGCAGGGAGTGAGGAGAGGTTTTGGCAGATGTTAGAGGCTCAGGGAAAAGGCAAGACGGAGAAGATGGGGACGGAGCGCTTATGGGAATGCCCTGAGTGCTGTGATGTCAGTTCTTGAATCAACTCAACTCATCTGTCTTGATGAAAACTGCTTCATTTGTTTTTCTATCCTTTCATTGTATTCTATGCACATTTCTGCCGCAAGTAACCATTTTCCAGCTTGCCTGCTATTGTCCATGTTTCACATGCATAAAACAAAACAGGTTCTATATAGTACTTTAACAAATTTTTTCCCTCACTGCAAGTGATATCAAGATGGCGACGTAAACAGTGTGTGTTATTCAACGGGTGTGAAATTTTTCAGTGTTCTCGATGTGATTTACATGTTTTCCAGTGTTCTCTTAAGGATGAATCTGTGTCAGGTCCAGCAAATCGGCAGTGGATTTAAGAGTTCACAAAAATCTGCTCTAGAAACAATATATGAGATTAGAAAATCCAAGATGAACCATTCCAGCCATCTGAATATGTCAATGATAGTCAAGGCAAACCCATACATGAGGAGGGCAAGATCAGAGAAAGGTGGAAATAATATTTTCAGACTCTTTTGAATGTAACAGGAAATGAGAAAACAGTACCATTCACACCCAGATGTACAAACGAGGAACAGCCTACAATAATCGAACAAAAAGTCAGAGAAGCAATCAGATGCAGTCCCAAAAATAAGGCATCAGGTGTTGATGGAATATCAGCCGAGGCAATACAGGCTTGTGGAGAAATTGGAGTCACCTGGCTACTCCACATATTTAGGAAAGCCTGGAATGAAAGAACTGTACCAATAGACTGGCAAAGAGCACTTATAGTCCCAATTTGAAAAAAAAAGGCAATAAGCAAGATTGTAACAATTACAGAGGCATCTCCCTTCTAAGCCACGTAGGAAAAATGTTTGCCAAAATTCTGGAACAACGAATTAGATCCGTTGTAGAACCGATCCTGAGCCCATCACAGGTCGGATTTAGGAAAGGAAGAGGGTGTACTGACGTTATTTTTGCTTTAAGACAAGTTAGCGAAAAGACAATAGAACACAGACATCAAATGAACATCGCTTTCATAGATCAAGAAAAAGCTTTCAAAAGAGTAAACAGAAATTTATTATGGAAAGTTCTTGAAAACTACGGTATAAATGGAACAATTTTAGATTGTGTTAGGGCTATTTATAGACAAAGTGAAAGCGCCATTAGAACAAGAGCTGGCATCACAGACTGGTTCCCAGTAACATCAGGAGTAAGGCAAGGTTGTGTATTATCACCTTTACTTTTCATAATATTTATGGACAATATTAATAAAATAGACATAACACCAACAGATGTCGTTAAACAGGAGGACTTCAATGAGCTGCTCTTTGCCGACGATCAATGCATATTTCACAGTGATAGTAAACAGCTGCAAGACCACATAAACCTACTACATGACAGTTGCCTCAAGCATCATATGAAGATCAATACTGAAAAGACAGAAGTCATGAGCATAAGTAGAGAGCAACAGACCATCGACATAAAGATTCTAGATCACAGCCTAAAACAAGTGCAAGAATTTAAATACTTGGGAAGTATCTTTACATCCAATGGTAAAATAGACAGAGAGATCGAAGCAAAGAATCCAACAAGCCAACAATGTCGCATACCAGCTTGCCCCAATTTTTAAAAACACCCTGCTGTCCCAGCTGAGATAAAAAGACAAATTATAAATACAATCTTTATACCGACAATAGGTTATCAATGTCAGACTTGGACATTAACAAAAGAACACGAGAGAAGACTAACCACCTGTGAAATGAGATGTTTGAGAATGGCCTGCGAATAAAACCAGAAGAGATAGAGTGAGAAACGATGTGATTACAAGAACTATTGGAACCATACCCATCGTTAAATTTATTGAGAAGCAAAGAATGAAATGGTTTGGTCACCTAATGAGAATGGAACCAACGATGCCAGCATCAAGAGCATACAACATGAAAATCGAAACACCAAAAGGCAGGGGAAGACCAAGAAGAAGATGGATTGAAGGAGTCACGGACAACTTGAGACTTCATAACATCACGGCATATGAAGCGACTGAGCGCGCCCTGGCTCGGTTGCCGATCATCTGATAGACTGCGACGCCTAGCGGCACAAGCAGATTTTGACAAAAGAAGTAGAAGCAAGTGACATTTTTCTTGTTAGTGAGAATCTTTTGCATCTTACCAAAGGCCATTTTTGCCACGGACATACTTGTTCTGGGAGTCACCATGGCGTAGTGGCTAGACACTCGTGTGCGGATCGGGAGGTCGTGAGTTCGCTCCGTGGCAGAGCCACTTTTTTCAAAAATAACCTTGACCCCCAGGTCGACCTAGCCTTGAGTGGGTACCAGGTGCAGTCCCAGAAAGTAAAGGCGGCCGGCGTGTTGCTGACCACATCACCCATCTTGTACCGATTGGCCTTTAAAAATTTAGGTCTAGTCCTATTTGCCTAAAGGCGTGGAAAGGGGACCTTTACTTACTTTTACATACTTGTTCTCATTTCTGAGAGACTTCTTGCATCAGATGTTATGACCGTTCCAAGATAGCTGTACCTATTGACATGCTTTGGAATTTTGCAGTTTTCAAAAGTTTTTAATTTTTCTTTCTTTTACACAACATAATACTTGAAATCTTATTTCAAATCTTACTTTTATTGAAAGGCGAGGTTTTAGTAAATGTGCTTGTCTCCAACACTGAATCTGTTGCAGTTGTTGAGGGTGAAGAGGAAAAATATGAGAGTATTGTCGTTTTATTTTCCTTCTTGACCTTCTGTTGATCTTTCTGGGGACAAAAAAAGGGCAGGGGGGGGGGGGGGGGGGAGTCACATCATAGTGTTAGAAAACATTTGAATGCAGTAAGTAAAAGTAAAGAACCTTTTTTCTACGCTTTCAAGTGTAAGGGGCATATAGGGCTAGACCTATATTTTATAGACCAATTGGCACTCGGTAGGTGAGATGGTCAACATTACACTAGCCACCTTTATTTTCCAGGACATTACCTGGCACCCTTTTAAGGCTGGGTTGACCTAAGAGCCAAAGTCATTTTAGAAATGAAAAACAGTCAGACTCAGTCAGGGCCTGAACCCATGACTTTTGGATCCGCAAGTGAGTGTCAACTGCTGCACCATAGTGGCTCCCATTTGAACACAGTGGTACCTGCAAAAGTTGGGGGTTTCACAAAGAGAGACTTTGATCACAGGTACTTTTATATAGTTATATTTTATATGCTGAAGATGTTTTGTTTAGACACAGATTTACTAATGACTGATGCATGCTTCTGTAATGTTTTATTACTTTATTTAACAAGCACAGTGAAGATCATAATGAGGTGGGTTTGAAACCAGCAGTGTGAGTGTGTGTGTACACACATACACACCCATCAACACACACATACAAACACATACATCCCAATAGAATGATTGAACAATGAAGGTTCAGATCAGAAATTATAGAGATTCGTTCCACCTACCGTTTCTGTGGATATTGCACTGGATTATATTTGATGAGCGCGTTATCTGATTTTACCTTTTTTTTACTGCATGTTTTTTGAGTTGGCTGGTGTTTGATTCGCTAATGGAAGACAGCAATTTTAACTCTTAAGTTCTAGCATTTGAAATTAGGTCTTCTAAACCTTGAAAAATAAAATGCTTGTGTCTTCCAAAGAGAGTTTGATGTAGTGACTTTCCTCCCAAACAAGTATCCCAAATAATATCTTCAAGATGACAGTAATGCACAGTTCCCATTCCCCTCTCCAAACTGAAAAACTAGTGGATTTTGAAAGGCTAGTATTACATCTTCATAGAGGCATATTGGGTTGTGAAAAGGGCATGATTCAGCAGAGTACATATAAACCAAGAAGGGGATTGATTTATGAAAGAAAAAACATTCTGTATCAGCAGTTGTCAACATGTGGGTCGCAACCCTTTTGGTGATCTAATGACCTTTTCACAGGGGTCACCTAAGACTATCGGAAAACATATATACACTGAAGTTATGAAGTAACAATGAAAATAATTTTATGGTTGGGGGTCAGCACAACACGAGGAACTGTATTAATGGGTCCCGGCATTAGGAAAGTTGAGAACCACTGATTTACATCAACATGGAATGGCAACATAAGGAACTACCCATCAAAGAAATGGAAGCTTAATGGCAAAAGTGGGAATTAACAATGATAATGGATGCATTACTTTCACCAAAGTTTTTATTTTCTTTATTCTCAGCAAATCCATCCCAGCAATCAGAGGAACAATTTCTTTGGATGCTAATCACCACCTACAAATGTATCTCTTGTGTTACTGGAAACTTGAACAAAACAGAACAAACCTTTACATCCACAGATTTTACTGGTGTAAGCTTCAGAGCATGACAATGGACATGCCAGGGGTTTTCCATCCACAAAGTTGGTCAGTATTAATGCAATCATCTCTAATGTTTTTCCTAGACCCATATCATCCGCAAGGATACCTGTTGATGAACGATGTGTAACATAATATTTTAACCATAAGAATGAATTGTTGTATTAACATGATCTTGCAGACTGTAGAGAGACATGAGCATGCATGCTGGTTGACCAGGCACTTAATGATGATGATGATGATGATGATTAACATGTTCAGAATAAACAGTCATACAGAACTTAAAAAATGGTCCTTAAAAAAAAAGTTGAAGTTAAAAGTAACCATTATCTATACAGGGAAAGATTAATCATCAACATCAGATTATGAGATTGATTAATTATCAATATCAACGTGCCATGCCTCTCCACAACCTGTGATCTCCAACAACATGCTCAAGTCAAGTGCTGACACATTCAAAACATCTAGATTACTTTTGTGTGTGGCTGTCCAAGGAATACTAAGCATCCCTCTGATAAACCACATCTCTGAAGTCTCAAGAATTGGTTCGGCTGATTTATTAATTGTTCAGGATCTACAGCCATAAGTTAAAAACAAAACATCAGAAAATCAAAAATTCGAACATTAACTAATATAATACTATAACATTAATTAGGTAATTAATTAATATTGCAAAAAATTATAATTTAAGCTAGTTATGAAAAAGCTGTAAATTTACTCTTCGATGTACAATTTGAAATAATACAACAATTATCTGAAAATCATGATATAAAATAAAAAAGTTACCAGAAGTGTCAGAAAATATAAACATCATTTTATGAAAGAAGAAACAATAAACTATATATCATAATTATAACCCAAAAGTGTTGAACAGAATATCAGTATTTAAATATTACTACTTCTCCTTCAACATTCGAGCCAATAAGGCTCACTGCTTCAGATGTCACCCTCTTCCAGTTATTTTTGTGATGGGCCTGCTTTTTCTAGTTGGTGATTCCAAATTGTTATAGTTATGCCTGTTTAACTCTTTGAGTCCCAAGGAATGCATCATACATTCATAGATTCCTACCTAGAGGCCCAATGAACGCATGATGCGCCAATTTTACGTCTCTCTTGTCTACCCCTTGGGCCTGTGATGCTAAACCCCTTGGGACTAAAAGAGTTAATACTTGTATCTCTCCATTATTTTCTTGACCTGCATTGTGGTATATTCTCAATTAACTCTTTCATGTTTGCAGTCTGTGTCTCGATGTTATTCATTCTCTCTATATGCCTCAACATTGAAGTCTATTTTAAGCCCTCACTGTGCCAGTAATTGGTGGTTACTTAAACAAATTATGAATCTTATTGTTGCTTCTAACTCTCCATTCTCCAATATTTGCATTTTTGAGGGGTTCAGTAATTCACCATAAGGCTGTTTATAAAAGGTTGTAAAAAGGCTGTCTCTTTTAGCTGTACTCCAGGTTTCAGAGCCATTTATGACAACCTGTCTTATCAGTGTTTTATATATTGTGATCGTGTGATCAGTCATGAGACAGAGCATTTGATTCTAGCAGATGTTGTAGGGCATAGTATTTCCAGATTGTATTCTAGTTTGCATTTCTGTTATTAATATGCTGAGTTGAAGTAATGAAGTTTCTACTCAAGTACTTGTATGTGTCCATTCTTTACCATTTTCCTATTAGGTTTTTTTTATATGGCCACAGTTTTTTTTTCTCTTTTTATTACCAAATATTTGCCTATCTTGATTGATAACTAGTCCCATTTTTAGCTGCTTTCTTTAAGTGGATGTAAATACTATCACATTATAATTTTTGCCGGTCTATTTCATTTGTTTCAAATGTAACGGAGAACATGTTGCCCAGGTAAGAGGGGACAGAGATGACCAGCAAGAAGTGCTCAGGACACTGGAGACACCAGCAGGAAAGTACATGAGATGGGGGAGCTAGTTATCATCAGGTGCCTTGCCGACTGGCGTGGGCGATCATGCCTCTCCATAATCCGCGATCTCCTGCAGCATGTATCAGTTCGTGAGCCGACACACCTCCATGCCATGCAACAAGACTGTCAAGCATCTTCTCTCGTTGTCTTCCTCTATCCCTCCTTCCACAGATCTTTCCAGTGGTCACAACATGTTCTATTTTCCCTCTTCTCATAACATGGCCGAAAAATGATGACTGTCTCCTTCTGATGTCAGTGATAACTCTATAAAATACCTCAAAACTCTACGACATGGCCATCGGCGGGTAAGAGGCGCCATAACCTCTCCCCCTGCTGCCTTGCAGGGTAAGTCTTTTTAGACAAAGGCTATTGGAGTCAAACCATATACAAACCGGCGGAAGGCAAGGGGAAACCACCGCTGTACTATCCCAAGAAAATCATGCCTCAAAATAATACGTATTCAGATAACGACGTGAATGGGGATTCCGGTGGAATCACCTCGTCCGGTAGGGGGAGCTAGTAAGGGACTGAATTTCTTTAATGTGCAGCAATGTTTTAGAAAAAACTTGCTACATGCTCCTCTTCTTCTTTTCCTTCTCCCTGGTTTTGAGTAGAGAAGGCCACATGCCTCTATGAAGACTGTGATGTAACTCATGTCTTCCCCTGCTCCACACAGTCTGGTTTCTGACTCTTTCTACCATCACTGGCGTATTGGGAGTAATTGTGTACTGCCGTAGTTTTCAACTGTTATCCCATTCTGGTCTGTTTGCGTCTTTCAGCCCGGCACCTCCAACTTTAGCATGCTTTTCTGTTAGGATGAGCTCCCTTAGATGAATTACTGTTTCCTCTTCTTCTTCTTCCTCGCGTTCACCAGCTGTAAACTCTGGCAGAAGGTTCTGGTTGTTCATCCACTTCTGGATTGCAGTCCTATTCCAGAACCTGAGTGTTGCATCTGCATACATTTTACAGATCTGACTCATTTGTATGCAGACTGCTGGTTCCTTGCCTTTCAGTCAGATTCACTCCGACTTTAAAGGAAGCTCCCAGTTAGTCGACTCTTACGACATCCTTTGGGTAGGCAGTGGGTCTATTTGTGTTTTCCCGGAACCCTCACGGGGAACTGTTTCCTCTGACAAGCTTTATCTGCACATCACTTGCTACCTGATGATGATTCAATTTTAAAATTAAAAACTATGTGTGGAACCTTTTGGCATGAAAAGAACTAAAAATTCAAACAATTTAACGCAGAGCAGAGAAACATACCACCAGTGACACTGCTGACTGACTTCCTTGTCTCATGTGTGATTGTACTGAAATAATACTCTCCACGCTGTTCCCAGAAAGGTGGTAGTGTGTTCTTGTTTTCTTTCCCCATCATCCAGTTCAGTGCTTGTTTTTGATGAGGATACAACTTGGTTACCACTGCCTAGTGAGAAAATGCAATAGTGTGTGTTTATAATTTTTTTTTAAAGGATATAACTCAGTTGCCAGGAAGACGGCAGTGTGTTTTTGTTTTCTCTAACAGTCTCAATTATCCAGTTCAAGGCTTATTTTATTAAACGAGAACAAAACTCAGTTACCATCACTTAGGACGGAGTTTAACAAAGTGTGTTAGTAACAATTTTAATGTGGGTATTACTCAATTTAAATTCTAATATATTTTTTAAATTTTACCATATGCAAATGAAAGTTTAAGAACCACTAGGGACAGGGACCGAAAGTTAGATAAATTTTTCTTCTTTATTGTTCACCGGCTGTAAGCTCCTGTGAAAAGTCCTGGTTGTTCGTCCTTTTGGACTTTGGCTTTGTTCCAGGGCCTGAGTCTTGCGTGTACATCCGTTTTCCTGACTTATTTGAATGCAGTTGGTTGTTCCTTGCCTCTCGGACCGATGCACTGCGACTTCGAAGGTAGTCTCCAGTTAGTTGACTCCTACGACATGCTTGCTGGAAAGGCATTGGGTCTATTCTTGTTTTCCATAATGGGGTCCCGGAACCCACACGGGGATTCATTCAAAAACAAATGTTTAAGAAAAATGACGAAAATAAAATGGGATGAATTAAAAAAGAGTGAAGAAATAAGAGAAATGGCTGGGCAACCACTAGTATCAACAGTTTTAAGACAGAGAAGATGGCGCTACAGTGGGCACATTCTTAGAATAAACCAGCAGAGAATCACCAAATAGGCATTAAAATGGGAAATACAGGTGGCGAGGACGCTAAAAGAAACCCTAAGGTGAATGTTGATAAGAGAGGCCAAAGCTGCTGGAATGGATTCCATCAATGATATTGAACTGATCGCACGAGATAGAACGGAACTGAGGAATAGACTGCGAGCCCTATGTGACAGATCATGGCGCAACAGGACAATGAATAAAAGAATGAATAGTTCAGGTACTACGCCTTTGTGAGAATTAAAACGTGTATAAAGTAAAAGATCCTTTTTATGCCAGTTAAGTGTCAGACATCTGATGCCAAACTCATATTTTTATAAACCAATCAGCACTCTGTGACTGAGGTGGTCAACTAATATCAGGTGCCTTTACTTTCCAGGACATTTTCAGGTCCCAATTTTAGGCAGTCAACCTGGCAACCAAGGTCAGTTTTGAAAAAAAAAAAAACCACTGCAGTCTTTCAGTAAGAAATGAATTTGTGAACGAACTTCGTAAACAGACGTGTGTGTTTTACTGTATTTATCAAAATAGAGTTTTTAATGTATTTGAATGAAGGGTACTTTTCCGTCTTTTCACCTCACCTTGAGGGCTCAGAGATTTTGTAGGGAATTCCTAGGGATTTTCCCCGACACTCCTATATTATTTGGGTGAGGGGTGGGGTTAGGGTTTGTTTTAGTCGGTGTTTATTCAACACTAACCCTAAACCACTCGAACTCCAGGGGTCTCATATGTTGGTTGTTTTCATGGTTTAGTGCGTCCTCATTTCCAGCATGTGTTACCTTCGTTCCTTCGTCGCTATCACTGTGTCCTGTTTGGAAGCGGTGTTCTTACTTCACGACTTTACCTTCGCCCAAAATGTCCTTGACCTGTCAGCACTGCTGCATCTAACACTAAAATCCTAACCCACAGTATACGTACACGGTGACGGTTGGCCCTTTTCGGGCCCTTCCGCTGCCACCACCTGAAGTGGCCCTTTTTAGGGCCCGCCCTCAGAATATCCCAAAATTTGCATCCCAGTGTGGCTAAGTTATGTCTAAGACAAACACCGGTTCAAGCCGACTTTACGGGGCGCTGAGTGAATTACACAAGACAGTGAAGTTCATAATAGAGATGACATTATAGATAATCTATTTCGGGCGAACAGGCTTTTTGATAGTCTACAAATCCAATATATATACTCATATACAGCGGTGTAAACAAGTGTGCACTACTAAACACACTGTATAAGAATTGCACTCAGTTGCCACTGGCTAAAGAAAATTGAACTTTTTGAGCCTTCTGCTTCATACTCTACAGACTGTGGGTTCAGTTCCAGATTCCATTTAGTTCATGAGTGCAAGTTTTCAGCGAACTCTGGTGGTTGCCAACTAAGCCATAGATTTTTAAAAGGCTTTTTTTTTTCTTTCTTCAAAACTCTCTGTGTGTGGCCAGCCACTCCGCATAAATAAGCCAAAACAATGCTATGAAGTCGATAATTTCAAACCTTTAGACTTCATTGTAAACTATATAATTGCACATTACCTCAATATTTTTAGGGAAAAAAAACATTGGGGGGCGGGGGGGGGGAGGGATGGGTTGAAGGGGCTGAAACCTTGTTTGAGTGCTTCATAATAATTATTATGTGCTGAATGGGAAATTGACATAATATTTTTGAAATAATTTGGAATGTGCAAAGAAATACAATGTGAGACAGCCTTTTTACAGATGTGCTAGGGGAAGAGGTTGGCTACCCCCCCCCCCCCCCTTTTAACTTTAAAATTTTCTTTTGAATGTTGGATCAAAGGTGTTTCAGCCCAGGTTTTAGCACCACGGCACCTTTTATACTTAGGCAAAAACAAATCTTACCTTGCAAGGTTCAGCTTCTGTTGTGTGGTCTTGTTCTTCAAGGTTTTCAAATATCTTATCAAAGAAGTTATCTGTGTGCTAAAAATAAACATAAATAATTGATTGCGAGAATATTTCCGAAATTAGGAATTTCTTTATCTTTAACTTCTTCTTGTTCGTGTTCTTCTTTTTCTTCTTCTTCTTCTTCCTTTTTCTCGTTCTTCTTCTTCTTCTTCTTCTTCTTCTTCTTCTTCTTCTTCTTCTTCTTCTTCTTCTTCTTCTTCTTCTTCTTCTTCTTCTTCTTCTTCTTCTTCTTCTTCTTCTTCTTCTTCTTCTTTGTAATCGGTTTCACATGTTCATTTCATCAGCTATGAATCAGCACAACAGCAGCAAGTTTCAAGGGTTCCCCAAAGTTTTTCCTCGATGTCTCTTTCCTTAGGCCATGTGTATTGTCGCAGGTTTTCTTGTAGGGAGAAGGTTCTGCAGTATGCGCAGGTGTTTAGAGGTTTTTCGGCAGGGACACTAGGGAGACGGTGCAGCCTTCACCCTGTGTGTGTGGGTGCGTTAAGTCTGCAGTATCCTGCTGTTACTCGAAAAATCTTTATTTTCAGACATCAACCTGAATTTATCGGCAACTATATGGAGACCAATACAGTAAACTTGATGTTCACAACTCCATAGCTTTTCATTAGGAAGGAAAGGCCACAATAATATCTTTGTATTGTACATGCATGGCACTCTGAAGAAAATGTTTAATCATCATGTTAACGCTTTTACAGTTCAATTTATTTTTTATTCTTTATTTTTATTTAAGGCAGATGTGGTTAAGGCCCTTTGGGAACAAGCATCGGAATCAGTAGAGAAACAGGATTATTATGGCCTGGACAGAATAAGGCACCTGGGTGTAAGCAGAGGGTCTGGCCGGCTCACTACACCCAGAGAAAAGGCCAGACAGACATATAACAAGATTGTTACGGGTTCCACCAGTATTGGAACTCTGCGCTAAGGATGAGGACGGAGCACGCATGGGAATGCCCCGAGTGCTGTAATGTCAATTCTTGACTCAACTCAACCACATCCGGCTTTAACTTTATAGCCTAAAGATGGCCGTGACTCAACTTATCTTTATTTAAATGAACACGTGGCATTTCAATATTTCACGTCAGTTTTCTTCGTAGTAGCATAATCTTATTGTGACCGGATGTGCTAATTCTTAAAACTCTTTTAAGTGCTCCTTGCAAACCTCTTTCCCTTATCTCAGACTGTGTCTTAAAATGTATACATGTGGGTAAGGGTCCCGCTGGGGCCGGGGGGGGGGGAATAGAGTGGGTCTATTCCCCCCCCCCCCTTAACAAGCATGTTGTAAAGATGAACATTAAGACCTTTCTGAAATAAGAGGTTTTCGGCTAAAAGGTACAGATATCGCAGCCTGACTCTAAACCACCGAACAAGTGTCAGCCACAATTTTTAAATGAAAACACAGAAGAAAAATAAGTCTACAATTTTTAAAACTAATATTTTCATAAATGTAAGTTTTGCTTCTTTTTCACATGAGAGTACTGGTTGAAGATATGCTTAAAAAAAAACATTAGGTAAAGGGTTGCAACCTAATTACAAGAGGACACAAAGCTCATAAGGTTCTTGTCATGAAAATCAAACAAGAAGAAGAGGAAGAAGTGGAGGACGGGATGAAGAAGAGGAGAAGAAGAAGAAGAGAAAGAAAAGAATAAGAGCAAAAAAAAATCATGTCAGTATTTGTTTCAATTTGGGCACTCCTCTTAAACAACTATTGCTAACACTATGTATTGTCCACAATTAAAAACTTATTTGGCTTCTTTTATCTCGCCATGGCAATCAACAAAAGCATAAATTTAGTACCCGCTAGCAGTTAACTAAATAAAACATGTATATCCGAAAAAATGACAGATAAAGCTCATGGTCACATACAACATATATCCAAAGACACTTTCCCTATTTGTACAAATGGCTCCAGTGCAGAAAATAATAAGACAGAAATAGAAATAACGTTCCACACACACACACACATGAACGCACCCACCCACACACAGTTTACTGTTCATAATAACTAACAATTTATCTGTTTGACGAATAGGACATGGTTGATTGAATAAAAGCACCAGAAGGGATCCCCTCCTGACAATTGAAACATATTCACTATTGGCATTTCTAGTTCTTAAAAAGATCAAGGTATTTAGCTGATGTAATATAGCAGATGAGATCTTCTTCACTTCTTCTTTTTATTCTTATAGTCCATTCTGGTTAAAGAGGGACAACCCTTCCTTCTGTTAAATCCTGTCTTAGGTGACGTCTTTAACGATGAGTTTGTCTCTTTGTGCGGTTCTATGGAAGTTTGGTGAACACATTTTACAGTCTTCGAAGTACCAGGGGTTGATTTCATCAGTGTCCGTTTATAAAGAGCATCTTTTCTTCGGTGTTTAGAACAGTGTTACTAGAGTCGGGCCGATGAGAAGAAAAATGGGGTTTCATCACGTAATATTTGTGCAGACGGCAATGAGGTACCTAGCCATTGCAGTGTTTTCAATATCTTACTTAGTCGCTCCTCTTCTGTCTTGGTTGTAGCGGTTTGCCAGAGAGATCGCCTTTATCTCCAGTTTGCCCTTTTAGCTTTGTTGCATTCGTCTTCTAATAGTCAGGGACTGTCGGATGTTGTCTTCCAAGTGAACCCTGGGTCGTCCTATTGGTTTGGTTCTTGGTACCAACGCATGTCGTGTTGTCGTAGACATCTTAAGACGGTCTTAATTCTTATCCATTCTATATACATTTCCAAATCATAGTAATTGCGACTGATCCACTCAAGTTTGTAAGCCTGGGTTTCAACTGTCTGATTGCCAACTTTGTTCCTTATGGTCACTTGGACCACCTTTTATGGATACCTCGTTTTTGATTTCCGCTAAAAACGGGACATCTCAATAATATTTTGAGCTTGAAACGGGACATTCGAAACAAATCAGTTTAACACAAGAATCAGTTTTTCTCTAGGTCACCGTAGTAAAAGGGTTAATTACTCGCTCGACAATGGTATAAAGCAAACCACTGTTGCCAAGGAATAAACGAAACAACACACTCTTTAACTGTACAGAAGAAAACATGCTATAATACCACTTACAATCAACACATCTTAAGCATTAAAAGTATCTAAACAAAACACTATAAAATCTAATAAGGTCTACAGATATAACTATACTGTAAGTGTGTGTTCACATGAAGAAAAACGTCAGCTTATTCTCAGATTGATAAAACTGGACAATTGGAGTTTAAGTACCGAGGGACGGCTGAGAAACACCTAAAAAACGTAACTGTCCCGATGAAAACGGGACGTATGGTCGTCTTAACTGCACCCAATGTCCACTGCGGAAATGGCACAAATCTGTTGTGATTTTTTATCTGCCACTGAGACTTGACCCTACGTTCGGCTGACCGGGCGATTAAAAACGCTGGATTCTCATCTGGTAATCTGGTAATCCTAGTTTCAGCTTCAAAGCAAACGGGTCACCCCACAGATGCCCCGCTCCTGTTCCAACGAAAAACAAACGCAGCTCACAGTGTCACACCATGCACTCAATTCAGAAGCTGGGCGACGAAACTACTACGCTGGATTCTCATATGGAGAACGGTGACCGGTTTTGGTACAGCTAAGCATGAGAAGCACACTGGACGCACATGAAGTCTTGTTAACCAACATAGGACTGGTACTATTAACCGCACGACGCTGATGAATATGTTGAGAGGGGAATCTGAGCGCCTATGGATGTGTCTGGAGGGCTGTGAAGATAATCTAACTCATAGCTCATAACTCGTAACTCATGGAGAACGGAGCACCTATGGGTTACACCCGTGTGCCATGATGATAATCCGTTGAATAAACAAACACCAATACACAAATTAGTAATGCAGCTGGCTAGCAGTGGAATTGAGCAAGCCGACAGATAATGGAGATTAGTGGAGAAACTCGATCCTCTAGGTTGCTAAGCATGATATGCTTGAGAGTCCCAAGGAAGGCATCATACGCTCATATGTTTCTACATAGAAGCCCAGTGAACGCTAAATTCCCCCCTTTTTTAGGTTTCTCTTGACTACCCCTTGGGCCTCTGATGCTAAATCCCATGGGGCTCAAAGAGTTAATATGCAATAACAATAATAAAAGCAGAGCAATTTGTTGGATGAGGGGTACAGGGGGTCCCCCATGGCATAACCATTTGTCTTACGTTCTGAAGGTCGTGGGTTCGTTTCACAGCTGTGTCTAGCGCTTCCCTATAGCTTCTTATTCTTCTTTGTTCACCGGCTGTAAGCTCCGGCGAAAAGTCCTGGTTGTTCGTCCATTTGGACCTTTACTTTGTGCCAGGGCCTGAGTTTTGTGTGTACATCCGTTTTACTGGCTTATTTGTGTGCAATTAGTTGTTCTTTGCCGCTCGGGCAGATGCAATCCGACTTTGAAAGATGTCCACAGCTGGGTAGACTCATATGACACGCTTCCTGGGGGGGGGGGGGGCAATGGGTCTGTTCTTGTTTTCCCCACAAAAGGGCCTGGAACCCACGCGGGGATTTCCTATAGCAATTTTTACAAAGATCAGTTGGGATATTCATGTACGATGCTCTCAGCAGGTGGCTAGTCGTTCTGCGACAGAGAAACTGCGCCATTTTGGATTCAACCTAGTGCAGTAAGTCCTGGCGAAGTAAAGACGATCGGCGTAATGTTGACCACGTTACCCAGCTAATGCCGATGGTCTGTAAAATTATGGGTGCTCTTCCCATGTACCCTTCTTCTTCTTCTGCGTTCAACATCAGTCATGCTAGACACTGAGTCCCGTCTGGGTCACAAATAGGATTGTGCGTTTAAGGTCGCCACCGGTCCCCCATAGCTTCTCTTTCAATGTGGCTCCCTTGAGCCAGATCCACAGTCTTTGCTGGGAGAGGTTAGGGCAGTACTGTAGTATGTGCCAAGAGGTCTGTCTTTTTGCTCCACAATCACAGGCAGCAGATTCTTTTATGCCTATCCTGTACAGGTGTGCTCGAAGACCACACTGTCCAGTCCGAAGTCTAAAAATTGTTGTTTGTTCTTTCCTGTTGAGTTTGTTTTTGCTGTCACTCTCTGGTCTGTAATCTCCATTCTACCTTTTCCACTCCCGCTTGAAAGACTGCTTTAGCCCATGTACCCGATACACCTAAAAGGCGTGAAAAGTGATCTTTACTTTACTAGTGCAGTAAAGTAAATCCTCTCCAGTCTAACTCGGAGCAATTCACCGAGTCGCTAGCATTCAGACGGGCTGTACAGAAAATATTGTTGTATTTATTTTTCAAATATATCCTGTGCAACCCGCAAAGTTATTATAACTAATTGAGTTCTCACATTATATATTACTTATATATATCGTGCTAATTGAGTTCTCACATTATATATATATATCTTATATATATCGTGCTAATTGAGTTCTCACATTATATATTACTTATATATATCGTACTAATTGAGTTCTCACATTATATATATCTTATATATATCGTGCTAATTGAGTTCTCACATTATATATATCTTATATATATCGTGCTAATTGAGTTCTCACATTATATATTACTTATCTATATCGTGCCAATTGAGTCCACACATTATATATTACTTATATATATCGTGCTAATTGAGTTCTCACATTATATATTACTTATATATATCGTGCTAATTGAGTTCTCACATTATATATATATCTTATATATATCGTGCTAATTGAGTTCTCACATTATATATTACTTATATATATATCGTGCTAATTGAGTTCTCACATTACATATTACTTATATATATCGTGCTAATTGAGTTCTCACATTATATATTACTTATATATATCGTGCTAATTGAGTTCTCACATTACATATTACTTACATATATCGTGCTAATTGAGCTCTCACATTACAAATTACTTATATATATCGTGCAAATTGAGTTCTCACATTACATATTACTTATACATATCGTGCTAATTGAGTTCTCACATTATATATTACTTATATATATATCGTGTTAATTGAGTTCTCACATTACATATTACTTATATATATCGTGCTAATTGAGTTCTCACATTACATATTACTTATATATATCGTGCTATTTGAGTTCTCACATTATATATGTCTTATTTTAAATTTATATATATTATGTAATTATTTATATGACTAACATGTAATTTATATTTTTTACACATTTTGCGTTGATTTGGGAAGTATTTATGATATAAATTATACTATGAATAATTATACAATCTTACTAACATTGTGTCATTAACACGGTGGATATATTGTTTCATTGGTCACCGCCGGGCTCGAGCAGTAAATAAATAGCTAAAGTCGGACGTGCCTTGGTGTACAGTCTGTTATTTGAAGCCCTACTCTGGCTCTTGCCAGGGGCCTCAATATAGCCCGGCCATAAATATGGGCTGATGGCTGAACGCGGTTTCTGGGACTTCTCCAAAGGTGGTACTCATCCACATGGTGGCACTTTGTGTCATATGGTGTTTATTGCTTGTGTGATGTCCTGGTGGGGTAAAAGAAGATAGATAGATAGATAGTGTACAGTCCTTGATTATTATCCTGGATTTTCTGTTTAGGGGAAACTTCTTTAAAGATGCTATGTGCATACTTTACCCTTCTATATAAAGATTTTAATCATAATAACAAATTGCTTGACCTTACCTCGCAGTTTTCTGTGGCTGTTTATCTGCAGCAAGTTTTCCATTGTCATAGGTAATTTACAGAAATTCATACAGTACAGAAAATACCATGGACAGATTATTGTGTTCCTTGACAACCAATGTGCCGGGGCCCTAACGAAAACTGTTATGGCAAGTCACCTGACATACACATATTAGCACTGGAGCTCTTATGCTCGTGGGGCCTCCGGGAAAGTGCCCAACAGTTCGTGCGTTAGAATGGCACTGCACTGATACATATACAAAAGTGTACTTACTTCAGCAGGCAAAGTTCTTTCCTGGACACCGTCAATAACCGTTGGATTGAACAAACCATAAGCCTGGACGTTAAAATCGCCATAGCCAGGCAAGGAAGCCACACTCGGTAATATGGAATCAATATCATCTTCATCCAGCACGCCTGGGACATTTGTCGTACGATCTATCACCTCATCCCAAAATAATTCTCGGCTGTTTGTGTTTACGTTGTCCTTGAGTGAGTCTTGATCTGCATTGTTCTGCTGTCTTGTGATATTATTATTGCTTGCTTCTAATATTCTAAAACCATCCATTGTCTTAACTGTTTATTATTCCTGAAATATTCTTATTTAACACGATAATGTAAACTAAGTTACAGCTCTGTAAAACAGTCTTGTCTAATCCATAGTTTATAAATACACAAGTGTGTAGTGTGCTATTTTGAGTCCAACTTATATTTCCACATAAACCTCGTGCTCTCAAAAGTAGATCATGAAACTTTAATCATGAAAACACATCTTTCTAAAAAGGTTTTCTCATAAGGACAGATTTGCCAGCCACGAAAGTGAAACAGACATAAAGTAAGAACAAAGTAGACTTCGTGCAACTATCTCCAACATAACACATTTTTAGGATGTTGTAGTACATGGAACTTATCATTGCGGGAAACCCCAGAGCAGCGGTCAGTGACCAATTTAAGAATGGTAAATAAAAGTTGATGAATGTCAAATCAATAAGTGTAAATAAATTATGGATGTTATCACACACTGTATAACACGTTTACTTAAATAATACTACTGTTTTGAAAATCGTATCTTATACACGCGGATACAGTCTATCCTTGAAAGAAATGACTTTGCCAACTACCTGTTTACTTTCATTATCTAATGTCTAAAAATACCTATCCATTTCCTAGAAAACGGTTTTTGTAAAAAGCTAGAGAAATAGATATGACTTTAAGATTTGTAATAGTTTTTTCAACCCTCATTGTTATACCCCCGGCCGACTCTATCTGGAGAAGGCGGTGGTTATACTTTGGGTATAGGGCCGAATTTAGACTTGACTGGGCCCTAACCTATTTAAAGCCTCAGGTCCTTGCCGTTTTTAATTACAAAAGTTAATATCGGAGGAAATTTGTAAAAATGTAAGTTAATAAAAGTTGGAAGTTGACGCTTATCAAGCTGATGATTTTTATTAAATTTGAATAGGCTACGACAAGTTAGAATAAATAAAAGTCTGCGATAACCCCCCACCCCCCCACCCCCCCCCCAATTTAAACATTTCTTTAGACAGTTTTTTTTAAAGAAAAAAATGGACTTTTGTTTCTAGGCTCGTACATATTGGAGAACTAACCTGCATCATTTACTGGCTGTTGTGGGTTTTTTTCTAGGCAAATTTTACGTTCAGTAATTTGCCATTTCTTTCTAAACGGTCATCTCTTGATACCACTATCGAAACAAGAGCAATACAAATCGTCCGCAGCAGAGATCAAACCCAGTACCGCGGCATTACGAAGCGCGTTCGCAACGCCTAAGCCA